GCACCCTCACAGGCACGCCTGGCGGGGACGAGGGATAGGGCCTTCTCGGTGGTGGCCCCCCGGCTGTGGAACACCCTCCCTGTAGACATCAGACAGGCGCCCTCCCTTATGACATTCCGCAAGAGACTAAAGACGTGGTTGTTTGAGAAGGCGTTTGACTAAGTGCTACAACAATTGGCAATGATGATTGGAACGGAATATGGAAAACGAGATTGGATTGTGATTCTATGATGAGACGTCGCGAATGATTTAGTGTAATTGTATTATTGATGGTGATGTTATTATTGTTGTTGTGATTTGCCTTTATTGTAAATTGTTTTTATATGTTGTACACCGCCGTGAGTCGCTCTAGGGCTGAGAACGGCGGTCTACAAATACAGTAAATAAATAAATAAATTATTATTATTATTATTATTATTATTATTATTATTATTATTGCAACTGCCATATAATCCAGTTCAAAGCAGATAATCTGGATTTTGTACGGTAGTGTAGAAGGGGCCTACATTTGCTTCCATAAGCCTTCCAACCCATCAGTGATTTTCAATCCCTATGAGTTTTCCATTTCACATTGATAAGCCCCAATCTTTATGAACTTTCCAATATTTATCAGTAAAGCTCAACCTCTATTGAGCTTCACTGATAAATATTGGGAAGTTCATGGCTTGGCAATAACGGGCACAATATTCTTGAAAACTCTTACATTTTAACTGGCAACTTTAATGCAGGGGCACAGGGACCCTTAGACAACTGTCTCTAGGATCCCAGGTCTCTATAAGGATTTTATGTACTCAGAGGAAAACTGTATTTCCCAGACTTCCTGAATATCAGTAGTGAAAACACCACTGAGAAGGAAGATCTCTCTCCCTGCTTTTGGGAACTGTTTGTCACTTGTTCAGAATGCAGCCTTAGTGAGATTTCTTGTATCATGACATATATCTTAGATTGGATACAGGGATTAGAAATCACCATTTTGAATTGGAGAATTACCATCTTCAACAACAACACTGACAATCACAGGGTTGAGTCAGTAAATGCTTATCGATATGATAATTATTCCAAAACATCTTCACAAGATACCTGCTCAGATCATTCTGCACCAACATACGGAACAAGGTGGGAGCACCCAGCATGGCGGTGATGGGAAATCGCGAGAGAGTCTAATGTGTTTTAAATAAAATAAAATAAAATAAAAACGTGAACAATTTTTGTGCAGTACTGATCAAATGAGCTTTTGAGAACCTTGTAAATCCCTTATACAAAAAGACTTGCCAGGTACTATTATTATTATTTTCCATGTCAGGAGCAACTTGAGAAACTGCAAGTCGCTTCTGGTGTGAGAGAATTGGCCGTCTATAAGGATGTTACCCAGGAGACGCCCGGATGTTTGATGTTTTACCATCCTTGTGGGAGGCTTCTCTCATGTCCCCGCATGGGGAGCCGAAGCCAACAGAGGGAGCTCATCCGTGCTCTCCCTGGATTCGAACCTCCAACCTGTCGGTCTTCAGTCCTGCCGGCACAAGGGTTTAACCCATTGCGCCACCGGGGGCTCCACTTGCCAGGTGATGAATGGGAATGTGAACATCTTGTATATATAGATAATTGCATTTTCTATTCACTCTCAGATAATTCCATTTCATTAGAGACACATCTTTACAGATGGTTACTTTCATATTAGGAAAATAACCTCTCAAAAGGAAAAATCTTCTCATTATTGTTGAATTATTCATGGCATGCAGAAAGTGAATAGGAGGAAACCTTTCTAATTAGTTATACCTGAACCTAGGGCTCTCTATTATAATTGAATGGTGGGAGAATCAGGAGAGGTAAGGGGAAAGTTTAGGGAGGTTATGGCCATCAATGTCTACTGCTCAGGATGACTATATATCACCTCTAGGGTCAGTGGGAGTATGTCTCTGTAGACCAGTTGTTGGGGAGCATGAAGCTATGAGTACAGCTACACTCTTATCTGCTGGTGGGCTTCATATAGGCATCTTGTGGGCCACTGTATGAATAGAATGCTTAGACCAAACTTCCAACTAATCCAGTAAAGTTATTATATTTTTAAGACTAAGGTCAGCTCCAAATATCTGGCTACAAAAAACAAAGGGCAAAATTGCAGCTATCCATTTCAGCTGCAAAAGAACTGAATCTTTTTGTGGTCAGGGTGGCATACTTCTCTGCACTTGAGAGTGGTGGACTACCACATTTTATAAAGAACAGGGCAGGTCATGGAGCACATACAGTTCTGTCCTTCCACCACTGCCTCCTGGCCTTTACTTTCCTTTGGCATTATAATGGGATTATAGGAATGATCTTGAAGAGCATAGAAGGAGAACTAGACAATACTCAAGATAGCTTAAAGCAGTGGTTCTCAACCTGTGGGTCTCCAGATGTTTTGGCCTTCAACTCCCAGAAATCCTAACTGCTGGTAAACTGGCTGGGATTTCTGGGAGTTATCGGGCAAAACACCTGGCTACCCACAGGTTGACAACCACTGGCTTAAAGTTTCGTTTATCATCTAGGTCAGTGGTTCTCAATCGGTGGGTCTCCAGGTGTGTTGGCCTACAACTCCCAGAAATCTCAGCTAGTTTACCAGCTGTTAGGATTTCAGGGAGTTGAAGGCCAAAACATCTGGGGACCCAAAAGTTGAGAACCACTGGTCTAGGTATAATTGGACTCATATGGCTATAGTTATACTCCTGTACCTTTGTGAACCCATCAGACAAAAATCCATACATTGTTATGCTGAAACATGGTCTAAATTCTACAGAAGATCCATCAAATACATTTAAACATTCTAAGAAAACATCTGTCTGCCTGTTTCCTTGCTAAGATCTCCCCTGAATCAACTGAAAGAATTCAGGACTAGCATTCCTGTGCTGAATATGAGATGAGACTCTTGTACCTTTAATAGTTAGTAGAAGAGATACTATAAAGTTCTGTCAAGCGGAACTACAGCATGTCTGTCCTTTAACCCACCAAACTCCACATTTTAGCTGATTCAGCTCCTACAGGAATGGCAATTTACTGACTGGTAGAAAGCAGGGGAGGAGGGCCAGGGAGGTATTTCAAAACTATTCCTGTATCAACAGCACCTTCAATCTCATATTGTTTGAGGAACAGGACACCTCCTTGCTACTGCCCACAGACTTAATGATACATTCGAATGGTCATCTTACATTTAGAATAGTTGTTGATTCTATTTTTGGCAGATTATGTACAAAGACACAGGATCCCAAAACCCACGGATCAAATAGAGCGCCCAGACAGCTCAACACCCAGCCTGTATCTGCCGTGCACCACATGATGTCCAAAGGCGAAAAGTCCAGCCAGTATCTGAAAAAGAGTGGAAAGAAAACCGAGATGCGCTTTTATTGTTAAACAAAGACTCTCCCAACAGTCATATCCTGTGGCATCAAGTTTGGAGATTCATACCTAATGAATACACAACCCTGATGTCCTACAATTAGAATTCAGTAGCTGCATATTGCTATAATTGGTTGGATGAGATGTGTTCAATGTTCTTATAAGTTATACTAAAAGGCATTATGGGGCATGTGTCAAGTCAAGTTATGAAAGTTGACCAAATGTAATTAATAGCCGACATGCTGGACTCAGTGGTGTTGAATTCAACATGTTCTGTGGAATGGTAGACAAATTGTACAATGGCCCAAGACCTAATGGGGGTTCTTTGGCATCCAATGTTAAGCCATGATACCTGGGAATGAGTTAGGAATGACTTCCCCAAGATTAAGGAGACCCCCAAAACCAGGGAGACAGACATATAGATTCTGTTGTCCCTCAAAATTGATTCCCCAAAGCCAGTTCACCAACCTCTAAAGTTGTGACACAGAAAAGAAGACAACAGGATTAGACCAAACTATATCAACTTATGCATAAGGCTGGGTGGTGGTGAGAGTAAGTGTGTGTGTTGGTAAGGCCATTTCCAACTGGACAGGAATGGGACCAGGATACATTTATATCCATCTTCCTAGTCTAACTGGATGGACAACAGTGCCAGTTGGTCTCTTGGATGGACACTCTCAAAGCAAGGGTTATGGAGATAATATGCCACCAGGAGAAGAAGATGGCAGTGCCCACTACATCTCTCCTGCAACCACAATACAGATTTTGGATTAAATTCAGAACCCATTATCTACATAACTTCCTTCTGAAATCAGTCATTCTCATTAATGATGATATTTTTAATTATCTTTAATTTTTAACTTAATCAAGTTTTCATTGTGTTTTAATGTATGTTAGTTCGCTATTACAGGAGTTTTAGGACAGTGATTAGTGTCTATTTGTGTATTTTTTTGTTTTCATCTTTTACTGTTGGTATGGTCAGTGGACTAATCAATAAACTTTACCAGTTATTCTCAGAGTTGTTTACCAGCTAGAAGTAACTCACTAAATCCTGTAGTTAAGCAGACACTTGAACCCAATAATCAAAGATGAGTCCAACACACTCTTTTCATGTATTGTAACTCTGGAAGCATAGGATATATGAGGTGATTCTCATAGCTAGTTAGTAGATATATATTTTCTTTGGATACAGTAATGTTCTTCATAAGGCTTTTTAATGTGACTTAGACTGAATTTACAAGAATAATATGCTATGATTAGAATTTTTTGAAATGGTGACACATGTTATCTGGTTTTCACAGAACTGTTCAGGTACCTTGGGTTGATGATGGGTCTCAACCCCATACTCCCCTGAGAAAGTTCCGTCATCTTAGGAGAACCTGTAGTCCCACTGGTGAAGTAAATTACCATTGGATCTTGAACCTTTGTTTGTACAGGAGTGAACTCAGCAGGTGCCTCTCTGTGTGGAAAAGAACATTACTAGGATTAGGATAGAATCACAGCACCATTGAGTTTGAAGAGACTGCAAGTGTCATACAGTCAATCCTTTGCCATGCAGGAATATAAAATCCAGAGCACTCCTGACAGATGGCCATCCAGCCTCTGTTTAAAAGCCTCTAAAGAAGGAGACTCCGCCAAATTTCAAGGCAGTATAATCCACTGCCACACAGTTCTTCCTAATGTTTTTTTTTAAGTAACATAGTTGGTTTCCTCACAAACTTCATGTATTCAGCATCCAGGTACATTGCTTATCAGTTCAGTTACAGATAGAATTTGAAGTAGTTTCTCTGTGCAGATAACACAGGGCATCCTTCTCATAACCAATAGTCCATAGTCTAAAGCAGGCACCCCCAAACTGTGGCCCTCCAGCTGTTTGGGCCTTCAACTCCCAGGATTCCTGACATTTGAATGAACTCATTAGGGCTTCTGGGAGTTGGAGGCCCAAACAGCTGGAGGGCCACAGTTTGAGGATACCTAGTCTAAAGCATCTCTCTGTTCTGAGAGTCTCTGTCTAGCTTGAAAGTCCAATGGAGTCTGAGATCTAAAATGGAATCTGAGTCCTGAACAGTCCCAGTCTGCAGCCCCACCCAAAACAAAGAGTTAAGGAACACTGCATACCAATACACACATATACAATTCAGTAAGCAATCTGAATTATATACAAACAAATAACCAGTGGAGGCTTGAAGAAGGTTGCGATTTCCAACGACCAGTAATCTGTTTACTCTGTATGTTTTGGTGATGCTACTTGGAAACCGCCCTGAGTCCCCCTCGGGGAGATAGAGAAGTATATAAATAAAGTTTTATTTATTTATTTATTATTAATCTAAGTTTAGCATCTAAACATGGAAGCACTATTCTTTTGTTACCCTTTCACCATCGACAATCATAATGCTGTGATCCCACTTCAATTGATATGGTTGCATCCTATGGAAACCTGGGACCGGCAGTTTAGGAAGGCCTGCTTAGAATTCTGCACTGGAAAGCTCTAGTATAACAATAATGATGATGATGATGATGGTTATTATTATTATTATTATTATTATTATTATTATTATTATTATTATTTCTTGCCTGCCTCTTCTAATGTTTAAGTGGAATCTCTCTTCTGGCCATTTGATTCCATTACTATCTCCTAGTCTCTGGAGCATCAGGGGGAAAAGCTTCATCTAAAATACGACATACTTTTAAATATTTAAATGTAGCTCTCATGTCAGCTCTTAAAGTTTGTTTCTCCACGTGACGACATACCCATTTGTAGAGCATGGTTTCCAGGAATTTTACAATTTTGGTCACACTCTTCCAGACACATTCCAGTTTGTTCTAACCTTATATTTCTCTGTGTTGAAATAAATGTCATTTTGGGACCATCTCTTTTGTCTGCTAAGGTAATTTTGAATTCTGACCCTGTCCTTTTGTTTCCACAAGGAGGTGAGGAAGCATATTGTATTTTTTCAATTGTAAGATGCCATCGATTAAAAGACGCACCCTAATTTCAATAACACCACCAACAACAAAAAGACTCGTTCCATCTTTGGAGATGTTTATATAGGAAATAAGTCTTAGAATGGAAGAAATACAGTATTATTTACCTCCTTATGTCTTGTTTTTCAGTTCAAGATTATCCCTTTCCTAAGATGTGCCCCAATAAGAAAAATTGGATCTGAGTTCATAACCATTTTTGGGTGGTTGCACCATCTTGTTGTTTTGTCTGAAGAAGTGCAAACTCATGGCAATAATGCTAGAAGCATGCAAGAAAATCTACTCACTTGAGCAGTTCATTGAAGCTCAGCCAACCTTCTCTTTTGCCATCAGATGTGACCATCAGTTTGGTTTTCAGGTCATGATTCTCAGCTGTGACGGAGTCCACCACAGGTGCCAATGCATCCGTGGTGATTATACATTTGGCCTTGGACATCTGGAGTCTGTATTTGATGTCTTTTGCTGTTAATTGGGTCGTACCAGGCATAACTGTGATTCCTACAAGAGCAATGATAATATTTGTGTGGTTAGTGCAGATGCACCATTAGTCCTGGAGATCTAGTCAGCCATTTATTGTTGATCATCGCTTTCTTTTGGTCCTTGAAGAAGTGAAGAGCCTGGCCAGTCATTTTCATGGTTTCAGCTCAAATTTTTAGAAATGTTATTTCTTTTTGTGGACTATGACACCCAGAATCTTTAGCTAACACTCTGGAAATTGTGCTCAAGAGCCACTTTTGAATCATAGTGTTGGAAGAGACCTCATGGGCCATCCAGTCCAACCCCCTGCCAAGAAGCAGGAAAATTGTATTCCAAGCACCCCTGACAGATGGCCATCCAGCCTCTGTTTAAAAGTCTCCAAAGAAGGAGCCCCCACCACACTCTGGGGCAGAGAGTTCCAATGCTGAACAGCTCTCACAGTCAGGATGTCCTTTCTAATGTTCAGGTGGAATCTCCTTTCCTATAATTTGAAGCTATTGGTCTGCATCTTAGAATCATAGATTTATAGAATCATAGAGTTGGAAGAGACTCATGGGCCAACCAGTCCAACCCCCTGCCAAGAAGCAGGAAAATAGCATTCAAGGTACCCCAACAGATGGCCATCCAGCCTCTGTTTAAAAGCCTCCAAAGAAGGAGCCTCCACCACACTCAGGGACAGAGAGTTCCACTGCTGAACAGCTCTCTCACACAGTCAGAAAATTCTTACTAATGTTCAGGTGGAATCTCCTTTTCTGTAGTTTGAAGCTATTGTTCTGTGTCCTAGTCTCCAGGGCAGCAGAAAACAAGCTTGCTCTGTCTTCCCTGTGACTTCCTCTCACATATTTATACATGGCCCTCATATCTCCTCTCAGCCTTCTCTTCTGCAGGCTAAACATACCCAGCTCTTCAATCTGCTCCTCATAGGGCTTGTTCTCCAAACACTTGATCATTTTAATCACCCTCCTCTGGACAACATCTCCCTTCAATTGTGGTGCCCAGAATTGGACACAGTGTGATTTCAGGTAAAGTGGTCTGACCAAAGCAGAATAGAGGGGTAGCATGACTTCCCTGGATCTAGACACTAGACTCCTATTGATGCAGGCTAAAATCCCATTGGTTTTTAAAGCTGTGGCATCATATTCCTGGCTCGTCTTCACCTTCTTGTCCACAAGGACTCCCAAGATCATTTTCACACGTACTGCTATTGAGTCAGGCATCACCCATTCTGTATCTTTAAATTTAATTTTTTTCTGCCTAAGTGGAGCGTTTTGCATTTTTCCCTGTTGAACTTCATTTTGTTAGTTTTGGCCCATCTCTCTAAACTTCGACTAAAGCACTTTCCTAGTCTAATCATCATCTAATTTTCACAATATTTATATTAACCTGTCCTTATGCAAGCCACCGTCACCAACCACCATTCAGGAATCCGGGGCAGAATGGCCAAAACCCTGTCTCTCTTCTGGAGGCCACATCGGTCCGAGAGTACATTGGCCAATTTCCTGGATAAAACTCCCAGCTCCTCAAAGCTCCACCTCACTTCACCTCCTCTTCCATTGATCCACCATAGTGCTGGGTTGGAAGGTCTCTTCCCATCCTAAAAAATGAGAAAGAAAGAGGAAAGGAAGCATGGTTTCATTGTGTTTAGAGCTAGTACAGAGTTCATGCCACCATCCTCTTCCAATTACATTTATATCTGAGGGCCCATCTACACAGGCCACATAGGAAGTGAATGGACTCTGTAGTGTTCACATGACTTTCATGGTCCATTTGCCTTATTGCATCCTTATCCCACAATTCAGAATAGGTGCACAATGCCTCAAGCTTCCCTGAAGCTCCACAGCTCACCTGTGTTTTGGCCCAGAGTTAAAAGTTGGACCAGTTCCTATTTGGAAGCAGCTGCAGTTGGAGTATGCCTTTAAGGATAAAGGTCATATCTGTGTTTGACACTCATGTCTATTTGTTGTTCTATCGCTCCAACTCATTTCCAACTTAAGGCAACTGTAAGATGGAACTATCATGGTTCTCTGTTGGCATGATTTGTTCAGATCTCCCCTAAAAGATGACCAGATTGAGCATTCTTCTGTTGGTGACATCTTCCCTGTTTGGACATCTTCTGGATTTCAGACTAAAGTCTTTTTTACCTGTGAGCTGGAGGTGGCATGGATTGAATCTGCAAAGTTCTGCATGCTCACCATTGCCCAGTCACTGAGATATGCATGGCTTAGCACAGCAAGTTAAACTACTAAGCTGCAGAAAATACTGCCAATCGAAAGGTTGGCAGTTCAAGCCTGGGTCAGGGTAAGTGCCCACTATCAGCCCCAGCTTCTGCTCACCTAGCAGATCCAAAACAGAAATGTGAGTAGATAAATAGGTATTGCTTTAAAGCGGGGAGATAATAAAAGGCATCCATAAGGACATGTAGACGATTTGATCAAGACGTCTACAGAGGGCACAACTTCTTGCCATGAAAGAGGGAGCAACAGCACCCTGTCACCTATAGCCAAAGTTGAGCACAGCCTCCAGATGCCGGAAATGGAAAAAGATGGGAAAAGCCTTGACCTTTCTTTCTGAATTGTCTGTCCTTGTTAATTGTATAATGACACTGAATGTTTGCTGTTTAGGTGTTCTGTAGTCTGCCCTGAGTCACCTCGGGGAGATAGAGTGGAATATAAATAAAGTATATTATTATTAACTGTAGCCCCTGATGGTACACCAGGTTAAACTGCTGAGCTGCTGAACTTGCTGACCGAAAGGTCAGTGGTTCAAATACAGGGAGCGGGGTAAGCTCCCGCTGTTAGCCACAGCTTCTGCCAACCTAGCAGTTTGAAAACATGAAAATTTTAGTAGATCAATAGGTAACGGCACTTCATGTAGTCATGCCGGCTACATGACTTTGGAGATGTCTATGGACAATGCCAGCTCTTTGGCTTAGAAATGGAGATGAGCACTATCCCCGCAGAGTTGGACACGACTAGACTTAATGTCTGGGGAAACCTTTACCTTTACTTATTATTAACTATCACAGAAAAAGAACTTATATTTATCTCCACCAGTCAGCTATCCCGCTTAGGAGTGTCTACTTCAATTGCAATAATGTTCTAGTATCCTGGGGAGAGTAATTTGTACCAAAATGATCAGGTAGCAGATGATGTCAAACACCAAGGACTGCTGGATTTCTAAATAATCAGCCAACCAATCAAGCTTGACAAGCCTAGAGGAAAACCTTGGAAGGATCTGAAGTTTTTACCCCCCAGAATATTTACCTAGAAATTTCATAATTACCAAGCTGATTCCAAATCACATTGTGACTGTCTGGACCTATGTGTTTACATTGGCTATCACTGCTCTCTCTCTCTCTCTCTCTCTGTCCATTTTGTATATAATGGCCTTTCAGAAGGAAAGAGAAGACCATATGTGTTTTTTAGAAATAAGGAAAATAATTTCACCTTTTCAAGTTGTGACCATTTATCCAGTACATCATTTGCAAAGTTAAAATATTCAGGGATCGGCTGCTTTCCTTGTCTTACGGCTTCGTATTGTGCAAAAATGGGAGAGCTAAGAAAACTGGGATGTCCGTGAAAGGGCTGATGTGGCCCTCGAAGTATCCAGCAGAACTTGAAAATGTGAGATTTTGCTAATGTCTTCATGGTAGAAAAATAAAGTCTTGCAACAACATTAGTAAATCCAGACCTTTGGGATTGTAATCTGCAAGAAAAGTATAGCAGACAAGTCAGTGATTAAAACTGCAGGAATGTCAATGCTTTTACTGCTACTTTAGGGGCATTCAGAGTTCTTGATGCATTTATTGTCTTGATGCAACTTTTTTGTCATGCATGGGACTCTTGCAGAAGAAGAAGGTGGTCTGCACCATGATAAGAGGGCATTATATCCACTACCATAGGAGCCGCAGTGGTGCAATGGTTTAAACCCTTGTGCTGGCTGAACTGTTGACCTGAAGGTTGGTGGTTTGAATCCACTAGACCAGGGTTTCTCAAGCTGGGGGTTGGGACACCTAGGGGGGTTGCGAGGAGGTGTCAGAACTACAACTCTCAAATGTCCCGTCTATTTTCCCCAAACTCCACAAATGTTAACATTTGGGCATATTGAGGATTCGTACCAAGTTTGGTCCAGATCCATCATTGCTTGAGTCCACAGTGCTCTCTGGATGTAGGTGAACTATAGCTCCAAAACTCAAGGTCAATGCCCACCAAACCCTTCCAGTATTTTCTGTTGGTCATGGGAGTTCTGTGTGCCAAGTTTTGCCTAATTCCATCGTTGCTGGGGTTCAAAATGCTCTTAGATTGTAGGTGAACTATAAATCTCAGAAACTACAACTCCCAAATGACAAAATCAAGCCCCCCCCCCCACAACAGTATTTGGGTGTATCAGGTATTTGTGCCAAATTTGGTCCAGTAAATGAAAATACATCCTGCATATCAGATATTTACATTATGATTCATAACAGTAGCAAAATTCCAGTTATGAAGTAGCAAAGGAAATAATTTTATGGTTGGGGGTCACCACAACATGAGGAACTGTATTAAGGAGTCGTGGCATTAGGAAGGTTGAGAACCACTGCACTAGACGGAGTGAGTTCCCGTCTGTCAGCCCCAGCTTCCCAGCGGGTACATGAGAGAAGCCTCGCACTGTATGGTAACACATCCTGGCGACTCCTGGCCAACGTCCTTGCAGACGGCCAATTCTCTCACACTAGAAGCGACTTTCTCAAGTCACTTCTGACATGATAAAAAAAAGCTACTACCATGTCAGACTACTACAATATGCCATAGAAGCACATAAACACTAATTAGAAAAATGCATGGAGCTAATAACCCAACCATAAGATCCCATTCGCAGACAACACAGGATGCCAGGCAAAACATATTTTAAAAGTCTTTGTACTAATGGAGAGCACTGGTGAAATTTAAATACCTGAAGATTTCTATTCTTTCTCCCTCCTGGTGAAGATTAAATACGAAGGATCCAAGATGCCAACCAGAAAAGGTGTTGGCTGTGCTTTAGGGGATAAAAATGTTGGACTGAGATTTGGAAATCCAGGTTCTAGTTCATGTTCAGTAATGAAGCTCAGCCTGACCTATCTCACAGGGCTATCATTGTTTATATGCTTTAGGCTAGTCAGGCTGATAAAGACTTGCCTAAGCCAATTGGCAGACACAAGATTTAGACCAACCCTTCTCCCTGTCACTTTCTCTCCCCAACTTCCAGGTTGTATCCCTCCTTTAGATACTATGAATGATAAAGGGAAGATATATCGGGGCAAAACTTAGCAGGATTTATTTTCTCTCTGTATCTATTGCCTTGTTCTCTCTACTTACTCTAAATCTCATCACCAGGTTGACATCACATCACCTAATGTACATCTATTTCTGAAACATCAATCTGTCATCTCCTTTTGAAATCTAGTCCAGCCTGTTCTCTTACAGTCTGTCACCCTGAATATGAATGTAGAATCTGAATTATTTGAGAGAATGTGGAAACTCTATAATCCATCAAGGAAACAGAAACAAGGAAATGGGCTTCATCACGCACCTTGAGTTCTTGACTACACTAGTTGGCAAATGCTGGGAGCCTCATAAGATGGCTTAAGACAGCGTTTCTCAACCTGCGTGTTGCGAGGAGGTGCGAGAGGGGTTGCCAAAGGCCATCAGAAAACACAGTATTTTTTGTTGGTCATGGGGGTTCTGTGTGGGAAGTTTGGCCCAATACTATCATTGGTGGGGTTCAAAATGCTCTTTGATTGTAGGTTAACTATAAATCCCAGCAACTAAAACTCCCAAATGTCAAGGTCTATTTTCCCCAAACTCCACCAGTGTTCACATTTGGCCATATTGAGAATCCGGGCCAAGTTTGGTCCAGATCCATCATTGTTTGAGTCCACAGTGCTCTCTGGATGTAGGTGGACTACATCTCCAAAACTCAAGGTCAATGCCAACCAAACCCTTCCAGTATTTTCTGTCGGTCATGGAAGTTCTGTGTGCCAAGATTGGTTCACTTCCATCGTTGGTGGAGTTCATAATGCTCTTTGATTGTAGGGGGAACTATAAATCTCAGCAACTACAACTCCCAAATGACAAAATCAATTTCACCCAAAACCTCATCAGTATTCAAATTTGGGTGTATTGGGTATTGAGCCAAATTTGGTCCAGTGAATGAAAATTCATCCTATTGTCGAAGACCTCACAACCTCTGAGGATGCTTGCCATAGATGCAGGCGAAACGTCAGGAGAGAATGCTTCTAGAACATGGCCATATAGCTCCCAAAAAACCTACAGCAACCCAAAATTCATCCTGCATATCAGATATTTACATTACAATTCTTAACAGTACCAAAATTACAGTTATGAAGTAGCAACAAAATAATGTTAAAGTTGGGGGTCACCACAATATGAGGAAGTGTATTAAGGGATCACGGCATTAAGAGGCTTGAGAACCACTGGCTTAAGAGAAAATTGTATTTTGATCTGACTGCACTCTCAGTTGTTGCAATTGAATGAGAAACCAATGTTCACCTGTTCATGGTACTGACCTGCAAGATGCGTTAGTTAGGAAGCTTGGCCAGTGACGTCCAGGAACAGCGTCTTCATTAGATCCGTGGCTTCAGGAATACATGACAATGATCATTTGGAGAAAATTAAACCTACTGAGTATATCTTCAGATTTTGGTATGTGCTTCAATGGTAAAAAAAAAAAATGTTTGGTACAGTTCAAAGTATACACTGGGGCAAGCTACTAAATGACAGCATCATCTAATAATTGACATGTTCAGTAGAATGTGAGAGTACATTGACCTTCAGCACTTGTTGTTTGTTCCTTTTCGCCCACATTTTAGGAGGGAAATGTATACAAGACAAACATTAAGGATGTTAAGGAAACATTTAGTAGTTTCAGAGATGAAAAAAACTCCATGTCCCTAGTCCTTCAACTCTAAATACGAATAACTTGATGTGTCCATGAAAACTCTACATTTTAGGTGGACAGCAAATCACAAAAATACTGCAGATTGAATATCATGTCTCTGAGATGCTTTGGACCAGAAGTGTTTTGGATTTTGGGATATTTGCATGGTATCCAAGTCTAAACACCTTCTACATATAGCCTGAAGATAATTGTAATATTTTAATAACATTGTGTATGAAATATGGTTTACATGCATTGAACCATCAGAAAGTAAAAATGTCTTTTTCTAATCACCCAAGAGAGACAAAGTTCATGTGAGGTCTATTGAGTAAAACTAGTTTCTTCCAGTTCCTTCCCCAATTCCAGCCATAGCTGAACTTTGGTTACATTCTGCAGAATAGCACAACTGGAAGAATTAATTTGTTGTTGGTGAGTGGAACGTAGGTATTAGGCAAGCCTCACTGAAAAATGACTAGGACCTGTTTGTCTGCATAAAAGGTCTGGGTTCCTTAAATATGCTGCATTGTTACAGAGAGCAATGTAAGTTCAGGACATAGGAGGAGGATCTAACTTTCTCTTTGTAGAGACTGGAATATCATGTTACTCTCTCTCCTTATGTCAGTGGTCCCCAACCTTTTGTCCTCCAGGTATTTTGGACCTCAACTCCCAGAAATACCAGTCATATTCCCAGTTGTTAGGAACTGTGGGAGCTGAAGTCCAAAACACCTGGAGGACAAAAGGTTGGGAACCATGGCCTTATGAAGACAAGGAGAAAACCTGGCCTAGGATATGGCAAGCCGGCGTTTTGAGCCATTTGATGCTGAATGAGGTTCAATGAGGGATGGCAAACACCTTGTGTTCATTGTGTGTCAATGCCCCACCTTCCCATCTTCTAGGAGCTCTTCTAGTATCACTTTGGAGAAGTTGATGGATGACCTTCCCTAAGTTAAAACTGCTGGAACACTTGATCACTCAGAAGTGGAATAGTAGTTATTTGTGGGGAAGGGGGTGAGAATGAGGCTAGGGCCATTGATTGCAGAAGATGGGTCAGAGAAATGAGGCCTGCCATTTGTGATGTTCGGATGGCTTTCAAACATATTGTATACTTTTGATGCTTCTGTGGCTGGAGACATCAACTGAATATTGATTAAGTGGTTGCATGGAAGACTGATCAGAAGGAAGACTGGTAATCAATTATGATGCCACATCATATCATCATCATCATAGGTGATCCCTCGTGGCCCAAGTATGACTGCCTTTGAAGTGTAGATTCTTGGTGGTGGCTCTGTAAGTGACTGTAGAGGCCTATCCACATGATAGGGGAAAGGTAAAAGATAAAATCTTTAGAATATCTTATGGTTCTGATTAGAAGCATGAATATCCAGGGGTTTACAGACGACTGTACAGCAGTTCTAGAGAACCCTCTAATGGTCTTACTCGTAATAGCAGAAAGAATGTATGGAGCTAAGTAGCCACTAACACTGCTTTGTTGATAGTTGGATACAAAATTGGCATTTCTAAGCTGCTCCATGGATTGGCATTTCTAAGCTGCTCCATGCAGATGGGACCAAATTGGGAGGGATAGCCAATGCTCCAGAAGACAGGAGCAGAATTCAAAATGATCCGAACAGATTTGAGAGATGATGGGGCAAAACTACCAAACAGATTTGAGAGATGATGGGGCAAAACTACCAAAATGAAGTTCAATATAGACAAAGGCAAGATACTCCACTTAGGAAGAAAAAGTGAAATGCAAAGATACAGAATGGGGGATGATGCCTGGCTTGACAACCGGACATGTGAAAAAGATCTTGGAGTCCTCGTGGAGAGGAAGGTGGACATGAGCCAACGACGTCATGCAGCACTACAAAATCCAATGGGATTCTGGCCTTCATAAACAGGAACATAGTGTCTAGATCCAGGGAAGTCATGCAACCCTTCTATTCTGCCTTGGTCAGACCACACCTGGAATCACACTGTGTCCAGTTCTGGGCACTGCGATTTCAGGGAGACATTGACAAGTTGGAATGTGTCCAGAGGGGGGCGACTAAAATGATCAAGGGTCTGGAGAATAACCCCTATGAGGAGCAGCTTAAAGAACTGTGCAAGTTTAGCCTGCAGAAGAGAAGGCTGAGAGAAGACATGATGAGGGCCATGTATCAAGGTGTGAGGGGAAGTCATAGGGAGGAGGGTGCAAACTTGTTTTCTGCAGCCCTGGAGAGTAGGATGCAGAACAATGACTTCAAACTACAGAAAAGGAGAAACCACCTGAACATTAGGAAGAACTTGCTGACTGCGAGAGCTGTTCAGCAGTGGAACTCTCTGCCCCGGAGTGTGGTGGAGGCTTCTTCTTAGGAGGCTTTTAAACAGAGGCTAGATGGCTATCTGTCAGGGGTTCTTGGAATACAATTTTCCTGCTTTTTGGCAGAATGGGGTTGGACTGGATGGCCCACGAGGTCTCTTCCAACTCTTATGATTCTAAGTATCAGTCCTTTTGGGGGGAAACCTGAAAGCTAAAACTGTTAGGAATGAGCTTTCCCTTTGCAGAGCAGAGAAGCATGCCCCAAACTCATGGGGCTTCTCTGAACTGAACAAAGCAGGCTGTTTCTATTTGCAAGCTTTGAAGAGTTAACTAATGCTTTTTACATTTAAGTATGCATGACAAGCCTACATCCTAACTAGCTAAGGATAAAGGGAAGAGTTTCATTTTAAACTCACCAGCTCCTTAATGAAGAAGCAAAGTATAGATGAAGTACTGGAGAAGAAGGAGTCCGAAAGAGACTGAAAAGAGGGGAGGCTTTCTACAACTGCTTTCAAGAACTGCCCAGGATCACATGGTCTAATTACCATACCTGGATACACAAAAAGGTATATCTTAGATAGGAGAGCAAAGGGGGAGGTCATAGAGAAGAAAAGAGGTATCACACGTAGCACATTCTTTCTATCTAAACTCCAATTGCTCTAGCCCAAGCATGGACAAACTTCAGCTCTCTCACTTAAGCGGCTGAGGGGGAAAAGGAAGAGGCCTGAGGCTGTTAGGAATTGCAGGAGCTGAAGTCCAAAACATCTGGAGAGAGCTGAAGTTTATCCATGCCTGTTCATAGAAGACAGAGCTATAATTTGGACTCTCCTCACTCCCATACAAAGGAGCTTCTTCTACTTCTTTGCAACTTTCTTGACATCCCCATGCAAAAGAGAAGACAGGAGAATAGAAGAAGAGGTTGTTTTTAAAAGAGACTCAGAAAAACTAAGATAAAGGACTTTATCACAGGAAGATAGCAAACTTGCATTGAAGCAGGGCCTTTAGTGAACATTCCTATCACATGAATTGATGTGCAATTCATTATCTGTCTGTCCACTATAAACCCAATCCTTGCTATGGATGGGAAAACCCATCCATAGCCCCTGATCTCAGCTTAGGACCTTATCATAAAGGAGAAAACTCTTTTGGAGCATGTAAAAATCAGTTGGTGAGTGTGTTAACTGAAAAAAATGCAAAGCACAAAGCTGATTGGTTGGGATATGCCCAGGATGCTAGCTGAGCCTGGCAATTTTGGCAACAGTTACATGTTTAGGTCTTCTGTACAAGCTCCTGTACAGAAGACCTAAACATGTAACTATTGCCAAAATTCCCAGGCTCAGCTAGCATCCTGGGCGTATCCCAACCAATCAGCTTAATATATACAATTTAGTATATTTTTGTATATATTAGTATATACATTCACATCATCCTAGACCCAGCTCCGATTCTGTTTTCAGCCATGATATAGTTTGTACGATATTGGTGTATTCTGTTATGTTTTATTTGATTGATTTGAAAACTTTTGTTTTAATCTGCAATTTTTGGGCTTGTTCCCATATAAGCCTCCCCGAGTCCCCTTGGGAAGATGGTGGCGGGGTATAAAAATAAAGTTGTTGTTGTTGTTGTTGTTGTTATTATTATTATTATTATTATTATTATTATTATTATGTCCCTGTTGGTGCTGCTTGACCTCTCAGCGGCCTTCGATACCGTCGACCACGGTATCCTTCTGGGACGCCTCGCAGGGATGGGTCTTGGAGGTACTGTTTTGCAGTGGCTCCGGTCATTCCTGGAGGGTCGATCTCAGAAGGTGTTGTTGGGGGACACCTGTTCAACCCCACAACCATTGTCTTGTGGGGTTCTTCAGGGTTCTATACTGTCTCCCATGCTGTTTAATATCTACATGAAGCCGCTGGGTGAGATCATCCGGAGTTTCAGGGTGCGGTGTCATCTGTACGCAGATGATGTCCAACTCTGTCACTCCTTTCCACCTGCTACTAAGGAGGCTGTCGAGGTCCTGAACCGGTGCCTGGCCGCTGTAACGGTCGGGATGAGGGCAAACAAATTGAAATTGAATCCAGACAAGACAGAGGTACTCCTGGTCAGTCGCAAGGCCGAACAGGGCATAGGGTTACAGCCTGTGTTGGATGGGGCCGCACTCCCCCTGAAGATGCAGGTTCGCAGCTTGGGTGTGACCCTGGACTCATCGCTGAGCCTGGAACCCCAGGTTTCGGCGGTGACCAGGGGAGCATTTGCACAGCTAAAGCTTGTGCCAGCTGCGCCCGTACCTTGGGAAGTCTGACTTGGCCACGGTAGTCCACGCTCTGGTTACATCCCGTTTAGACTACTGCAACGCTCTCTACGTGGGGTTGCCTTTGAAGACAGCTCGGAAGCTCCAACTAGTCCAACGCTCGGCAGCCATGATTTTAACAGGAGCGGAGCGCAGGGAGCATACAACCCCCCTGTTGCGCCAACTCCACTGGCTACCGATCTGCTACCGGGCTGAATTCAAAGTGCTGGCGTTGGCCTTTAAAGCCCTAAACGGTTCCGGCCCAAGCTACCTATCTGACCGCATCTCTGCCTATGAACCCACCAGGAGTTTGAGATCTTCCGGGGAGACCCTGCTCTCGATCCCGCCTGCTTCTCAAGCTCGGCTGGCGGGGACGAGAGATAGGGCCTTCTCGGTGGTGGCTCCTCGGCTGTGGAACGCCCTTCCTACGGACATTAGACTAGCACCATCTCTAATGGTATTCCGCAAAAAGGTGAAGACCTGGATGTTTGTGCAGGCGTTTGAGTAATTTAGTGCAATCTGGTAATGGAACATAGGAATGGAACAAGGGACGACGAACATGGACTACGCTTGGATGATGAGAAGATTGGGTACGGTTGTTTTTTGTAATAATTGTGCATTGTAACTGCTTATTGGTAATTTATGGATAATGTGTTAAGTCAGTTGTTATATGTTGTATGGAACCACTGCTGTTTCTACTGTTTTTACTGTTTGTGAACCGCCGTGAGTCGCCTTCGGGCTTGAGATACAGCGGTATATAAGCAAAGTAAATAAATATTGTATTTCTGCTTCTGAGCTGCTGGAAGATCCTTCACATGGACACCCAAGGAACATTTTAATCTCTCTCAAAGGACATTGTGTTAGTCAATGCAACTGTTCACCTGTCTATTATGTTGTTCTGCATAATGAAGAGTAAACACCTTATTCTTTATTGATAATCTGTGTGGCATATCTTTTATCTAACAAGACAGCGTGTGGATTGGTAAGAAGTGAGCTATGCATGATTTTCATTCCGTCACAAACCCCGTCTCTGACATGCTATGCGAGCCTCAACGGGAGCGATGACATGAGCCCCTGCACCTTTTGCTTGGATCCCATGAGTTCTATGCATTAACTATGCATCCTGAATATTTTAGAAAACTTTCCCAAGCATTTTCACTGTTCCTTCTTTTTGATGACCTCTAGATGCAAGCTTCTCCAGGTGAGATCTTACCCCCTTCTGAATCTCATCATCTGTACCAGTGATGTGTTCTGCAGGGAATGTATTGAGGATATTTTTCTACAAATTGATTCTCATTTGTGTAATCAACTGGCAGTAGACTTCCACTGGCAGTCAGACTTTTCCTTTGTGGTATGTTCACCTGAGTAGTCATTCATGTTTTCCACTTTCACATTACTGTATTTTTTCAGTTCTTAGACTCACTTTTTTCCTAGAGAAACATCTCGAAAAATGGGGTGCGTGTTAGAGTCACGTGTCTTTTATGGATTTTTGTTGGGGGTGGTTGCACTAAAATTAGGGTGTATCTTACAATCGGTGACGTCTTACAGTTGAAGAAATACTGTAATTTTTCTTTTCTTTGTCTTTTTTTAATTCTTGGAATTTTGCAACTCCATTGGGACAGAAAGATGTCTTTCTGTTTCTCCATTGGGATGGAGATTACAAACTTCCACATTTATTTATTTTATTTAGAGTATTTATACCTCGCCCTTCTCACCCCGAAGGGGACTCAGAGTGACTTACAGAACACACATACGGCAAACATTCAATGCTGATTATACCATTAGGAAGGACAGACAACACAAACAGATGTAAAGGCAGTTTTTCCCATCTTATTTTCAGTTGTACTCGACTCTGGCCACAGAGGGGATGGGGTGGTTGCTGTCACTCCATTTTTCATAACGAAGAGCTTTCCTCTGATTGATGTCCTTAAGGGCACCTTTATTGCCTCCCCGCTAAAAGTGGTACTATTTTATCTACTTGCATTTCTACTTTCGACCTGCTAGGTGAGCAGGTGAGCTGGGGCTAATGGCAGGTGCTCACCCCAACCGAGGATCAAACTGCTGACCTTCTGATCAGCAGGATTTTTCTGCAGCACAGTGGTTTAACCTGCTGTACTAAGTCCATCCCCAGTTGTGCAAGGTCTGCCTTAAAGACAATGACTTTGGGCAGGGTTTCTTAAGGTTATTTGACTTGTGACCCCCTTTATATGTGAGATTTTTAAGGGAAGGCAGGGAGGCAGGTGCACACCTTAGACAGGAGGCATGGCAATAGGAAAGACAGATAGACACCGGGGAGAGGAGGCACATTCTTTGCCAACGGGTCAGGAAGTGTCCAGCCTTGTGCCTGGCAAAGCAACTCGGGGGCAAGCATTTCGGGCTGCCCTCAGTCCCTCTCTTCAGCTGGTGAGCCTGGTATGGGCCCTCTCAGAAGACCTTCCTCCATGGTGTAATTGCATGTAATATTTAAGGCAAAACCATGTTATCTGATTATTTCATACCATTACGCTTCTCTCATACAGTCTTTTTATAACAACAACAACAACAACAACAACATTCCGCCCTTCTCACCCCGAAGGGGACTCAGGGTGGATCACAAATACACATACACAGCAAACATTCAATGCCGTTTGTATAGACGCAGACAGACAGAACAGAAGACGGTGTTGTTTCAATGCCATGGACAGTTGGGCTTGAGTCTACAGGAGGTGCTGTTGTTCCATCCTCTATCAGGAAAAGCTGTCAGCACTTCCTCATTCCAGCATTTTCTGATTTTCCTTTTCTTTATGGCTTTGTAAAACATCTCCCCCGCTTTTAGCGGTACCTAATTTCTTTAATTACAGCTAAAGCTGTTTTCGAACTGCTTAGGTAAACAGTGAGCAGGGCTGACAGTTGGCCACTCATGCCGACCCGGGGCTTCCAACTTGCAACCTTTCGGATGATAGATCTTATAATTGCTGATGATTTACCAGCTGTACTACTAAACCTCCGGCCCCGTCAGAAAACTGCATGTTTCTGCCTACCGTTTTCTTTGTAGTAGATTTTGAACCAATATATCATCGCCGTTTTCTTTGTCATGGGATGGGGAAATTGCCTCCCACTCCCCTTCACTGCCCTTTTGCACTAATACTTCAGGTGAAGGTATGTGTGTGTTTGTAAAAACGCAAACTTCACTGGCATTGTAAAGTTGCTTTTACAAAATAAGCTTTTAAAAATCCAAAGTGACAGTACTGTGGGAGTTGGGAATCAGATTGCTAACCCAAAGTGTAGCAACAGGATTACAGGCTGCCATAGCACTGCAATGGTCTGGTAAGTAGAGGTGCAATGCCGATGGTCATCATGTCAGTAAATGGCCACGATTGCTGATAATGCAAATGGTATGGAATAACGGCATCATACAATAAGTCCAAAGACAATGAAATCAGAGTTTTGACAAAGGTTTTTGAGAACTGGAGGTCTGGAATAACCAGGTCAGCTTGGGGATGAGCCAGCCACTCTCACTCAATGAACCCCATGCAATCTTGCTTCCCCTGGGCACTGAACAGAATACAACCCAGTCTGAGAAGATGAGAGATTGGTGGAAAGGCTACAGCTTTCCCCATCCCTGAGCAACAAGATCAAAGCTGGAAACCTAACAACACTTGACCTGCAATTCACATTGAACTTTGAGTAGGCATCTTATGAAATACACTTTATTTTGGTTACAGGACAAGAAAGGAGACAAGAAGGTGGCTATATTCAGGAGCAGAGCTTATTTTAGAGCACTGGATCCTGTTTGAGTCATAGTATAAAAAATATGCCAAAAGTATAATTTTGGCCAGAAAGCTTATGTAGGATCTAACATCTTCACAGCTTATGTGGAACTTCGTAAGTGCACTTATGTCCACAGCAGTTGGGCAGTTCTATAAAATCCATATTCAGCAAGGAACTGCCATGAAGTTACTGCATAGGGAAGCTGGAAAAGTAACTGATGAACATTGGGATGGATGCACAATGAGACTGATGCACATTGCAGTGATGTGCATCAAAGCCCTAGCTAAGGAGAGCTGATGTATATTGGTACAGCTTGATGCTCATGAAGGCACTTGCTGATATCCCCTTAAGCATTTTCACAGTTTCAGAAGAATGTCATGTCACAGTTAAGTATCCATAAAGTTACAGAACATAGGCCATAATAGATGACCCAAGCCTTTGACACTTATTGATATTGATGCTTCTTGTCTTATTTATTATAGGGCAAAGGTGGGCAACTACTGGTAGTTAGAGGGTGCACTGGAGGGCCAGGCTCCCAGAAAGAAAAAAAATCAATATGGTTTGTATCTTCAAATGCTTCCAACATCCTCCTTAGCATTATTGACACATTTTTGGTGAAAACAAGACTATTTTAGGTCCAGAGGATGCCTTTTCCATGGCATGTCCTGAGAATTTCTTGTCTCATACCTCACAATCTCTAAAGATGCCTGCCATAGATGCAACTGAAACGTCAGGAGAGAATGCTTCCAGAACGTGGCCATATGGCCCAAAAAACTTACAACAATCCAGTGATTCCGGTCATGAAAGCCTTTGACAATACCATTTCTTGTCTTTAAGAAAGCATCTTCTGGATTTGAGATGTTACAAACAGGGCAGAAATGGGACAAAATTGTCCCCTCAGCCTCTATGTAGCCTTCAAGGTAACCCTTTTCTCAGAGGTAAAAGGTATATTTTTGCATAAGTATTGATTTAATGTTATCTATTCGAACAATGCTATATGTTTTGTTCAAATAGTTTGTCTCCTTGCCTTCGCTCCCGTCTCCAATGCCTCCTCTCCCCAGCGTGCGCCTATCTTTCCTCCTATGTTTTGGTTTTATTTTGCAAAGAATACCCACCAATTGTCCATAATCTTAAGACAGAAATCATGAATCTTGGGAGAATTTCAGATCTATTCTAGGAGTATCTGTGGGTCAAAAGTACAGTTCTTTCTTGACTGTGTCAATGTTTCTGCTTAGCATTTTTAGAACAAAATTCTTTGAAAAAATATATCAGAAATTGAGACAATAGTGGGAAATTATCCATCTCAATAGACAAGGGCAGGGATGAGGGGAACCATCATTTGCTAAGCTTATCCGAAGCTAGATTTTCCCCCATTCTCGGTTCCTTAATACATTCCTTTGGACTTTCCCAGTAGGTGTCTTCGGTAGTTCTTGGACAAACTCAATCTGTGTTAGGAAAAAAAGAGTCAAATTTCAATTTTTTGTTAGTTACATTTCTACCTTGGTTTTCCATGAATAAGTTCAGGATGACCACTTTCTTCCTCACTATTCAATCCAAGGACACCTGATACATTTAATGGTTCACTTCAGTATGGACCTCCCAAATCCCATCCCAACACCAATGTTGTTGTCTTAAGAATTGATGGCAAAAATCTGAGCCAATTTTTTGAAGGAATCTGGATCTACCTAGCTTTACTTCAGAGCCATTGTCTTGGATCCACTTTGGATCCAAAAGGATTTGTGGGTGAAAGCTGACAACTCTAAAATACTGAATATCCTCTTGGACTCAGAGCCAAAAGCAGTTAAAACAAAGCAATGGAAATACATTTAGTCTTGTTTGGCTTTTGGAAGCTAAGCAAGATCAGACTTGGTTAGAATGTGGATTGAATACTAGCTAAGAAGACTATTGATTGCCTGAGAAGATCAAGAAGAAATCCAACCAGAAGCCTTGAAGATTCAATGTCTGCCACAGTTGAAAACACTGGTCTAGAGGAACCAATGATTTGACATAATATTGGGCAGTCTCATCAGTTAGCCTTGCTGCTGGGATGTGTTGGAATGAGACACATGGGTGATTGAGTCCAACCTGCAGCTCCATACGGGATCTCCAGGTAAAGCAACCCCCAACAGACAGCTGTCCAGCATTTTTGAAGGTCCTAGAGAAGAAGATCCCACCATCTTCTAGGCAGTTGATTCCATTGCCAAAAACTATTTTTGGAGAGAAGTTTTTTCTAACGTTCAATTGAAATTTACCATATTACAAGTTAAAACCTTGTGGGCCATCCAGTCCAACCCCCTACAAAGTAGCAGTAAAATCACATTCAAAGCACCCCCCGACAGATGGCCACCCAGCCTCTGTTTCAATGCCTCCAAAGAAAGAGCCTTCACCACATCAAATTCCCCCAGTTCTTGGGATGAAGTTTGATTGATCATGTCCTCATCAGGATGCAAGATACGTTTGTTCTTGCTCTCCTTCTTTCCTTCTTTTTGTCCTTCTTGGCACAATGCTGCCTCCCCGCATTTCTGACACTGACTTCTCTGTGGGCCAAGACTCATTGTTTACACATGTCTCACGTGGAAGATGGACATTCAGATGCCATGTGGAAAATGGAGCACATTATGTTTTCTACTGCTCCAAAGACTAGAACATGAATCGATGGACTCAAATTACAAGAAAAGAGATTTCACCTAAGAAGAACTTTTTCATCTCAGGAGCCATTCAACAGTGGAATAAATTGACTCTGGATCAAGGGAAGTCATGGCACCCTCTATTGTGCTTTGGTCACACTTCAACTGGAATAATGCTGTATCCAATTCTCGATATCACAATTTTAAGAGTGATATGGACAAGCAGGAAGGTGTCCAGAGGAGAACAACTAAAATGGTCAAAGGTCTGGAGAACATGAATCCTTTTGAGGAACATTTTAAAGAGCTGGGTCAGTTTAACCTCAGAAGAGAAGGCTGAGTTGAAACATGAGAGGAGCCACATATAAATATTTGAAAGGAAGAGGAATCAGGCTGGTTTTTCTGCTGTCCTGGAGGACTCAATGGGGCAATGGGTTCAAATTACAGGAAAGGTGATTCCATCTGAACATTAGAAAGAACTTCCTGATTGTAAAAAGAGCTATTCAACAGTGGAACTCTTTGCATTGGAGTCTGATAGAGGCTCCTTCTCTGGAGGTTTTTAAACAGAGTCTGGGTGGCCATCTGTCGGGAGTGCTTTGATGGTGCTTTTCCTGCAGGGCAGAATGGAGTTGAACTAGCTAACCTATGTGGCCTTAGCCTTAGAATTTCTGTCTTTGGGAGTCTTTGAGCAGAGGTTGGATGGACATCTTTCTGTAGTCTTTTAACTGAGTATTATTGTATGACAGGAGTTGGACAAAATAGCCCTTTCCCTTCCTTCCGGTTCTAAAATTCTATGAACCTTTCTATTAAATAGCAGGAGGATACTTGCCTTTCTGGGATATTTGTAGGGAGCAGTGACCTTTTTTACATGATCTTGAAGTTCCTTGATAAGCTTTTCTGGATCATGTGATGTATAATTCGGAGACAAGACTATAAAAGCTTTCACCACCTGTAGGATGCCAATTTTAAGTATTAACAACTCAGAGAAATAATTCTGCATTCTCTCAGAAATGAGCAATCTTGGGATGGCCCTTGGGCTGGCAAGGAGTAGAGCAGATACTCAGGTCCCATTGTTTTCTGAGAACGTCATCAAGAATCAACTTGGAGAAGGGATAGAGTGGGGAAGCGAGTTGTTTCTCATTACCTCTGTTCTGACAGGGTCTGGGCTGCTGACAACAGCAGATTCGACAACTGCTGGGTGTTCGATCAAGGCACTTTCCACTTCAAAGGGGCCAATACGGTATCTAAGGGAGGACACAGACATTCCTTGATCTACTGGTGGCTAAATGCACACCAACCAAGCAAGCTTCCAAATGAAACTCATCTCAAGGGAACTTACCCAGAGGAATTAATGACATCATCCGACCTTCCAACAAACCAAATGTAGCCTTCTTCATCAATAAGCCCTCTGTCGCCAGTGGAGTAAAAATCCCCGCGCTCACTGGCTGCAGTTTTCTCAGGGTTATCCTAGAACCAATCAGATATGATTTCCATAACATTCCATTACATAACATTCATATTCCACCAGATAGATAGATAGATAGATAGATAGATAGATAGATAGATAGATAGATAGATAGAGACAGAGGATGGCTGGGGGTAGTCAGACAGGATGCCCTGCCCTTTGGGATGACTTCATTTCAGCTTCATGCTCTGTGTGCCATATGGCATCTGATCAGGGGAACAGGGAAAGAGCCTCCTTGAAGACTGAGTAAATACAGTTGGGTGTCCCCTGGGCAATGTTTCATGTAAATGGCTAATCTTTCCAACCCAAAGCATTGCTTTACAACAGTGGTTCTCAACCTTCCTAATGCCGCGACCCCTTAGTACAGGTCCTCATGTTATGGTGACCCCCAACCATAAAGTTATTTTCATTGCTACTTCATAACTGTAATTTTGCTACTGTTATGAATTGTAATGTAAATATCTGATATGCAGGATGTATTTTCAATCACTGGACCAAATTTGGCAAAAATACCCGATACGCCCAAAATTTGAATACTGGTGGGGTTGAGGGTGATTGATTTTGTCATTTGGTAATGCTGGAGTTGCTGGGATTTATAGTTCACCCTAAATCAAAGAGCCTTCTGAACTCCATCAATGGAATTGAATCAAACATTGAATCAAACATGGCACACAGAATTCCCATGACTAAGAGACAATATTGGGAAGGTCTGGTGGACATTGACCTTGAGTTTTTGGAGTTGTAGTTCACCTATATCCAGACTGTGGACTCAAGCAATGATGGATCTGGATCAAATTTGGCACAAATACTCAATATGCCCAAATGTGAACACTGGTAGAGTTTGGAGAAAATAGACCTTGCCATTTGGGAGTTGTAGTTGTTGGGATTTATAGTTCACCCACAATGAAATAGCATTCTGAACCCCACCAATGATAGAATTGGGCCAAGCTTCCCACACAGAACCCACATGACCAACAGAAAATACTATGTTTTCTGATGGTCTTTGGCAACCCCTCTGACACCCCCTCGCGACCCCCACAGGGGTCCCGACCCCCAGGTTGAGAAACACTGCTTTACAACATTCTATTCAATGCTTTTGACACAAAATAAAAAGGGCTTCTTAAACTTTGTGACCCCTGTACATAGGGGTATGAAATACATTTTTGAAAATGTACTTAACAAGTACTTATCTATAGCAGCGGAACATACGAAATATCCTTTTAAGTACATTATTTTTTCATTCATAGAACCAAATTTGCATGTTGGATGTTTATACATTTTTACACATAATAAAAGTGAAAATATGTATGTGTGTATGTGGCAGGGATGTCCACTTATACAGACAAGCTCCTACCTCCACAAACAGCTATAGTTCCCACTCTTCAGGAGACACCAATGGCCTTCCCTCCAATGACATTGCAGTTTGTAGTGAGCACCATGAACATGTCCAAGAGCCCTGCCAATGCCCTCCAAAAACACTACACTGTCTACCAAACAAGTGAAAGCTTTCATACGGGAACAATTTCATTCTAGATTTTATGTGTTTCCTCCACCACAGACATTTCAGTGTTTCTGACTCTCTCCATATGGCACACAACAAACTGAGGAATTGATCAGCAACTGAACATACTAGAGAGGTTTGGGGAGAATTCACCATGATTTATAGAAATTGTAGGTACTGGGATTTATAGGAGTTGTAGGTACCTGCAATCTAAGAGCACCCTGAATTCCATCAAAAATGGAATTGGACCAAACTTAGCATACAGAGTCCCCATGACCAGCAAAAAAATACTAGAGGCATCTGGGGGAAATTCACCTTGATTTAGGAGAGTTGTAGTTCACCTACATCCAGAGAACACTGTTAACCCAGACACTGATGGATCTATACTAAACTTGGCATGCATGCCTGATACTTCCAAATTTGATTACAGAAGGGAGTTTTTTTTGGGGGGGGGGTGGTTACCTTCCTTTTCTGGGAGTTGTAGTTTACCCTACAGCAGTGGTTCTCAACTGGTGGGTCCCCAGATGTCCTAACAGCTGGTGAACTGCCTGGGATTTCTGGAAGTTGTAGGCCAAAACACCTGGGGACCCACAGGTTGAGAACCACTGCCCTACAGCCAAAGAGCACATTGAACCCCACTGATGATGCATCTAGAGCACACTTGCCCAACTTGAGAAACTTTGAGTACTGACGGAGTTTTTGGGGTTAACCTGGCATGATGTGAGTTGTAGTTCACCCACAAACTTATGCATTTTGTACAATTAAAAATTTGAATTTCTCAAGTAATCTGGGCAACACCATGTACCCAAGCTAGTAGGTATATAAAATACAAATAAAGACCAAACATTAACTGATAAAAATCAGCACTTGTAAGACTAGCGAAACAGGCTCATTTTCCTTTTAATGAAGCATCTTTTGCAGAGTTCACAGTAAACACTACACAATGGATTTATGCAAATGTCCAAAATAGCCAGCAGGTGGCATTTAGAAAATTTTTCAGGACTCCAACATTGAGCTACAGGGAGCCCATTTTGCGTCATACTTTAGATTATCATAAATGGAAGATAGTTGATAGTTGGCAAAGTCCTCAATGAAGAGATGTGGGCTACAGCAGCTGTGTAGTGATGCCCATTATTTCACTTTGCATCATGCCCCTGCTTTCAAATTTATTGTGTGGTCTGCTATAGAATGTCCCCCTTTTATAGTAAAATATAATTAGAAATTTAAATGAGCAAAATTTACAAATAGTTCCACATCTGAGAAACTTCAGCAAAGAAAACATCACCAGATCTACTGCAAAGTGAAGGGGCTGATATGTTGCAAGCATTCAATGGCCGAACTGAAAAAATGATTACTTACGACATACTGTTGGAAAAGACAAAATGGCCGCTTTGGTTTGATTCTGATAGCAATATCTCCTTCTGTCCCTGGAGGCTGGATATTGCCTTCATCATCTATAATCTGTTGAAACAACATTTTAAATAGGATTTGGTGTCCAGGGTTTCTGAAATATGGCTTCCCTCTATCTCAGAGCAATGGATATTTCCCCAGTCACAATAACATTCTGGGAGGGTAATGCATATTTCCATATTATTCCCTGTCAATCTTGAGATGGATACAGATTTTGCAAATTTGCAATTGTTGTTTTACCTGAACATCATATGGTGGAACTGCCACTCCCATGGAACCTGGTTTAATTTTCTTTCCTCTTATATTTGCACATACTGCTACCTGAAACAGAATAAGAGTAATTTAGTTAAATGATCTGGTGCAAAAGGAAGGAAGGAATATTTAAACATATTTGGAAAATGGTTGAAAAACATTTTGAATGTTGAGAAACCCTGATGAAAAAAATGCTGGAGTGATGAGAATCTTTGTAGTTTGTGATGTATTCTTTACAAATTTCACACATTATTATTTTGTACAGAAAACAGAAATTTCTACATAAGAAACAGCAATTTCTCAGCAGAAAGTATTTCTATGCAGAAATATTTTTTCTCTGGACAGAAAATGCCATTTCCCAAGCAGGACATGCTGAAAATTGGGACTGAGTCCCAATTTGGGATTTATTCCCAGAAAAAGTGCAGCTTTTTCTGCACTGAAAATAATATTTCTGTTGGGGCTCAGCAGCAAGATGCTAGGGATTTCTCAGAGGATGAAAGGGATGATGGGTTTCCCACCGAGGAGTCTGTGTGTCAACAGAGTGAATTGCAGACCTCAGATCAGAGAGAAGTGCCGACAGCTGAAGATGAGACAGAAGATGTTTGGGATTTCAATATTTGCAATGGGGGAAAAGTCCGTTTCTCTTGGGAATAGGCCTTCAGCTGATGGGGAGTTTTCCCGCAATATCAGATTAAGTCTCCACACGGAGGGAGTGAAGAATAGAATAATTAGGTGTTCAGAAAGACTCTGTGAGAAGTCCTTGAAGCCTAGGTGTGTGAAGAATGATCTCATGGCTTCTTGGTTGGACCTGAGCTTAAATTAAGTGTTGTTTACTTGGTGTCTCCAGAGCAGACAACATTGCCATAGAGTCAGGTTCCTGTTTCTGCTCTCAAGCTCATTATTCAAGTCTCCTGTGTTTGCCTATGTTCCTGAAAGAGTTTTGCCTTGGAAAAATTCCTGTTTTCATGCTTATGGATTTATGCTTGTGATCTTGACTTCTTTGACTTCATGTATCTTGCTATTTTGGACTATTGTTCTTTTGTTTATGGTCTACTGTTATTTTATAACACCTTTTCTTCTGATTATTGGGAAATGATCTTTTTTTCCTTTTGCACATGCTTTTTTAATAAACTGCTGTAGTTAGAACTAATGGACTCTGGTGTGATGATGAGGAAAAGTTGTCTCAAGGCTAGAGTGCAACAATTTCTGCTGTTTTCTGTGCCAAAGAATCACATGAATTTTGCACAGAATATGTCCCAGACTGCAAGCAGCTTTTGAAAAGCACGTGGTTTTTGAAAGCTCTCTTGCAGTTGGAAGAAAATATCTAAAATTACTTGTTGCTTCCTTTGTAAAAAAAAAAAAAGAGGGGGAAGAATTATATCATGAATGGGGTGGAAGAGTGGAAATTTCCACCTTAATACCAAAAAACATGGAAGGCATGTGAAGTATGGTTTGGTTTCAAAGATTGCATTTAAATACCTCCTGCAGGCACTAAGAGCTTGAGGTGATTTAGAAGATTAAACTGAAAACAATATAAAGAAAGAATAACGAATACATCAGAATAACAATATTCTCAAGCAAACATGCATTTTTCCACCCTAATTTTTTCTACTCCAGAGAGCTTTCAGCAGCCGTGAATCTCTGCCTCAGCCCTCCTCTCAGCTTGGGAACATGATCAGTTGCCACACCCCCAGGGTGAGGACAGGGAGACAGAGGAGGACCAGAGGAAAGAGCCCAAGGGGCCGCATCCACCCCATGGGTTTGCTTATGCCAAAGGGGTGCCAAAATGAAGATACATACTGTTTCAGTTTGTCCATATCCTTCATAGATATCCAGGCCAGTTTGTTTCTTCCAGTTTTCATACACTTCTGGGTTGAGTGCTTCCCCTCCTGTCACACAGTGGTTCAGACTCATGAATTTGTACCTACACAAAAAGATTACAAACCCCAGTAAAGCCATGAGTGAAATTTGCAACAAAATATTATAGAATAGATTGCCTTGTTGTGTGCCTTCAGTTGTTTCTGACTTTTGGTGGCCTGAAGGCAACACTATCACAGGGTTTTCTTGGCAGGATTTCTAGCCTTGACCTTCTGAACCTGCAGGAGTATGAAATGGTCACCCAGTGGAGTTCGATGGAGATAAAATGTTTCTTGGTGATGGAAACAGACATTCCTAGGAGTATGTGTATGATGTATGCTGTATGCATACGTACTTATATAACACAATGACACAAGATAAGACAACAATGAGATAGATAGAACAAATGGAGCGTGAAGGTTGGAGACTTCGCCTAGACTGCCAAATTAACATGGAATTTTAAAAAACAAACCAACTGATAACTTTCTGAAATATTGCAACGTGTTTATGGGCTTACTGAGCAATTAGAAATCTAATTAAAAACAATCTGTGGTTATAGTGACTAGTACCACTGGTTAAATTTAGCCAGATCTATGACGGTAGATTAATATCTTCTTAATTAATTTATTCTACATTGCTACATTGATTTGGAACAGATCAGAGTCTATTTGTGTCTTAGGGTGGCTCTACATATGGATGCAACACAACAACAGCCTTTGTTAGTATAGACTAGGCATGGGCAAACTTGGACCCTCCAGGTGTTTTGGACTCCAACTCCCACAATTCCTAACAGACTACTACCTGTTAGGAATTGTGGGAGTTGAAGTCCAAAACACTTGATGGGCCCAAGTTTGCCCATGCCTGGTCTACACTAACAAGATCACAGCACAGACATGTATAACAAAAGGAAGTCACAGATAAAAAAGAAAAACATAATTAAAAATTGCTAATATCAAGAACAAAACTCACAAGAGTCCTGCAAAAGAATCAACACCTTATCCCTGGACTGATCCGGAGTGACGAATTCCAGATCGGGCTTGGGGTGGTATTGACCACAAGCCCTCTGGTCGTTGCTGACACAGGAAGGAGTCTGGACCACCCATCAGTGCTGAACCTGGTTTGATTTCACCAGATAGCCACTTTTACTACCACCTCCTGTTTTTATCATTGTCATGGCCATCGGGCACAACATGGCCATCGGGCACAACATCGGGCACACAGCATGGAGTGATGTTGGCCAGAAGGTGCCAGAGTGAGTCCAGAGAGGGGAGAGGAGGAATCAGCCACTTTTTCACCCCTCCCTTCTCTGATTGCTTTGTTCCTCCAGGTAGTGTTACTCCAGGTGATGAGTGAGGGACACTAGCCATGTTGTACCCATTGGGTGGAGCAGGTTGGGGATGATAAGTAACCCAGAGAATACAGGGTGACAATGTGGATGTGCACACAGCAGCCCCAGGTGGGCAGAGGTGGGCAGAAGAAGCAATCGATCTCCTTCTTGAAGTTGGGCTGCTATGTGAATATTCACATGGACCCAGACTTTGGGAGGGAGGAAGCAACATGAGGAATGGATACTTTTTTTTGTGTGCACACTACCACTCAAGGATTCCCCCAGATGCCTGCTTGGAAACTCTGGGGAGCACTTAGGAGTCTTGCCCTAAATTGTATTTGCATTTTCTCGCTTTTGTGGATGTGGAGAGCCAACTGTATTGTAGTCACATGATGAAAAATACCTTGTGATATCATGCTGTACCAGCATCCGGTATCCAGTAGGAGGTGTGCAGAAGTTGGTGACTGGATAACTGGCAAGAGTCTAGTAGAAGAAACAAAAGTACCATCACTGAAGGGCCATCTTCCTATGCCTATGTTTTGAAGTCTTCTGAGGAAGCCTTTTGTCTGTCCTGTCTCCCTCACAATATTGCTAGTTGGAACAAGCAAGAGAGCTTTCTTGGCAGCTGCTCCCAGGTTCTAGAACTCCCTTCAAAGATATGCTAAACTGGAACCCATAACATTTAGTGACCATTGCTTTTGAAGTATTGTGTGCTGTTTTGTGCCTCCAAGTAATTTCTAGTTTATGGTGACCTTAAGGCATTGCATATATGGGGTTTTCTTGACGGGGGCTGTCCGTTCCTTCCCCTGAGACAGAGACACTCAAATGAGCTACCAAAAGATCTGAACATAGCTCTCCACAAGTTTAGTGCAACAATTTCATTTAGGGCTACAAACCCATTTAGTGCTACGATTTCATTATTTTTAATTCCATTCAGTAGTTTTTAGTTTCTCTTTTTAATATATCTTTTTATATTTCTGTAAAGCTGTTTGGAGTGTTTCTGAAGCTTAAAAAACTCTCATATGAACCTTCCAGGGTCTAAGTCAGAGTATTTCCCAATTGTACCTGGAGACACTATGGGATAAACTGGGGATGATTCTTATGCTCTAAACAAATCAGTTTAAATTGGAACAGGCATCTTGGATTTCAGCAGGTGTCCTTACATTTAATACAACTGTAGGGTCAAACACCGGCAAGTGATGTATAAAGACACATGCGCCATTAATCCATGGAGTAAACAAACAGCACCAGGCTGACTTTACCCATCCTGGGTCTGATAGGTTCCAGAATACAGATGAACGGCTCAGATTCATGAAGCTCCTGTTCAGGGGAAAATAATGTCTCTTAGTCAATAACTGGCTCACAGCAACAGACTCCTGGGAAAAAAGTTGCAGGACTCTGCACTGTTGCAAATCCAATTTAGGATTCACAAAGAGACCTGGTAGCGAAAATCAGCACTTCAGCCCACTCCACAGCAATCCCTGCATGTTCCTGCATGTTCCTTGGAAGGTCTGAGCAAAGCACTTATTTACATCCATGGCTTCCTACTCAGTGCATGGTGAAATCGGTTTCAATTTTAAATCTGAACCTTATATTCAGCAACTTGGACAGCTCCTTTGAAGTTTGGATTAACTCCTGAAATACTTTCTCCATGCCACTAAGATGGAGGTCGCCAGTAACCACTGCTACCAAGCCAAGTTCAAGATTGCTACATTTGGTGTGGAATACTCTAAATCAAATAGAAACAGAATCTCTGAGAAAACACATTTTTCTTCAGAATAATTCCTCCCCTTTGCTATGATTGGTAGGGGAGGCCTTAGTGACCATGTTGTAGTTTGTGAGGTTCATTTGGTTGTGGTGCAATAGGATTGCAAGGCTGGATATTAGATTAATTCTGAAGAAGCTACGGAGGAAGACAGGGGATCCACAAGGTACTGGTTCTCTCTTACTGTCTATGGTTCAACTTTCAGTTGGTGCTCCATGTGTCCTTCCCTAGACCTCTGCTTGTAAGGCATTAGCCATGTTTCATCTGTGTCTGAAAGCTGGAAGTTAAGAGAGAACAGCTATCTTCCTTCATCTTGTCAGAGTTTTTCAGTAGCTTGCCTTGCTTCATAATCTCTTAGGAATCACATTTTCAGGAGCCCTGCCCTGCCTCCTTCTGCACATGTAATTAAATGTTCATTGAGATTAGGTGGCATCTTTATGTGAGATGCTTCTGCCGTCCCTTCAGAGAGACCCATTTAGTTGTCCATGCACTTTTCCAGCTGTTTTATTATTGTAAAATATATTTTACTGTGCTGAGATACTTTAAATGAAATTGGACTGCTGTGAGTTTTCCGGGCTCCTCTGGCCATGTTCCAGAAACATTCTCTCCTGACATTTCGCCATATCTATGGAAGGCATCCTCAAGAGGTCTGCTCAAATTGTTTGCTTTTGCCAAAATGGAAGGTAAACCCATATACAGTCTCTAATGAACCGTGATTGATTATTTACAATTTGTACAAATCTCATTAATTTTAATGAGTTTATTTTAATTAAATATCCATTATCTTTAAATAATCAATCAGCCCTTCAAATTACTAATTGGATATGGAATTTCTCAAAGCTATGCTGTAACTTGCAGTGTACAACAGTACACTCCCCACACCAATATTTTTGGATTGCAACTCCATTAGTCATAGCTAGTACAGCTAAAGCTGAAGGATGCCGAGAGCAGAAGTCCAACAACTCTGGGAGGGTATCAACTGTCCATCCCTTTTTCTGGCTTGCCAACCTTGGACTCTGCTGTGTTCAGCCTGAATGTTTCATTCACCTGGTCAATGTTCAAGTCAGTCTAAATGTCCTCTCATCTCATGAGATCCCCTGTTCCCAACTGTATCAGTATCAGTATCAGTCACAAATGTAGTATCACAGAATGTGAAAACAGTCACTAGACATTACCTGCCAATAGTTGTCAATCCAATGCCATAGCAGGAGTGGGAATGTGCCACCATTTTGGGAGTTCCTGTAGTCCCACTGGTAAAGTAGATGGCTAAAGTGTCATCACTCTTTGTTCTAACACAATTGTGATCAGCAGGTGCAGCCCTTAAAAAAACATAACACCGACGAACAACATTTAACTTGCACAATGGCTTCCTATTTCATAATTTCAATTCTGGCACATTTTCCAGCAGTGGAAGTCTGCATCAGGAGCCCTTGGCAGAAATCCATTGGATTTTTGCTTGAAACTCATATTTCCTGTACATTAGTCACACCCACAGTTTGGACATATATTGAAAGGGCCCACCCTTGGTTTCCACACAGTTCAATAAAAGTGTTGCACTCTGGCCTGAATTCACCTTTGCACCCAGCACCACACAGAGTCCAGTAGTACTGACTAAACAGTTTATTGAAGAAAGCAAATATAAAAAGGCAAAAGGCAATGTAAAAAGCGATGTCCAAAAAGCAATAGAAAAAAGGCTTTCAAAAGGCAATACTCCACACATCAAAGTTCTGTTCAAAAGATACAAGGAACATGAAAAAACCAGGAATCAAATCCATAACCAGGAACACAGAAACTTCTTCCAAAACATGAATTTATTAAGATGAGCACAAGACCTTCCCAAAGATCTTAGACACAGACTTGAACATGGAATGAGAACAAGACCCAAGGTGTACATGGTAACATAGTGTTGCCTGCTCTAACCCTTTCAGTAAACAACACTTTAATTTAAGGTTCACAAGCCATGAAGTCATGCCTTTGACATCTGGTCTGTTTCAAGGATTTCTCATGGAGTCTCTGTAACCTCCGTAACCTGGCTCCTTCCTCCTGGAGATTGAATCTCATACTCCTACTGACCTCAGGTGTTTCCCAGGGGAAAGATCTTCCCTTCCAGCTCCTTATCTTCTGTTGCCAAGGACTGACCAGGGGAAAGGTCTTCCCTATCTTCTGATGCCAAAGCATCTCCATCTCCTCCCTGCTCTGAAGCTGTTTCTTTCTGACCAGACACAGACCTATCCTCCCAGAAAGAATCTTGATCCAAAATCCCCCCATCTCCCACACTGGAATGCTCATAATTCCTCACAACCTCTGACTGAACAATCCCCTCATCTTCAGCCTTTAGCTGAAACACAACAAAAAGTCTTGTTCTTCCAGTAACAATCTAAACTGCCAGAAGACTGCAGGAATGTGAATGGTATCTTCATCTTCAAAACAGGGAGAAAGGATAATGTAGGAAAATAGAGGACAATTCCATCTGGACCGGGCTGTAGCGCAGCTAGTTGGTAGCTAGCTGCATTAAATCACTACTAACCAAGAGGTCATGAGTTTGAAGCCAGCCCGGGTCAGAGTGAGCCCCCGACCATTAATAATCTAGCTTGCTGTCAACCTATGCAGCTCGAAAGACAGTTGCCTCTGTCAAGAAGGAAATGTAGATACTACTTTATGTGGAGAGGGTAATTTAATTAATTTATGACACCACAAAACCTTCCAGCAGCATGCGTAAGAATTAGTACATACTCCATCAAGGACTCGGTGTCACAAGTGGATGGTGAAGCAGCAGCTCCCCCTGTGACCAGAATCGAACATACCCTCATGAAACTGGAAAGCTGGAATGTTAAATTGCCTCTGTGTCTGTCTATATATGTTGTATGTCTAATGGCATTGAATGTTTGTCATGTATATGTGCACTGTAATCTGCCCTGAGTCTCCTGCGGGGTGAGAAGGGCGGAATATAAATACTGTAAATAAATAAATAAATAAATAATCTGATATAAATAACAGACAAAATACTAGATGAGATGATCTAATAGTAGATCTGTGAATATCTAGAAGGCTTGTGGCTTCTACAACAATCCCCGACCCTTTTCTCTTGGGAAAATAAATTCAGATTAAAACAGAGTATTCTTTTCTTCGTGTTTGTATTCCTTGATTAATTTTGTTAACTTTCATATGTGCTATTCATATAACATTTTACAAATATATCTATCTTCATTAATTGCTCTAATTCACAAACACACAAAAGTGTGATCCAGACTTTTGATTGGCCTCACCCAACATGGTCAATGGTAAGGTCAGCCTATGGCGGCAATAGTCCAAAATGCTTGAAGGCCACATCTGGTTATGCATTAACTTTGCAATACTTACTGCAAAAGTTCCTTGAAATTCAGCCAGCCATCCCTGCCATCTTTAGACACAATAAGCTTGGTTTTCAGCAACTTGCATTCGGAAGCAACTGAATCCACTGCAGGGGCCAATGTATCACTGACTGCAATGCCTTTGGCTTTGGAGGCCTGGAGTCTATAGGAAATGTCTTTTGCTGTTAGTTGGGACGTCCCTGGAATGAAAATAATGCCTGGAAAAGAAGCAGGTGAATGAAATGAGAAAGAAGTACCCAGTCTCCATGCTTAGTGATGCTCATTCAGTGATCATTTAGTGTTTTCCATCTAAGCTGTTGCAGGGAAAAATATTAGATTATGACTCAGGGGTGCTAGTCTGGAATAAATGGGATGAGGAAAAACTAACTGAAACTTAAACCAAATCATACAGTACAAAGGTGCTCCTGGACAGTCAAAGGCAGATCAGGGAATAGAGATTCAGCTTGTGTTGGATAAGGTTACACTTTTCCTGAAATCTCAGGCTCATAGCTTGGGCATCCTGATGGAGGCCCAGGTTTCAGTGTTAGCCGGGAGTGTGTTTGCACTATTCAAATATGTATGCCAGCTCTGCCAGTCGTTTGAGATATCATATCTGGCCACAGTAACATCTGTCTTAATAACATTCCACTTAGATTATTGCATTGCACTTCATGTGTGGACAACCTTTGGAAAGTGTTCAGAAAGTGTGGCAGGTTCAAAATGCTGCAGCTTTGCTACTGGATGCAGGGATCACACAAATCCTGGGTTGAAACAGCTTCACTGGTCAATTTCTGGGCAAAATGACTGTGACCTATAAAGCCCTATATGGTTTTGATCAATTCATTCGGAGCTGCGGTGGCACAATGTATTAGACCCTTGTGCCGGCTGAACTGCTGACCTAAAGACCTGAAGGTTTTATTTTTATTTCGTACATTTCTATCCCGCCCTTCTCTCCACAAGGGGAACTCAGTGCGGCCTTACATAGGCATCAAATGATGCTAACAACATATATACCATAAGAATTACAATTAAAACAGCAAAAACATTAAAAAAATTTTACAAATCATGAACACATTCATTTAACAGTAAATTAACATGCCAAGCCAGGAAACCAAGCCGGGAAAATCCAATGTCGCAAAAACAAATCTAAAAGATGGGATGAGCTCTCATCTGTCAGCTCCAGCTTCTCATGCAGGGACATGAGAGAGGCCTCCCACAGGATGGTAACACATCCAGGGGTCCCCTGGGTACCATCTTTGCAGATGGCCAATTCTCTCACACAAAAAAAATCATCCGGTCGTCCCCTGGGCAACGTCCTTGCAGACAGCCAATTCTCTCACACCAGAAGCGACTTGCAGTTCCTCAAGTCTCTCCTGACACGACAAAAAACAAAAACAAAACAAAACAAAACAAAAAAACAAGAAGAAGCAATTTGCAGCATATTCTCAATTCCCTTCTGACACGATTAAAAAAAATAAATTCATTAAGTACTTTAAAAATGGCAGACAGGAATTATATTTCTGATAAATTATTGAGGAGAATTACCCAATTCTAAGTATTAGAATAATGGAATCCAAGAGGTGGAAGAGACCCCAAGGACCATCCAGTCCAACTTCCTGCTGCCATGCAGGAAAACACAATCAAAGCACTCCTGACAGATAGCCATCCAGCCTTTGCTTAAATACATCCAAAGAAGGAGAGTCCACCACCCTGTGAAGAGGCAGCATATTCCACTGCAGAACAGCTCTTATGATCAGGAAGAATAGTAAAACATCTAGGAGCATATTCAGATCTAGGAGCATATTCATATTCATGTTGCAAATGTGAAACCTTAGGTGGATGATCAGCTGAGGGTGCAACCTCTGTGCAACTGAATGCACACGTGCATGCACCAATGTTGTCTGTGCCTGCACATGAATACTTGTACATGCACACAAATACTTGCATGCATGGTGCCACTGCATGTGCTATTCTGCTTCCACAAATATCAGCTGCCTCTGTTAAATAACTTACACATGCATTAGTTACCAACAGAATTCTGACCACAACCCATTTCCTCTAAGTTGTTCTGTTCTCTCCGAGTATCTCTGCAACCTTGAGATAACCAGTGGTCTGGAACTTGAGGGAGGTAAATCTAAATTGGTTTTACAGCAACCTCTCCAGGTTTAGGAAAACATTTTACAGGATGTGTTGTTGAAGGCTTTCATGGCCAGAATCACTGGGTTGCTGTGGATTTTCTGGGCTGTATGGTCAAGTTCCAGAAGCATTCTCTTCTGATATTTTGCCCACGTCTATGACAGGCATCCTCAGAGATTGTGAAGTCTGTTGGAAACTAGGCAGGTATAAATATGTGAGAGGAAGCCACAGGGAGGAGGGAGCAAGCTTGTTTTCTGCTTCCCTGGAGACTAGGATGCGGAACAATGGCTTCAAACTACAAGAAAGGAGATTCCATCCAAACAATGAGGAAGAACTTCCTGACTGTGAGAGCCGTTCAGCAGTGGAACTCTCTGCCCCAGAGTGTGGTGGAGGCTCCTTCTTTGGAAGCTTTTATACAGAGGCTGGATGGCCATCTGTCAGGGGTGATTTGAATGCAATATTCCTGATTCTTGGCAGGGGGTTGGACTGGATGGCCCATGAGGTCTCTTTCAACTCTTTGAGTCTATGATTCTATGATTCTATAAGTGAGGTTTATATATCTGTGGAATAACATCCAGGGTGGGAGTAAGAACTCTTGTCTGCTTGAGGCAAGTGTGGATGTTGAAATTTGCCACCTTGATTAGCATTTAATAGAGCTTCCAGTGGCTCAATGGGTTAAACACTTGTGCGGGCAGGACTGGTTGAGCTTCCTCTGTCAGCTCCAGCTCCCCATACGGGGACATGAGAGAAGGATGGTAAAACTTCAAACATCTGGGTGTCCCCTGGGCAACGTCCTTGCAGACGTTCAATTCTCTCACACCAGAAGCAACTTGCAGTTTCTCAAGTTGCTCCTGGCATGAAAAAAAAGCATATAATGGCCTTGCAGCTTCAAAGCCTGGCTGCTTCCTGCCTGGAGGGAATCATTTGTTGGGAAGTGTTAACTGGCCACGATTCTGCAGGATCTATCCAAAGTGCTGAAACTATTTAGAGAACAGGTTTCAGCACTTTGGGAACTAGGGTCAAATTCAGTATTTATTCACTGCCCCACGGCGCTGGAAGCCCTGACTAGTGACAAAGAATATTCTCTCCTGTAATACTTACGAACCTGTCCGTATACTCGCCAGAACAAGTAACCACCACTCGGGAATTCTTGGGAGAATCATCAGGAGTCGATCACCTCTCTGCAAGCCGCACGGACCAGTAAGCACATTAGCTGCTTTTCGGGACAAGACGGCCAGTTCTTCATAGGTCCACTTCACCTCTTCTTTCTGTTCATTTACCCACCAGAAGACTGGGTTCAGGGGCGTTGTTCCATCCTGGCACAAATAAGATTGGTAACCAGTGATGCAATGCACAGAGTCTCATACCATCTTAACCTGGAATTCTGTCACCAATAGTCAAAGAGAAGGGTAGCTAATGGGAAAGCAAAAGCACATGAATAATGAGGAACACAGGAGCATCGGGAAAGGAAGCCTCTGTGTTGAAGGAGAGATCTGTATGCTGCCTGCACTGAATGACCTGCTTTTTCACTATTTTTTCCCAAAAGGAATAGCACCCTTACCTTTTCCATCTGCATCCATCTGTCCATAACGTCACTTGCAAAATTGAAGTACTCGGGCACCTCCTGTTCCCCCAAATTTATGGCGTCATAGTGTGAGACGATTGGAGAGGTGAGGCATCTCTTGCTCTGATGAAGTGACAGGCGAGGGGGTCGCAATCTCCAGAAGTATTTCAGCAGGGCCATTGCAGCATCAGCTCACAAAGGTGGTCCAGGTGTGTTGGTATACTTTGGATTTCTGCAACAACATTATTATTGTTTATCTCAAGATACCAAAAAGTATCTGACACAGTAGACTATGAGCAGGAATTGTGAGTCTTTTTAGAACAGGAGTGGACAAAGTGTGAGACGTGGGTTGCATAGGGCACTTGGGAACCATAACAGGAGTCCCTTAAGTCCCCCCAGAAACCTTCAAACACCCCCTAATGTAATGATTGGGGGTACTGTCCTAAAATTGCCCAACATCAGTCCAAACTGATGTTCCAAAACTTCCCCAAGCAGAGACAACCTAGAAAACACAACTGATCTGAGATTCCAAAGAAGATACATAGAGGGATTATTTTAAATTTTAAATAATAATAATAACAATAATAATGCATTTTATTTATATTCGCCCTTCCATAGGGGACTCAGAATGGACTGCAGCATTTACATACATAGCAAACATTCAGTGCCTTTACAATCATATACAATGAGACATGCAAACACAAACATAAGCAGAGGCTTCTCCTTTCATTTCCGGATTCTGGAGGCAGTGTTCATCTCTGGCTCTGGGAAGGTGCCTGCACTGTCATCTCCTGATTATGTGGCATCAAGATTTGGAGTATCTCTTTGTCTTTTCACACTAAAGTGGTACCTATTTATCTACTCACATTTGCATGTTTTCAAACTGCTAGGTTGGCAGGAACTGGAGCTGACAGACGGGAGCTCACCCCATCTCGCAGATCGAACTGCAAGCCTTCAGATTAGCAGTTCAGCAGCACAAGGGTTTAAGCCACCGCAGCTCATTTTTGGTTTATAGTAAACTGAAGAAGGAATTTAAAACAGGACGGGAATGATGCCCTTTGCCAACAACTGGATGTGTCCATGTGTCCTCACTGTCTATCTAAAAGCCAGGAATTGGTTATCAATTCAGACACACCAAACTTTGGAAACCTTTGACCTAATTTCTTCAGAGGTAGCATCAGGCATCAGAGCAAATCCTTTAAGGGCAATCTACCAAAATAAAGATAGATACCTCCCTATTGTCTTCCACCTGGCCTAAAAGACACCTCCCCCCCCCCCCCCGCTAAAGCTTCTTATCTGCTCTTGAAAGAACCCTGCGGCACATACAAAGGCAAGACCGCAAGAAACCCTGGGCTCCTATATGGCTCTCCAGGTTGTTTCGATGACCCGCAGCCACTCCAAACCCCCTTGTATACCCTTTTCTACCAAAAAGGGGTGGAATACCTTTCTTTGAAACTCTCAGAAAAAGACAACTCACCTTTAAAAAATTATCAACATGTGCCTTCAAATCCTCTGTTGACTTATGAAAACCCCATTAATTTCATAGAGTTTTCTTAGGCCAGGAATACTCAGACATGGTCTTGCTACCTCTGAATATTTTCCTGAAACACAGCCTACAGCTCCTGGTATTCACTGGTTATGTCCCATCCAAATACGTTAGAGTACCAAATCAGACTATATACATTTAAAACTCCCATATAAGTAGACAACACAGCTCAACAATAAAAGATTCTTGGTGTTTACGACTGTTCCTGGGGTTATTTGAGGCACCGAAGCAGAAAATTGCTTTGGATAGACCACATCAGCTCTCGTTTCTTAGATATGCTTATTATGGTTTTCTATGGGTGACTAGTAGACGGCATATATTCTGTATCTCAAAAACTAGAGCCAAAAGGAGAAAACTGGTGCCGCTTTTGGAATCAGCAGATCAAATATGCCCAGAAACAGGGACAACATTGGAGGCATCAAAATGTTTGTTGGCCACTGTAATAATGATAACAACAACAATAAAAGTAAAAGCCAAGTTTCTTTTTTCTTTCCCATTCTATGGCTTTGTAGTTTTCTAACTGGAACCTTTCCTAGGGCAAATCAACAGAGGAACTGTTTGCATTTACAGGGCAAAGGTTATAATATATTTATCTGGGAGAATATCACCCAAAGTAAAGTCCAATTGCTAAAGTTTGAATGTTATTTCCCCCTTCCCTGAGATTGTGCCCTACTGAGCAGAGGGCAGGGAATAACTAGTTAGAGGGCACTGATAGCAGTTTTCAGAACAAACTTTTACTACACTACTGTTCCACTGTTCTATGAGTTCCTATGTCACCGCAATGGAGTAAATGAAGCACTTTTACCCTTATCATTCTGATGTGTAGCACCTTTTGATTTTAGGATTTTATCTCTATTTTTATTTTATTTTATTTCTCTGTCTGGTTCTCACTGTCTGGTTCTCACAGATGATGCTATTTATGACAGTCTTCCTTGCAGATGGCTTTGTAGTCCAACCCAGCTGCAGGGAGCTGAGCTATTTGTGGTAGCCCTCCTCCAACATATAGTTGTTTTCCTCCAACCTGGCCTTGGAGATGGGTATGGTGGGATTTGTAGTCCAATCCATCTGTAAGGAGCTGAGCTATTTTGTGACAGTCTTCCTCCAATCTGGCCTCACAGATGGGGATGATAGGATCTGTAGTCCAACCCATCTGCAGTGAGCAGAGCTATTTATGATAGTCTTCCTCCAACTTATTTATAATAGTTCCTCCAAGCTATAAGTCATAGTTCATCCATATTCATTATGATAGTCTTCCTTCAACTTATTTATGATCTTTCCCCTCCAACTTATTTATAATAGGTCCTCCAATGTATAATAGTTCATCCAGATCATTTATGACAGCCTTCCTCCAATTTATTTATGATAGTCTTTCTCTAACCTGGCCTTGCAGATGGGGATGGTAGGATCTGTAGTTCAACCCGTCCACTGTGAGTGGAGCTATTTTTTATAAGTCTTCCTACAAGTTATTTATAATTGTTCCTTCAACTTATAAATGACAGTTCATCCAGATTATTTATGATAGCCTTCCTCCAATTTATTTATGATATTCTTTCTCCAAATCATTTATAATAGTTCTTCCAACTTATAAATGATAGTACATCCGGATTATTTATGATAGTCTTCTTCCAACTTATTTATGGTGATGTGGGTTTTCCAGGTCCCTCATTGGTTGAGTACTGAATGCTCTTAGATTGCAGGAGGATGATACACCCCAGTGCCTACAACTCCTATAAATCATGGTGAATTCTCTCCAAACCTCTCTAATATGTTCAGTTGCTGATCAATTCCTTTGTTTGCTGTGTTCCATAGAAAAAATAGGAAAGGGCTATGGGAGAAGCAGTTGGCAGGGTCATGCAAATTCCACACCAATGGAGAGAGTAAGAAACACTGGGATGTCTGTGGTGGAGGAAACACATAAAATCTAGGATGAAATTGTCCCCGTATAAAATACTTCACTTGGGTGGTGGGCAGTATGGCATTTGTGGTTGACATTGGCAGGGCTCTTGGACATGTTCATGGCACTCGCTATAAACTGCAATGTCATTTGAGGGAGGTCCTTTGGTGTCTCCTCAGTGGCGGCCATTTGTGGAAATTGTCTGTGTAAGTGGACACCCCAGCCACATACACATACGTTTTTTCACTTTTATTATGTGGATAGATAGATGGCAGAAGAGCATCGCTTCAACGCTGGTGGTCTTTGCTTCAACTCCGCTGGACTGGCCACATTGTCCAAATGCCTGATCCCTGTCTCCCAAAGCATTTACTCTACTCCAAACTGAAGGACAGGAAATGTAATGTTGGTGGACAGGAAAAGAGATTAAAAGATGGACTTAAAGCCAACTTTAAAAACTGTGACATAGACACTGAGAACTGGGAAGCCCTGGCCCTTGAGTACTCTAACTGGAGGTCAGCTATGACCAGCAGTGTTGTGGAATTCGAAGAGGCACGAATGGAGGGTGAAAAGGAGAAACGTGCCAAGAGGAAGGCGCATCAAGCCAACCCTGACCGGGACCACCTTCCATCTGGAAACCAATGTCCTTACTACTGGAGAGCATGCGGATCAAGAATAGGGCTCCACAGCCACCTACGGACTCACCACTAAGATACCACATCTGGAGGACCATCTTCCTCGAGATATGAGGGATCGTGTAAGTATGTAAGTAAGTAAGTAAGTAAGTAAGTAAGTTAGAGTCCTCTCCTCACAAACACCTATTTTTGCTGTTTTTCTTGAATCTCTTCAAAGAAAATACATAGGTAAACATTGGCCATCGCATATACAATGGCTTGTTGCAAGAAAGCTTGTCACACCTTATTGGAAATGGGACATTTAAGTTGGCACTTTGGAACAAGCGATGTTGGCACATAAACAATGTCCCAAATGCATTTGTTAGTTCCGAATAGAATCACTGAATGAATGATGTATAAATCAAGGACAGGTTTGGGAGTCAAAATTATGGTTTTGTAGTTAACCCCCTAGTGGAGCAGTGGGTTAACCTGCTGAGCTGCTGAACTTGCTGACCGAAAGGTTGGCGGTTCGAATCTGGGGAGTGGGGTGAGCTCTTGCTGTTATCTCCAGCTTCTGCCAACCTACCAGTTCGAAAGCATGCAAATGTGAGAAGATCAATAGGTACTACTTCTACGGGAAGGTAGTCATGCTTGTCTGGAAATCGATGTCCTCACTGCGGGAGAAGATGTGGATCAAGAATAGCGCTCCACAATCACCTACGGTGCCACTGCCAAGACATTACATCTGGAAGACCATCATCCTCGACAGTCACCTATGGACCCACTGCCAAGACACTACATCTGGAAGGCCATCATCCTCAAGCTACGAGGGATCTCCTAAGTAAGATAGATAGATAGTTTTCCTCCAACTTATTTGTGATAGTCCTCTTCCAACTTGGCCCAGGGTCTTGCAGATGGGGAGAACGGGATTTGTAGTCCAACATCTGCAGGGAGCTGAGTTTAAGGAAAGCGGTTGTTCCCACGCAGAACTCTCTCTTGCTTTCCCCTGCAATTGCTTCTTGGTTCTCTGCAGAACATCCCCAAGGGTGGAAAGGGAAATTGAAACTGCCTAGTTTTGGCTCAGCATGAGCACTGAGCAGCTAAAATTTTCCCCAGCTAGAAATGCTCCAAGTTTTGCTCTGAAGTGTTGATGATGCAATTTACTCTGTCCCATTCATGGACTTTTAAGAGAGAGAGAGCCCTGCCCTCTGTTTGTAAACTACTGGAGTGTCCTTCTAACTCAGTCATGGGCAAACTTGGGCCCTCCAGGTGTTTTGGACTTCAACGCCCACAATTCCTGTGGGAGTTGAAGTCCAAAACACCTAGAGGGCCCAAGTTTGCCCATGCTTGTTCTAGCTTGAATTCCTCAGGGGAAAACACTCCATTCTGGCTCTGGAATAATTGTTTTTCCAAATGAGAATCCACCCCACCCCGCAAATTGCTCGCATTGCAAAGTGAAAGGCTGCAAATCTTTCCCTCCTGGACTGCTTCCATTCCCAGCATAGCTCTGTCCCTTTTTCCTATCTGGATGAAAAATACACGGCATTTCTCTCCCTTTAAGGCAGGGCTAGGAATCTGAGGCCTGTAGGAAACCGGAGATGGGAGCGCAGTGCCATTGCTTCGCCCCTCTGTCACTTAACCCCTGGAAGCCTCACAAATATTTCCATTGAGAGACCGAGGAAGTCTAAACTACAAACATATATGCATACACTGGTTTTGAACATGGATTTCTTGCTTCCCCTTTTTTCGGTTTCTTGATAATTTAGTAATTTTTTTCTTCCGCCATATGTCTCCAAGAATAGTTTACTTCTGCATCTTTTAACATGAACCCATATCTCAGCAGTTTCTATTTCCAAACCGACACATAAAGTCTTTCCTATATTGATATAAATAAAAATGTAATGTTCGTTTGTGGGATTAACAGAACTCAAAAACCACTGGATGAGTTGACACCAAATGTGGACACCTTACACCTATCAGGCCAACAAGTGACCATCACTCATAAAAACACTGAAAAACACAGCGGAAGGGATGTAAAAAGTCAAAGAACAAAAATTGCATTACAACACATATGCAACCCCCATATATATGTGTGTGTGTGTGTGTGTGTGTGTGTGTGTATACACATATACACAAATATATACACACACATATGCATACATATACACAAAGAAAACACATATACATAGACTAGGCCAGAGCAATGCATGGCAGGGGATGGCTAGTATGTGTATATATATATATATATCCATTCTTAGAATAAGTCCGGTGACATAGAGATGTACTTTTTGTGTGTGCCAGGAGCGACTTGAGAAACTGCAAGTTGCTTCTGGTGTGAGAGAATTGGCCGTCTGCAAGGACATTGCCCAGGGGACACCCAGATGTTCTACCATTGTTGGGAGGCTTCCCTCATATTCCCGCATGAAAGGAAATTGCCCAGGGGACATCCAGATGTTTTACCATTGTTGGGAGGCTTCCCTCATGTTTCCGCACGAGAAGCTGGAGCTGACAGATGGGAGCTCACCCTACTCCTTGGATTTGAACCGCTGACCTTTTAGTCAGCTGTTCTGCCAGCACAAGATTTTAACCCATTGCATCACTGAGATGTACGGTACGTTGTGCAGTTTGATATGTTTATTGTTAGGTATGTCTCTGTTGTTAGGCATGTTGTTAGATATGTTTCTTAGTATTGCTGTTGTCTTTGTATTTGTGTCTATTTTTAAATTTAACATTTTGGGGGGAAAAACCTTGGAAGGAATCATTCTGCCTGAAGATGGGCAACAGATGCCGATAAACTACAACACCCAAAGCTTTCCAGGGGTGCATCCACACTCCTGAATTAATCCAGTTTGATACCACTTTAACTGTTGGGCTCAACGCTATGGGATCCTGGGATGGGAAGTTTGCCAAAGCACCACCAAAACTCTTTGGTGGGGGGGGGGGGCAGGGAGTGGAAGACCTTGCAAAACTACAACTCCCAGGTGTGTAGCTTTTATAGAGGTATGTTTTAATATGTGTATTTGTGGTATTTTCCCAGTGTTTATGTGCCTTAATAGTTCTGTAACCTGCCTAGAGCCATGAGAAAAGGCAGGTAAGAAATAATATTTATTGATATTATTATTATTATTATTATGGAGCAGGCACGGGCAAACTTGGGCCCTCCAGGTGTTTTGGACTTCAACTCCCACAATTCCTAACAGCCTACCGGCTGTTAGGAATTGTGGGAGTTGAAGTCCAAAACACCTGGAGGGCCTAAGTTTGTCCATGCCTGTTATGGAGCCAAAGCAGTTGGAAGTGGAGCCTAATTGCCTGTATGCCATTCCCAAACTCTATCCTCTATCCATTCTGGATTTCAGCTCCCACATAACCAAGGATTCTCCAAGATCACAGCACTGGAAGAGACTCCAAGGGCCATCCAGTCTAACCCCATCCTGCCAATTCTGACAATCAAAACACCCCCGACAAATGACCATCCAGCCTCTGTTCCAAAGCCTCCAAAGAAGGAGCCTTCACTGGACTCCAGGCAGAGAGTTTCACTGTGTGAACAGCTCCTATGCTCAGGAAGTTCTTCCTAATGCTCAGGTGGCTTCTCCTTTCCTGGAATGTGAAGTTCAGAAAACAGCTGGACGCCTGCTTTGGGAATCGCGGGAGGGGGCTAGCAGCACATCTGGAAGGCCACCAACTGCTTTGAGTAGCGCGGGTTACCTGCTCGGGTTCTGGAGTGGGTTCTGGAGTGGGCGCGTGGAGCTGTCCTGTGGTCAGGAAGCAACGGAGAAGAAGGGAGATGAAGTCCTCTGCAGCCTTCCTCTGCTCCTTCCCTTCTTTTCGCTTCTCTTCCCTCCCCACTCGAAGTCCCTGCCCACTTCCTCGCGAGGGAGGGAGGGAGGAAGGGAGGGAGGGAGACAACGTCGTTAGAGCCAGAAACAAAGTCCTCCTCTCAAAACACTGGCAAGAGGCAAAGCACGTACTTGCATCTCCCCCAAAATCAGTGCCCACGGGATTCTTGGAGCCCAAGGGGAAGGGCCATGAAGGTGGACTTGAGAGGGAAGGGACTCACCCACCACTCTCAGGTGGTCATTGAATGCCCGTCAGCAGTCCAAACATAGAGTCCTAGAGTTGGAAGAGACCTCATGGGCCATCCAGTCTACTTCCATTCTGCCAAGAAGCAGGAAAATTTCATTCAAAGCAACCCAGACAGATGGCCATCCAGCCTCTGTTTAAAAGCCTCCAAAGAAAGAGCCTCCACCAAACTCTGGGGCAAAGAGTTCCACTGCTGAACAGCTCTCACAGTCAGGAAGTACATAGAATCATAGAGTTGGAAGAAATCTCATTGCCATCCAGTCCAACCCCCTGTCAAGAAGCAGGGAAATTGCATTCAAAGCACCCCTGACAGATGGCCATCCAGCTTCTGTTTAAAAGCCTCCACAGAAGGAGCCTCTACCACACTCTGGGGCAGAGAGTTCCACTGCTGAACACCTCTCACAGTCAGGAAGTACATAGAATCATAGAATCATAGAGTTGGAAGAGATCTCATGAACCATCCAGTCCAATCCCCTGTCAAGAAGCAGGGAAATTGCATTCAAAGCACCCCTGACAGATGGCCATCCAGCTTCTGTTTAAAAGCCTGCACAGAAGGAGCCTCCACCACACTCAGGGACAGAGAGTTCCACTGCTGAACAGCTCTCTCTCACAGTCAGGAAGTTCTTCCTCATGTTCAGGTGGAAATTCCTTTCCTGTAATTTGAAGCCATTGTTCCATTGCGTCCTAGTCTCCAGGGAAGCAGAAAACAAGCTTGCTCCCTCCTCCCTATGACTTCCCCCCACATCTTGATCCATGGCCCTGATCATGTCTCCTCTCAGCCTTCTCTTCTGCAGCCTAAACATGCCCAGCTCTTTAAGCTGCTCCTCATTGGGCTTGTTCTCCAGACACTTGATTGTTTTCGTCGCCCTCCTCTGGACACATTCCAGCTTGTCAATATGTCTCTTCAATTGTGGTGCCCAGAATTGGACATAGTATTCCAGGTGTGGTCTAACCAAGGCAGCTTTTTAAGCCGCTCCTCATAGGTCTTGTTCTCCAAACCCTTGATCCTTTGAGTCACTCTCCTCTGGACATATTCATAGTATCATAGAGTTGTAAGAGACCTCGCGGGCTACCCATTCAACCCCTTTCTGTCAAGAAGCAGGAAAATCGTATTCAAAGCACCCCCGACAGATGGCTATCCAGCAGCCTCTGTTTAAAAGCCTCCACCACACTTCCAGGCAGAGATTCCCCTGCTGAACAGCTCTCACAGGTAGGAAGTTCTTCCTAATGTTCAGGTGGAATATCCTTTCCTGTCATTTGAAGCCATGGTTCCATTGCGTCCTAGTCTCCAGGGCAGCAGAAGACAAGCCTGCTCCTTCCTCCCTATGACTTCCCCTTTTGGTCCCATCTTCACTGACCTTTTAATGCAGTTCAAAGCTGGTGGCCAGGCAACAAACTCCCATGGACATGGGCGAAAGGAAGCCCTTGATGCACATCAGTGCTCCATAGTTTGTGTTATCATATTGATTCTCAGGAGTCAGTTGCACAATATCACCACTTTCATCAGTACCATTTGAAGCTACATTAAACAGTCAGTGTAGAGGGGGCCCTTGAATCACAATTTTCCAGAAAGAGAAGAATAGAAGTAGGACCTCAGTTGTAACTGGTCTGGTCTTAGAAGCTAAGTAAGATCAACTTAACATAGTGTATTGTCGAAGGCTTTCATGGCTGGAATCACTCCGTTCTTGTGGGTTTTTTCGGGCTATATGGCCATGTTCTAGAAGCATGTCTCCTGACGTTTCGCCTGCATCTATGGCAAGCATCCTCAGAGGTGAGGTCTGCTGGAGCTGAGAAAAAAGGGGTTTATATATCTGTGGAATGACCAGGGTGAGACAAAGGGCTTTTGTAAGTTGGGCTAGGTGTGAATCTTTCAACTGACCACCTTGATTAGCATACAATGGGCTGACTGTGCCTGGAGCAAACTCTTCTTGAAAGGTGATTAGATGTCCCTGCCTGTTTTTCTCTCTGCTGTTTTTGCTGTTGCAATTTTAGAATTTTTTAATACTGGTAGCCAGATTTTGTTCATTTTCATGGTTTCTTCCTTTCTGTTGAAATTGTCCACATGTTTGTGGATTTCAGTGGCTTCTCTGTGTAGTCTGACATGGTGGTTGTGAGAGTGGTCCAGCATTTTTGTGTTCTCAAATAAAATGCTGTGTCCAGGTTGGTTCATCAGGTGCTCTGCTATGGCTGATTTCTCTGGTTGAAGTAGTCTGCAGTGCCTTTCATGTTCCTGGATTCTTGTTTGGGCGCTGCGTTTGGTGGTCCCTAAGTAGACTTGTCCACAGCTGCATGGTATACGGTAGACTCCTGCAGAGGTGAGAGGATCCCTCTTGTCCTTTGCTGAACGTAGCATTTGTTGGATTTTCTTGGTGGGTTTGTAGATTGTTGTATGTTGTGTTTCCTCATCAGCTTCCCTATGCGGTCAGTGGTTCCCTTGATGTATGGCAAGGACACTTTTCCTCTGGGTGGATCTTCATCTTTACTCTCGTGGCTTGTTCTTGGTCTTGCAGCTCTTCTGATGTCTGAGGTGGAATATCCATTGGCCTGTAGAGCCCAGTTGAGGTGGTTCAGTTCATCTTGGAGGGGGTGGGGTTCACAGATTCTTTTTGCACGGTCTGCCAAGGCTTTAATGGTGCTTCTTTTTTGACTTGGGTGATGGTTGGAGTTTTTATGTAGATATCTATCTGTGTGTGTGGGTTTTCTGTAAACGGTGTGACCCAATTGTTGATCTGGTTTGCGGATGACTAGGACATCTAGAAAAGGCAGTCTTCCTTCATTTTCTTTTTCCATGGTGAATTGGATGTTTGGGTGGATGCTGTTAAGATGGTCCAGGAACCTGTTGAGTTCTTCTTCTCCATGGCTCCAAATGGTGAAGGTGTCATCCACATATCTTAACATAGTACTTGGATGGGCAAATATGACCAAATACCAGGTGCCTGCTCTTTCAAGAAAGAAACGGCCAGAAGCACTTAGTCTGGATCTACACAGCCCTATAGCTCAGGACCTGATCCCAGGTTATCTGCCTTGAACAGGATTATATGAGTCTACACTGCAATATAATCCAGTTTAATGCAAATAATGTGGATTTTAGATGGCAGTGTAGATGGGGTTTTGGAGTAGTTCTTGCCTAAGCATTACTTGCAATTTGTGGAGTCTCCACAAGTGACAAGTGACTTAAAGGCATGTGCCACAGGTTGACTGTCACTTATTCAAAATGGGATCAAATTTTGGATTTTTTCACAAATGTTGATATACCTTCTTTTTCCATGTCAGGAGTGACTTGAGAAACTGCAAGTCGCTTCTGGTGTGAGAGAATTGGCTGTCCACAAGAATGTTGCTCAGGGGACACTTGGATGTTTTGATGTTTTCCCATCCTTGTGGGAGAATGTCCCTCTCATGTCCCTGCATGGGGAGCTGGAGCTGACAGAGGGAGCTCAGCCTGCTCTCCCTGGATTCGAACTGCTGACCTTTCGGTCATCAGTTCTGCCAGCACAAGGGTTTAACCCATTGACAATTATGATTGATTTTACTGCTATGGCTGTTGGGAGTTATAATCCACCTATCCTGACATGGGCAGTATGGAGAGCATGGATGAGGGATTGCTGGAAGAAGGCTTGGCAGTAATGAACAGCAACTCCCTCTGCCATGATATGAACGAACATCCATAGAAGCAATGACTATGATTCTATGACTACTGAGCCTGCTGACCGAATACAAGAGACTGTGGCTAAGCAGGCTGTGGAGGAGTTAACTGTTTCTGCATTTGCTGAGTTAAGGAAAATGTGCAGGTCACTAAGGCTAGATGAGAAGAGAGCCAGCAACAAGTAACACCTGTGAAAGTAGGATTGAAGCGACAGGAGTTTGATACCCAATTGCTGGTAGCAACGTCAGTGCTTCAGCCAGGACCATGGACCCTTGATCTTGAGTTCTCTCTAGAACCTGGACTATCTTTTGACTTTGGAGTTGTGGACTCAACATTGCATCTTGGATATTACTGGTAATTGACTCTTGGCCCTAGAACAGAGGAGCTGTGGTGGTGCAGCAGGTTAAACCGTTGAGCTGTGGAACTTGCTAACTGGAAGGTTGGTGGTTCGAATCTGCGGAGTGGGGTGAGCTCCCATCATTACCCCCAGCTTGTGCCAATCTAGCAGTTCGAAAGCATGTAAATGTGAATAGATCAATAGGTACTGCTCCGGCGGGAAGGTAATAGTGTTCCATGCAGTCCACATGACCTAGGAGACATCTACTTTGGCTTAGAAATGGAGATGAGCACCACTCCCCCGAGTCATACTCAACTAGACTTAATGTCAAGGAGAAACCTCTACCTTTACCTTATTACCTTGGAACGACAGTTGGATTTCCCTCTTGCATATTCCTTTTGAGTCTTTGGCATCTTGCTGGACCATTTGGCTAGATCTGGGACCGTTTGTATACATGAAGCATCATCAAACACCAGCCCTCAAGCTGTTTGGGCCTCTAACTCTGAGAAGTCCTAGCCAGTTTGTTCAATTGTCATGAATTCTGGGATTTGGAGGCAACAAACAGCTGGAGTTTGGAAATTCCTGGTACATATTCCTCCTGGAGTTTGGAAATTCCTTCTGTATTTGAGAGTCATGGCCTGGACACGTACCTGGAGAAGCGTAGTTGCCCATCTCTGCTCAGCTTTATTTCTGTGTAGCAAAATAGCACATATCAGGAATCTTCATGCAATGACATGAACCTTTGTTGCAAGTGTATCCATGCACCTGCATCTATCTATATTGGAGAGGTCTCCAAAGGAGTTCCAAGACACCATGTGAAGAGGACAGGAGCGAACTATGGGAGGCTAGGTTTTGATAGAACACTAAAAGGCATAACAACTTCCCCCAAAATGCCAACAACAACCTCCCCCTTCATTTATTTGGTGTTCAAATCTCCCTAGTTCTGACAATAACAGTGAGGTGGTAGCTAGTAATCCATTCGTCTTTAATAAAGCTTTTTCTGCTTCATGTGAACTTATTTCGGAGACAGAAAAAGGATTCTGCATCTGACACTATGGTTGTTTAGGAAGAGGTGGAAACCATGAAAGAAATAAAGACATGCAAGTTGTGACAAGCTGTACGCACACCCCAAAGTACTTAGAAATGTTAAAAATAGATCAGTGGAGTATTTCAGAGGCTCCCGTTTCCAAAATCCAGAGAGGAATTCAGCTGTGGTTAGTTTCTATTTGCTTGACCATTTGAACTTTTGTGTGGTGCATTCAAATTAAATGGCCATTGTTAGAAAGTCATTCCTGTAGCAAATGTTTGTTCAAACTAAACTTGACCCCATTCTCGTTTTCTTAATACACTCCTTTGAATTTTTCCAGCAGCGGTTTTTGGCAGCTCTTGCACAAACTCAACCTGGGTTGGGAAAGCAAAAAAATATTTCAGGCACGAGGCCAATTCAGGCTTCATCTGCACTGCATATTGAACTGCATTATATGCAGTTAAACTGGATTATATGAGTCCTAATCTGCATTACAGTAGCAGTGTAGATAGGGCCTCAGTCACATTAGCATAACATCTCTTACTACACACACACACACACACACACACACACATGTGCATATTCTGCCTTTCCTCCTATAAGTGGAATATGACATTCTCTCACAACAATTTTGTGATATAGTTCAGGCTGAGAAAGATTTAGCCAAGATCACCAATTAAGTTCATAACTCACTGAAGAATTGTATTGTCAGAGGCTTTCATGGCTGGAATCACTGGGTTGTTGTAGATTTTTCGGGCTATATGGCCATGTTCTAGAAGCATTCTCTCCTGACATTTCGCCTGCATCTATGGCAAGCATCCGAATGGATGCTTGCCTTAGATGCATGCGAAACGTGGCCATATAGCCCGAACATGGCCATATAGCCCGAAAAACCTGTGCATTCCTGTACCTGCAGGGATTTGAACTAAGTCTATGACTCTGTGGTTCTGTCTCCTACAACAGTGCCCCATCTACAATGCTTTATAATGCAGTTTGAACAGCATGATATGGTCACTGTAGACCAAGTATGGGCAAGCTTGGGCCCACCAGGTGTTTTGAACTTCAAATCCCACAATTTCTGGCAGCCTCAGGCCCCTTACTTTCCCCCTCAGCCACTTAAGCAGGTAAGAAATATAATAATAATAATAATAATAGTAATAATAATAATAATAATAATAAAGCAGGCATGGGCAAGCTTGGGACCTCCAGGCATTTTGGACTTCAACTCCCACAATTCCTAACAGTCTCAGCCCCTTCCTTTCCCGCCTCAGCCTCTTAAGCGGGTAAGAAATAATAATAATAATAATAATAATAATAATAATAAATTAATTACTTATTATTAATAATAATAATTATTATGGACCAGGCATGGGCAAGTTGGGCCCTCCAGGTGTTTTGGACTTCAACTTCCATAATTCCTAACAGCCTCAAGCCCCTTCCTTTTCCCCCTCAGCCGCTTAAGCAGGTAAGAAATAAAATATTATTAATTATTATTATTATGGAGCAGGCATGGGCAAATTGGGCCCTCCGGGTGCTTTGAACTTCAACTCTCATAATTCCTAACAGCTGGTAGGCTGTTAGGAATTGTAGGAATTTAAGTCCAAAACTACCCGGAGGGCCCAAGTTTGCCCATGCCTGCTGTAGACTCATATAATGCAGATTGAATTCAATTATATGAGTCTACACTACCATTTAACCCAGTTCAATTTGCATTATAATGGCAGTGTAAATGGGGGCCAGTGAAACACTTCTCTCCTCATATTTCAATAGGGCACTTTCTTTTTTGTCCCAGATGCTACAATTTTGCTGCTTTAACTTGAGGGAGATTACGGTTACTTGCCTTCCTGGGATATTTGTAGGGAGCAGTAACCTTTTTGACATGATCTTGGAGTTCCTTGGTTAATTTTTCTGGATCATGGGACAAAAAAGCTGGTGACAAGATGACAAAGGCTTTCACCACCTGCAAGAAGCAAACCGTACTCATTAAGACAAAACAGGCTTTGAAATAGTTTGGTTCTTGTAGCATTGACGTAATAGTTATTGTTAGTGGCGACTAGGAAAACCTGCAACAAAATATCATAGTGTGGAGGCCCCTCGTTATGTACACACAATATAAGCAAATATAAGTTGAAGTATGACAAAAATATGAAGTCTTAAAAAAAAGCACATTTCATCTCAAACATTTTGGATAGAGGACATTCAACCTGTGCAAATGTTAATCTATACAGGCAGTCCCCAAGTTGGGAATAAAAAAGGTTCTGTCGGTTTGTTGTTAAGCTGAATTTGTCTGTAAGTTGGAACAGGCACTTTTTAAAGTGCAACTCAAGTCAGATATATATATATATATATATATATATATATATATATATATACTAGCCGTCCCTTGCCACGTGTTGCTGTGGCCCACATGGGGGTTCTGTGTGGGAGGTTTGGCCCAATTCTATCATTGGTGGGGTTCAGAATGCTCTGTGATTGTAGGTGAACTACAAATCCCAGCAACTACAACTCCCAAATGTCAAGATTCCATTTTCCCCAAACTCCACCAGTGTTCACATTTGAGCATATTGAGTATTTGTGTAGAGTTTGGTCCAGATCCATCATTGAGTCCACAGTGCTCTCTGGATGTAGGTGAACTACAACTCCAAAACCAAAGACACTGCCCACCAAACCCTTCCAGTATTTTCTGTTGGTCATGGGAGAACTGTGTGCCAAGTTTGGTTCAATTCCATCCTTGGTGGGGTTCAGAATGCTCTTTGATTGTAGGTGAACTATAAATCCCAGCAACTACAACTCCCAAATGACAAAATCATTTTTTGAGTGAAGGACATACATTGGGTTGTTAGGTGTCTTGTGTCCAAATTTGGTGTCAATTCTGGGATATGTGGCTTGTTACGGAAACAGAGATTGGTGATAAAGCCTCAGTAGATACACATTTTCACCATGAGCATAACTCTTCCAGGAGTGAATTTCCCTTCCAAGGGATAGATTTTCTCACTTCCTGTGGTCTCGTCTCCATTTTTATCTATGAGTTTTTTTAAAAGTTGGATGTTTGTAACTCGGGGACTTGCTGTACTTATAAATTAGAATATGCAAATGTCATGCACATCCCTAGAGTGATATGAAATTAGCTACCATATCTCAAAATGGCATGCTGGATGCAAGAGATCCCCGAGCTGTGTCTACACTGAATTTGCAGAATTACTGGATCACTGTGATTACCTCCCCTCGAATGGGATCTGGGCTGCTGACGACAGCCGATTCAGCCACTGCTGGATGTTCGGTCAAAGCGCTTTCTACCTCAAAGGGGCCAATGCGGTACCTAAAAGAGAAAGCAATCATTCTTTTGGGGTGCAAACACAGCAAATAGGCCTGCAAGCAAACCACCAGCAAGCCAACAAGCCAGCTCAAGTGAACCTACCCGGCAGAGTTAATGACATCATCCGACCGCCCAACAAACCAAAAATAGCCCTCTTCATCTTTAATCGCTCTGTCTCCAGTGGTATAAAAATCCCCGCGCTCAGTGGCTGCAGTTTTCTCAGGGTTATCCTGGAAACAACCAAATATGATTTCCACAGTGTTCAACTTGATGCCTAGTGAGGTATCTATTTGGGCCATTGAGCCTCAAGACCCAGGATGAAGGTTATTGGGGTGTTGTGTGGTTTCCAGGCTGTATGACTGTGTTTTAGGAACATTTTCTCCTGATGTTTCCCCTGCATCTTCAGAAGAAGGTGATTTGTTGTTGGTATACAGCAGGGATCCCCAAACCAAGGCCCGTGGGCAAGATGTGGCCCGCCATTCCCACACCCTAAACTTTAGAGCAGTGGTTCCCAACCTTTTTTTGATCAGGGACCACTTTGACCAGGGACCACTCTCCAATCTTAGTACCAAAAGGGTTATGAATCTGTTTTTGGTCAACTTTAGATCTTGGTGTCTTTGTTTTTAGGTCTGTTCCTGGGGTTATTTGGGGTGCTGATTCAGAAAATTGCATTGGATAGACCACGTCAGCTCTAGTTTCTGATACAGAACATATGCCATCCATTAGTTGCCATCTGCTCACCCACAAAAAATCATATTTAATAATCTAGAGTTGATGTGGTCTATCCAATGCAATTTTCTGAATCAGCACCGCAAATAACCCCAGGAACAGACCTAAAAACAAAGACACCAAGGTGCCCCCGCTTCTAGATACCACATGGAACGACTCCACTCAGGGGGAGGGAGGAGGAGGAGAAGGAGCAGTCAGGAGGCTTGTTGTTGTGCCTTTCATGGGCAGTCAGCCTTTTCCCTCCCAACATCCCTGTTGCCTCGGCACTATAAGAGGCTTTTGCGAGACCAGTCACTCTCATTGCAATGGTGTAGTAACGGTGAGTCTGCGGACCATATTTTAGTTCTTGGGGACCACTGGTCGTCCACAGACCACAGGTTGGGAACCATTGCTTTAGACTTGGTCTCCCTCAGTCTGAAAGGACTTGAAGGCACATAATAACAACAATCCTAAGGCTGGATCTACACTGCCATGCATCCCAATTTGTTGGGTTGTATGGCTTATGTGCTTTGAAATGGATTATATGAGTCTACACTGCCATATACTCTAGTTCAAAACAGATAATCTGGATCCAGAAGCAGAGCAGTGTAGACAGGGCCTAAAATGTACAAATATTGTTATTTTGGCCAGTCTGCCTAGACCTCGCCACCAAGGGAGAGGCCAAAAACAAGTGAAGCCTGGTGCTGCGTAAGATAACGAAAGGAGCAAAGGGAGGAGACTCACGGAGTTGGCAATGGGCCCCTTTTAGGGTGTGGAGCTTGACCGAGTGCAATTCTGACAATGGCCCTCTTCTGAATTCCTATGAAAGAATTCCTTTCACAGAAGGAATCTGATTTGGGAGATTTTTTAGAAGCAATTCATTGGAAATCCAAACCATGAGCAAAATCCAACTGTTGTTCCCAGTCATACTGCAAACTGAAGCAGTGCTAACATAACAGCCGTGTTTACATCCCATGACTATTTATAAAACAAATATACAGAATGTTTACAGAGTGCTGCAATCTTGATTTTGCAAGCATAACACATGCATGCCTTAATTAACAAAGCCTCTGATAAACAAGTTCCTTTTTAGACAGTCTTTTTATGGCTACACAACTCCCTATTCTTCTTATTCTCTGTCTAGCTGCAAGTATTTTATCAGCATTGGCATTGGTAGGATGGTGGGCTGGAGAAACATAGGCTTTCGGTGTCATAACGTAGCAATCTGTCTGCAGTAAACAATGCAGTAAACCTCAGAAACAGGCTCATTTTCAGCATGCAGCTCAAACTATAAATATTTGGAGCCTGCACACTTCTGAAACAAAACTTTTCTACGTAGTGAATGCCATCATACTAGCTTCAAACAACAACAGAGTGAAAGTCAGGAGTATATGGATCTCTAATTGTGACATTTTAAAATAAAGCTTACCAAGTACTGTGAGAAAATACAAAAGGGCCGCTTCGGTTTAATTTTAATGGCAACTTCCCCTTCTTTTCCTGGAGGCTGAATATTACCTTGGTCATCCACAACCTTTAGGAAGAAAGAAAATTAAAACAGGGCAAATATCTACCTACAGTTCAGCTGATGAGTTTTGCGTATATCATGTAAATCATGTACATTGACATGTGAACTTCATGTTGATATGTGAAACTTCAGATAGTAGGGAACCCCATTGAAATGAAGGACATTTGCAACCAGTTTGGAGCATCCAAAAATGTCTACAGAAGTGATATTTTATTGAACAGGGATAAATGAAACTAGATACTGGTTCTGTGGATAAAGGGGTTGTGGATACAGAGAATGACTTGACTCTCTGTGTCTATTGCCAAGCTCTTAAAATTGAGGGGGAAATGGATTGGTTTGTTCCAAAGGTCTCATTACTCCAGTGGTGTACAAATGTGGTCTCTTGGGTAAGTTGGATAACAATTTCTATCATTAATAAACTGCATAGTCCACAAATAGAATGAAAGAGTTGGAAGAGACCTTGTGGGCCATCAAGCCCAACCCCCTGGCAAGAAGCAGGAAAATCACATTCAAAGCACACGTGTCCATAGTGAGGTCTGTGGACCAAATTTGGCCCACCATGTCATTTAATGAGGCCCATGAGGTTTTCACCATACTAAGAAATGGAAACCAGATTGAGTATGGCTCACTTAGGCACTCTATTTTTTTGTGTAAAGAGGGGGAGTATACCAGCACCGCTTCATTTGCCATCATTTCCATCATGCCTGCCACATGTAGGGGGACTTTCCATATGATTTTCAAATGCTGACTAACCAAGATTTGAACTGCATGGAGTTCCTCTGGCACACAGGCCAATGGTAATGGTGACGGAGTCATGGGACTACTATTCTCTTTCCTTGTGTTTTTGGTCAACCTGAAATGGAATGTCTAAAGATGGTTCATGTGGAGAAAAAGGAACAAACAGGAAGGGTTCATTAAGTATCCAATACTTCTTATTAATGTCCTGTAGAAGACAGTCAATGGTGAGAACAGGAATCATCCATAGAGGTGGGATCACCAATGTCTGCAGTACAGGTGGGAAAATATTGGCCTTCTGGCTACAGCTTGCCCAACACTTTGCCACTGGGTATGCTTCTTGCAATTTTTGGATCGCTCAAGATTTTCCTCCCCTAGTCTAACACGACTGGTGTCAACTATCCATGGTTTCTTTCGAACGGCATCTGGAAATCACTCTGACCTTCTGCATGCTTAATAGGTCCTCTACCAGAGAGCTATTGTTGTTCTTGTCTGCTTGACTTAGACACAGCAGGGAAGTGGCAAAGTGGACACACTCTGCTCACCATAGAATTGTTACTAACAAAACATCCAGGAAGTATCATAATATATTTGCCCGACTTTTTGGACTGGCGTTAATGTGATCACTTTATATTTGTCTTTGTACCTGGACATCATATGGTGGAGATCCTTTTCCCATTGATCCCACTTTAATTTTCATTCCTTTTACATTAGCACATATGACAACCTGCAAGAGAAGGAAACATCAATACAGTTGGATGACCCTTAAGGGTCTGGATTCTTTCATTGCTGAATTTCCAGAAAGCTCAGCAATCCAAGTGGTTGCCAGACATGAACTAGGAAGAAGTAAATATATTGAAGGGCACTATGCAAATTTGTATCAGATCTAGGACACATGCAGGACGTCTTGCTGTTCTGGGAGTTGAATTATGGAACTTTTTTTTAGAACATTCACAAAATAGAGCACTAAAAAGGGGGTTTAGATAATGGTAGATGACATGGAGTAAGACCATCATCTAGTGCTGGCATTTTCAGCAGCTGGTGGTATCCATATCTCACTAGGGCACCCTAGGCCATTTCCTGAAGGTTCCCAACATGGGTTCTTCTCTCTGCTTTTACCATCTATTTGACCTGCCCTCCTCACACCGAAGGAATGAGCAATGAGAGAGGAGTGAGAAATAATATCAAGTGTTGTTTGTACATTGTCCTATTTGGCGGAGACACTGATGACAAAGATAAAGAATCACTGCAGTTTTAGGGTAAGAAATTAGATTTATTTATTTTTTGTGTGTCAGGAGCAACTTGAGAAACTGCAAGTTGCTTTAGGTGTGAGAGAATTGGCTGTCTGCAAGGACGTTGCTCAAGGGACGCCCAGGTGTTTTGATGTTTACCATCCTTGTGGGAGTCCTCTCTCATGTCCCCGCATGGGGAGCTGGAGCTGATAGAGGGAGGTCATCTGTGCTCTCCCTGGATTCAAACCTGTGACCTGTCGATCTTCAGTCTTGCCGGCACAAGGGTTTAACCCATTGCACCACCAGGGGCTCCAAGAAATCAGCTGGTGAGTGTGTTAACTGAAAATGCAAAGCATGAAGCTGATTGGTTGGGCCACACCTGGGGAGCTAGCTGAGCCTGGGAGTTTTGGCAACAGTTACATGTTTAGCCTTGATCTGTGCAGAAGCTTGCATAGAGAGACTCGGTCCTTCTAAATGAGCTGCTGGAAGAAGATCTTCCACATGGACACAGAAAGACCATTTGAATCTCTCTCAAAGGACATTGTGTGAGTCAATGCAACTGTTCACATGACTGCATATATGTTGCTCTGCATTGCAAAGAGTAAACATTTTGTTCTGTACTGATCATCTGCATGGCATATTTTCTTTCTCTGGCAAGACAGTGTATGGACTGATAAAACTAGGAGTGATTTTCATTACGCCACATGCAGGCCATGCAATAGTCATAAGAAAACACAGTCCAAGGTTAATTTAGGGACAAGGCTTCAACATCCTAGACAGCTCCTTTGAAGTTCATATAAAGTTCATGCTTTGAGCCACCTTCCTTCTGGCATGGAAATCACCAGCTCCCCTCCTCCCATAATCAGCAGGACCTGAACTACAAAACTTGCAGCATAAAATTTGGCAGAAGGAAACCAATAAACCAAATTTATTCATCTGAGGTGCTGAATAAATCCAGGTCTTAAAAGTGCTGAACCTATTTTGGGAATAGGGTTTACAATGTGGACACCTCCTTTGAAATCTGGAATAAATATCCAGAGTGGATTCCCTGCCCCACTGAAACAAGACACCTCCTATTCGTGCATCACACCTTTGTCCAATTTTCACTTGCTGATTGTACAAAGGTGATTTGCAACCATACTTGCTTGTATTTCCTATGCTATCCCATTCTTAAGGTATCCTGTCTTCAAATACTGGATCCAAACAATTGATTTCCAACTGGGTTGAGAGACTGCCATGCCAAATAAAAGGTTTTAATGTAGATTAAATGTATTTTATGTTGCATATTGTTTGGCACCAAATTGTGCCTGCTGATAGCCATCCTGAGTGCCTCACCATAGGAGAGAATAGAAATGCTCTTAATAAATAAAATAAATAAATAAATAAATAAATAAATAAATAAATAGGAGCATTACTGTTTCCGTTTGTCCGTATCCTTCATAGATATCCAGCCCTGTTTGTTTTCTCCACTGCTCAAACACTTCAGGGATGAGGGGTTCCCCTCCAGTCACGCAGTGCTTCAGGCTCATGAATTTATACCTAGGTAAGAAATGACGGCAATTAGTGATTTCCCAGTTCTAGGAGGATGACCTTTGGATTTGTTTGTGTGCATTGTGCTTGTATAATCTCTTGCATAACCAGGTCCTGCTCCATAACCACTTTCCTCAGGTGAACTGTTCTGGTCTGAGTTATTTACTGCCTCGCCAAATGGAAACTGCCTGATTTGTGTAGGATTATAGCGTGTGTGTATGTGCACTACAGGCAAGATGTACACATTTCCCTCAGTGATCAAAATTTTGGGAGATTTAGCAAGTGTGCTAGTAGAGCTGAATCTTTAAGCTCAAGAATCTGAGGAAGCCACAGTACCTGCTGAGATCATGTTGAACCAACATCCGGTATGCAGTGGGAGCCGTGCAGAAAGTAGTGACTGGGTATTTGGCGAGCGTCTAGATAGAGAAAGGGAGGTACAATCATTACTTGAACTGTAAAATGCTGCCTTTGTAACACAGCATTTGCCAACAATAAAGCATAGAATATATATTCACGGGATGAATGACATACAAGATTATTTGTGAACATGATGGATATATAGCCTCCATCATACACAGTTATGCAAAATATCAATTTCCCCAGGTAATGGTAACAGAAAACAGGGTGATTCAGAATCATTTGAAGGTCTGCATCGCTGTTTTCCCCCCCTATGATTTTCCTCATTGTAAAATGTATTTTGGAGTGTTTGCAGTAATCATACTTCCCTTTCGCTTTCTTCATAGCTTTTTTATTTTTAAACAACCTCAAGGGGGTCCACAACTATAAGGCTATTATATAATTTTTATAAGAAATAGTAAAGATCTGAGCCTATATAATATAGGTGATCACAGTGGCACAATGGGTTAAGCCCTTGTGCTGCTGACCTGAAGGTTGACAGTTCAAATCTGCAGGACGGGGTGAGCTTCTGCTGTTATCCCTAGCTCCTGCGAATCTAGCAATCCGATAACATGCAAATATGAGTAAATAAATAGGTACTGCTTTGGCGGGAAAGGCATAAGACACTCCAAGCAGTCATACTGGTCACACACCAGGAGGTGACAATGCAGGCTCCTCGGCTTGGAAATGAACAGCACCTCCCCCCCCCCCCCCCCCCCCCCCCCCCCCCCCCCCCCCCCGGAATCAGAGATGAGCACTGCCTCCAAAGCCAGAAATGAAAGGAGAAGCCTTTGCCTTTGTTTGTGTTTGTGTGTCTCATTGTATTGTAACAAGGCATTGAATGTTTGCCAGTATTTGTTTACACTGTGATCCATTCTGAGTCCCCACGGAGAGAAGGGCAGAATATAAATAATAATAATAATAATAATAACAATTATTATTATTATTGTTGTTGTTGTTGTTGTCGAAGGCTTTCATGGCTGGAATCACTAAGTTCTTGCGGGTTTTTTTGGGCTGTATGGCCATGTTCTAAATGCCTCTAGAACATGGCCGTATAGCCCGAAAAAACCCACAAGAACTTATTATTATTATTATTATTATTATTATTATTATTATTATTATTAGGTGTCAGGCTCACATGACTTGAATCAGAATTATTTTTCAGAGTTATTGCTTATATCCTTAAATATAAAGTATCTTTGAAAAATGATTTATTAAAATATCAATGTAACATAAGTTTGGAACTTCTATTATATGTTCAAGCTACTAAAAGGTCATTAGCATTTTTAAGATATTGCCTAATGCTTAAGAGGCCCACTTGCCATTGGGCAATTGGACACCTGGTCCAGTCTGCCACTCATGGTGGATTTGACAATCCATTGGCTTCTTAAACTCAGTTTGTGAGCCAGGATGTTGTCTTGGCTTTTAGGCATTGGGTTAACCACATCAGCTCTTTATCATATGGTTACCATGCTTTTTTATGGATGAGTAGATGAAAATATGGCATATGTTCTGTATCTCAAAAACAAGAGCTGATAGGGGAAAGCTGATGCCAAGTTTAGAATCAGTTGGTCAAATATACCCAGAAACAGGTCTAAAATCTGAGGCATCAAAATGTATGCTGGCCAGTGTAATAGAAAGCCTTAAAGCAGAATATTAGTCCATCTGGGATCATAGAACAATATTTCCAGACTTGAGTCTTTCCCAGCCTAGAGATGCCAAGGATTTGAACCTGGGGTATTTTGCATGGAAGGAACCATTCTTGAAAAGGGAGCTGCACTTTCCTTTGCAGAGAAAAGCAGGCTTGTTGTTGTTCTTGTTGTTATCATTATTGAACAGCTTCATTATGTCTTGACCCAATGGCTGGTGAGAAGTCCTCCATCCAAGTTCTAACTGGCCTCAGAAGGAGACAGGAGCAGCTCGCATCTGCTGCACTTCTCCCTTTGCCATTTACTTTTTCTTTATGTGCTATGCTTTATTTAGATTGTAAACTGGAAAGCAGGAAACTTTCAAATTGTTGAGGACTTGTAAGATGTCCCTGAAAGATTTTTTTTGTTGAATGGTGGAAATAGATATCCCCCAAATAAATACAAACATGTAAATAAATACATATTTCACCTGCACATTATTTTTCCTTACATTTGCTATGACAGCAGGCTCAAACCGTGGCAGGTGATGTACAAACACACACGATCCATTGAGCCACGGAGAAAAAAGGCTGCTCCAGGCTGACTTCACCCACCCGGTGTCTGATGTATTCCAAAATACATCGGAAGTACCCAGATTCATCCAGTGCCTGTTGAGGAGAGAATAATGGATTCGAAGCTAAAATGTTGACTAACGGCCCCCAGCTTCTGGAAAGCAGATTACAGGATGATTCAGCAAAAGCTTTGCACATTGACCTTAGAAATCTCAGTGAAAGCTGAAGGAGGAGTGTAGAGTCCATGTGGGGAAGTCAGATCCCAATAGCTACAGTATTTGTTTTATATCCCAACGTTCTTATAGGAAAGGGAGTCAGAGAGAATCACAGAATTCACTGGGTGGTCTCCTTCTCTGACTGGATCTACACTGTCATATAATTCAGTATCTTATTGTGTCGGAAGCAAATTGAGAATATACTGCAAGTTGCAGTTATTTATTTATTTACAGCATTTTTACCTCGCCCTTCTCAACCCCCCCCCCGGGGGGGGGGGGGACTCAGAGTGGCTAACAAAAGCAGCAATTTGATGCCACAAATCAATAACACAGTATAAAACCATAAATACATACAGAGTTAAAACAATAGCAATTAACTATAACCAAATTATCATAACAGTCTACAGAGACGTTATCCATGGGATGCCCGGATGTGTTAACATCCAGTGGGAGACTTCTCTAATGTCCCTGCACGGGAAACTGGGGCTGACAGATGGGAGCTCACTCTGTCTTGCAGATTTGAACCGCTGACCTTCACGTCTTCAGGTCAACGGTTCAACTGGTACAAGGGTTTAACCTGATCCCAGATTATCTGCTTTCAACTTGATTATATGAGTTTACACTGAGGCTGGATTTACACTGCCATATAAATTCTACATTAAATGCTTTGAACTGGATTATATGGCAGTGTAGACTCATATAATCGAGTTCAACACAGACGGTGTGGAATGTATGCTTTTATCATCTGGATTATATGGCAGTGTAAATCCAGCGTGATATATAATAGTTTAAAGCAGATCACCTGGATTATATGGAAGTGTAGATGGGGCCTCAATCTGATCTACCTCAAAAGCTTGGTGTGAGGATAAAGTGGAAGGTAACCACGTCCACCACCCTTGAATTCATTGGAGGAAAGATATGATCTATTTCATATCAGGAGCAATTTGAGAGACTGCAAGTCACTTCTGGTGTGAGAAAATTGGCCGTCTTCAAGGACATTGCCCAGGAGATGCCCGGATATGTTACCATCCTGTGGGAGGCTTCTCTCATGTTCTCACATGAGAAGCTGGAGCTGACAGATGGGAGCTCACCCCACTCTCCAAATTCGAACCACTGACCTTTCAGTCAGCACTCCTGCTGGCACAAGGGTTTAACCCATTGTGCCACTGGAGGCTCCTAAAGATACGATCAAAATAAGACAAAGAAATGTGGTCAATGCACATTACCTGCCACTGGATGCAAATCCAATCCCAAAGCAGTGGGACTGTTCCACCATTTTGGGTGATCCTGTGCTTCCGCTTGTGAAATATATGAGGGATGGGTCCCGATTCTTTGTCTTCACACAGTCGTGCTTGTCAGGCGCTGCTCTTAAAAACAAGGAGGACTTATGATATCAGCATGCAAAACACAGCACCTTTATGAGGCTTGCACATTACATGCATGAAACCATGCCATGTGTTTCCAGCAACTTGTGTTAAGCATCAGAAATATTTTTTCTCACTTTTTAAAAAAGGAACAAAGACAAACAGAGTTTTTTAACAGTATAAAACACTATGTTTCTGTTGTGACATTCCCTGAACAGAGTGCGCATGGCACACAGTTGAAGCCAGGGGCTTAGAATGAAAGAGACAGTGTGGTGGGTGGATTCATCACAATTATTTCTTGCTCATTCAATGGAATATCTCCTGGAGCACCTACTGGAACAGGTCCTTGAAGTTCATCCATCCATCCCTGCCACGTTCAGAGACAATGAGTTTGGTTTTCAGAAACTTGCAATCAGACGCAACGGAATCCACAGCAGGGGCCAATGTATCATCGACCGCAATGCATTTGGCTTTGGAGGCCTGGAGTCTATAGGAAATGTCCTTTGCTGTTAGTTGGGATGTTCCCGGAATGAAAACAACACCTAGAAAAGAAGAAGGGAACGAGATGAGAGCACCATTAGCAAAGTTCATTCCGTAATTTCTCTCTAATGTAGTGCAAGGGTAAAATAATGGATTGTGGCCTAGGAGACCCAGTAAGTATTGGGATTGGAGAAGGGCAAACAAATTGAAACTTAATTTAGACAGGATAGAGATGCTCCTGGTGAGTTACATTGCAACTCACCAATACACACCTTGAAGAACAGCATCTTCTGTAGAGTACCCAGAGAGCCTTGTGAAACTACTAAACCTAGGACACCACAGAATAGAACCATGGTAGTTAAAGTGGTATCAAATAGCAATAACTGTGCAATGTGGATACACTAAAGCACGCAGATGAATTCTGCTCAAAATAGTTCTGCACAGTTATGCACAGAGATTGTTGGAGCATGTAAGAAATCAGTTAGTGTGTGTGTGTGTGTCAACTGTAAAAATAAGATGCATGAAGCTGATTGTTCAGGCAATGCCTGGGGAGCAGGCTAAACCTGGGACTTTTGGATACTGTTCCATTTTTGTTCATGCTTCAGCTAAGCAGTTGCTGACAGAGAGAAGCAGAGAGAGGCAGAGTTTGGAGTGTACTCTCACTTCATGAGTTAGTGAAGGAGTTTATCCACATGGACAGATAAAGATCATTTTAAATCTCTCATAAAAGGACATTATGTGAGTTGATGCAAGTGATCACATTGTACATATGTTGCTCCGAACTACGAAGAGTAAACTACTTGTTCTTTACTGTTCACCTTTGTGGCATATTTTTCTTTCTTTGGCAAGGCAGTGTGTGGGCTGATCATACATGAACTACACATGATTTATTTTACATTACATCACAGAAATGTGTTTGACAATTGCCTGACATTTGTGACACTGGTGGAGTGTGTTTCCGCTTCTCCAGAAAGGCAAGACAGAAAGAGAAGAGACAGTGCTTTGCTTGGACCACATTACTGAGGCCCCTTCTACACTGCCATATAAAATCCAAATTACCTGCTTTGAACTGGATTATATCACAGTGTAGACTCATATAATCAAGTTCAAAGCAGATATTGTGGATTATCTGCTTTGATAATCTGGATTATATGTCAGTGTAGAAGGAGGCTGAGAGTGAAGACTCTTCTCTTTTAATGATGATGGTGGAGAAGAGAGAAGGTTAGCCCTGGTTGATTGCCATTCTCTCATTCAAGGGAGAGCAGCCCAGTTCCCAATTTTAACTGGCAATTCTACTGGGAGTTTCCACAAATATAATTTATTTTGTTTGGAAATATAACAGCAAATGAATTTTAATTCAGGGAAAACTAATCATGATACCTAGATACAAGGGGTGAGATGGATAACACGAGAATGTGGTGATTTTATTCACTGTTGCCCCCTCAATATCTACATATTTACTGACCTGTTCGCATACAGGCCACATTCAGTAACCACCACTCTGGGATCCGTGGCAGAACCGCCATGATTTTGTCACCTCTTTGCAAGCCACACGGTCCTGTAAGGACATTGGCTGCCTTTCGGGTCAGGAGTCCCAGTTCCTCAAAACTCCACTTTGCCTCTTCCTTCTGGTCACTCACCCACCAGAAAGCTGGGTTTGGAGGCCTCTTGCCAGCCTAATAGAGAAACCAAGGAGTTAGGAAACAAGAAGGAAGAGAGGAAAACGCATTGACACAGTGACTTATTTACATGTAAATTGGATAAATATTTGATGCACAGAAGTGTTTTAGTAGCAGTCTCCTATATTGTTACAGCTATCAAGCTAAAAAAAAAATGCCTGCAACTCTATGCTGGTGCAAATCAGAGCCTTTGTTTTTGCAATAGGAGGTATCTAGTATACCTTCTTATACAAGTAGTTCATTTGGAAGTAAAACAATAGCTGGATTGCTGTGAGTTTTCTGGGCTGTCTGGCCATGTTCCAGAAGCACTCTCTCTATGGCAGGCATCCTCAGAACTTGTGAAGTCTGTTGGAAACTAGGCAAGTGAGGTTTATATGTCTGTGGAATAATATTCAGGGTGGGAGAAAGAACTCTTGTCTGTTTCTGACAAGTGTAAATGTTGCAATTGGCCATCTTGATTAGCATTGGATGGCCTTGCAGCTTCAAAGCCTGGCTGCTTCCTGTATCCAAGTACAATTCACGCAGGCATAGTTCTCATCCAAGTGGGTACTTATAGGGAAGGCTGGGAATGATTTCTCACACCACAAGCCTCAAACCCCACCATTAATATGGTATTTAAAACAAGGTAAGCATTGTAACAACACATCATATTTGATTTGTGAAAAATGCACCATCTGTCTGTTAAATGCCTTTTCCCCAACAGTCTGCTAAATTATTATTAGGGCTCCTTCTACACTGACAAATAATTCATATTATCTGTTCTGAACTGGATTATATGACAGTGTAGACAACATCCTACCTAATACACCAGTGTCCTGTTTTCCACTCTGCCACAGCCCTGCGACCAAAGAAATGGGAACCGTACCTTTTCCACTTGCGTCCACTGGTCCAGAACATCACTTGCAAAATTGAAATACTCCGGCACTTCCTGTTTGCCCCGACTTATATCTTCGAAGTCTGGTATGACTAGAGAGGCCTGGGATCTCCTGGAATGGTGAAGGAATGTGCGAGGAAAGTGGAGGCTCCAGAAACATTTCAACAAAGTCTTCATTGCACTTGGTTGTGGGGTAACTTGAGAATGTATCGCTCTGCTCTGTTTCTCTGCAACAACATTGTTTCCAAAGGAGAACATTATAATCTTCGAAATCCTTGACTACAAGGCCAGGGCTGGCCCAAGACATTTTGCTGCCTAATATGAAGGCAGGATGGCATCTCTCTCCCTCGCCATTTAATACCTAAACTGGGCTAGAGATTGGATGTGAATTCTACACTGGTGCTGAGGCAATATCTCCCAGTACACCTGAAAGAATAAATACACTAACCTGTTATCTTGAAAGGAGATGAATGCATGGCACCTAAGGCTGGATCTACTCTGTGCTATATCCCAGAATCTGGTTCCAGATTACCTGGTTATCCTAGATTATTTGGCAATGTAGTCTCATATAATCCAGTTCAGAGCAGATAATATGGGATCAGATGTTGGGATATAAGGAAGTGTAGATCCAGTCTAAGAGCCCTTCCACACATATAACCCAGAATATCAAGGCAGGAAATCCCACAATATCTGTTTTGAACTGGGTTATCTCAGTCAACACTGCCATATATTCCAGTTCAAAGCAGATATTGTGGGATTTCCTGCCTTGATTTTGTGTTATATGTCTGTGTGGAAGGGCCCCAAGTGACATACAGGGCTGATTTGGGTTAACACAGGCCAAGGTCATTTTTTGTGTGTCAGGAGCAACTTGAGAAACTGCAAGTTGCTTCTGGTGTGAGAGAATTGGCCGTCTGTAAAGATGTTGCCCAGAGAACGCCTGGATGTTTTGATGTTTTACCATCCATGTGGGAGGCTTCTCTCATGTCCCTGCATGGGGAGCTGAAGCTGACAGAGGGAGCTCATCTACACTCTCCCTGGATTCAAATCTCTTTCAAGGCCATTTAGCAAAGCCTTGAACTGTGTTAGCACAAAGTGCATGCTGTTCCACATTACCCCCAAGAAAAAGGAGCAAACCTCAACTTTGCAACCATTTAAGCAATTGGGTTTCTTCTGAGATGGGACTGGCTCCAACTGTTTACCCATGTTTCCCAGGGACACATCGTTTGCTGCCTTTTCTCATAATTGTGGCATTCAGTGGGCACGACGTGGCTAGTATTGGTTGCCCATCTCCTGGAGTGATGCTAACTGAAGCAACAAGGCAATTGGAGACAGGGTGAGAAGAGGAGGAGGTTCCTCATCTGTCACTCTGGTACCCTGGCCAATGGCACTCTAGGTGACAAATGACTGACTGACACTAGCCACGTAATGACTACTGGCCACTATGACAACAAGAATTCTTGCAGGATGGTAAGGCTGGCAATCCAGTGATGGTGAACCAGGTTCAGCACAGCTGGACTGTCAAGACATCTGTGGTGAGAAGACTGGTAGTCCGAACCAGGGCTTCTTAAACTTCTCCCACTTGTGATCCCTTTTCTGCCTAAGAAATGTTTACATGACCTCAGGGAATATAGGAATATAAAATAGGTATCCATCATTTACTGAATCTGCAAGGTTTATGAAACAGGCTGACTTTCCTTTTTATGAAGCATTTTCTGCAGAGACTACCGTAAACCCTGCCTGCGGAGATTTGTGCAAATGGTTGGCATTGAGAAACCTTTTGCTCTTGCCACATTTTTTGGGATCCCAACATTGAGCAAAGGTTAAGATGCTCAGTTTAAGAAGACATACTGGAGGTTTTTTGAGGAAAATTAAACTTGATTTGTGGGAGTTGTAGTTCGCCTACATCCAGAGAGCACTGTGAACACAAACACCGATGAATCTGGACCAAACTTGGCACACAGACCTGATATGCTGAAATTTGATTACTGGAGGGGTTTAGGGAGAACTGACCTTCATTTCTGGGAGTTGTAGTTCACCCAAAACCAGAGGAACCATGACCTCCACTGATGTTGGGCCTGGGCCAAACTTAGCACACAGAACCCCTATGACTAACTTAACCTACTGGAGGGGTTTGAGGGGACTCACTCACCATATTGGGAGTTGTAGTTTACCCTACAGCTAGAAAGCACACTGAAACCCCACTGATAAATATGTATTTCATCTAAAGCAAATGTGCCCAATATAACAAACTTTAAGTACTGATGGAGTTTTTCAAGATTAACCTGGAATGATGTGAGTTGTAGTTCACCCACAATCTTATGCATTTTGTACAATTAAAATTGACTTTTTCAAATAATGGGTAATATATTCATCATCATCATCATCATCATCATCATCATCATCATCATCATATAAGTTTCATATAATCTTTACTGTATAAATTAGGTTTGGAATGTTTTCCTTTCCACTAATGTACTACAGTTGATTCTTGGGAAGTCTCCTCCATAGTCACTCCATGTGGTTCATCACTAACATAGCTGTCAACAGATTTCTTTTCTGAATTAGAAACCTATCAATTTTAATGGCAATTATAGCAACCTAATCAACAAATTGTGCAAACAATAGTACCTACACTTGAAGAGTATCAGCCTTTGTTTGTAAGGGTGGGAGGAGCATTTTTCACACAGCACACCCATGGACTATAGGCGACACACTAATGTGCCATGACACACAGTTGAGCAAACTGTTCGAAGATCTGAGTTGCTGTGAGTTTTCTGGTTGTATGGCCATGTTCCAGAAGCATTCTCTCCTGACGTTTCGCCCACATCTATGGCAAGCATCCTTAAAGATTGTGAGGTCTGTTGGAAACTAGGCAAGTGAGGTTTATATATCTGTGTAATAATTTCCAGAGTGGGAGAAATAACTCTCTGAAGATGCCTGTCATAGATGAGGGCAAGATATCAGGAGAGAATGCTTCTGGAACATGGCCACACAATCTGGAAAACTCACAGCATTCCAGTGATTATGGCCATGAAAGCCTTTGACAACACATGTTTGAAGATTGCTTGCAACTCTTTTATCAGCTGACAAACTTGGAAAATTATTATTATTATTATTATTATAAAAATGAGTGTTGAAAAGCCTGGGAGAGATGGATGGCAATCTTCACTGAGGTTACCATATGAAAAATATATGAAATGCAGAAAAGAAGTGTTTGAGGGCAGAAACTAAAGCTACATCTACACCAGAAAGAGACTTGAGACTGTTAGGAATGGTGGGAGTTGAAGTCCAAAACACCCAGAGGGCCGAAGTTTGCCCATGCCTGATATACACTGTTGAATGACTACTGTTTGTCACCACTTTCATAGAATCATAGAATCACAGAGTTAGAAGAGACTTTGTCCAATCCCTTGCCAAGAAGCAGGGACATTACATTCAAAGCACCCCCGACAGATGGCCATCCAGCCTCTGTTTAAAAGCATCCAAAGAAAGAGCCTCCACCACATTCTGGGGCAGAGAGTTTCACTGCTGAACAGCTCTCACAGTTAGGAAGTTCTTCCTTATGTTCAGGTGGAATCCCCTTTCCTGTTGTTTGAAGCCATTGTTGTGCATCCTAGTCTCCAGGGCAGCGGAAAACAAGCTTTCTCCCTCCTCCCTATGATTTCCTCTCACATCTTGATACATGGCTTTCATCATGTCTCCTCTCAGCCTTCTCTTCTGCAGGCTAAACAGTTCGTTAAGCCGCTCCTCATAGGGCTTGTTCTCCAGACTCTTGATCATTTTTAGTTGCCCTCCTTTGGACACATTCCAGCTTAGAGTCAACATCTCCCTTCAATTGCGGTGCCCAAAACTGGACACAGAATGATCCCAGATGTGGTCTGACCAAGGCAGAATAGAGGGGTAGCATGACTTTCCTGGATAACCTCCCTGGACTTAACTGGCATGACTTAATATTAATTATGTATTTCATTGTGTTGTCGTTTGTGTCTTTGGTTTTTATTTTATTGTAATTTGCTGTTTGGGCTTGGCCTCATGTAAGCCGCCTTGAGTCCCCATTGAGGAAGATGGTGGCGGGGTATAAATAAAGTTTATTATTATATTATTATAATTATTACTAAGGATTTTTAGCCTTCTATGTCCAAAAGTGCTACTAACTCAAACAAACCCCAGCTCTATAGTATTGAGCGTTGGCAGGTAAAGTGTCAAACTGCATTCTCTCTCCAGTGTACAGAGGCACCTTAACTAATAACTAGCCATTTCCTGTGCAGGAAACAGCATTATGAGTACAGTAAACATTTGCTTGGGCTGACATTTCCAGCACAGAGAACAGAATTGACTCTGCTACTGCTGCTAGTCCTCTGGCTCCCACTTGGTTGGAAAGGGGATATATAGTTCCCCAATAACTGGAAAGGGCCACAACTTGACACTGACCTGCATGTTTTTGGTCTCCTGTTGATCCTACAGCTTAGAGTCATAGGCTGAATCTCCACTGCTACATAAATACAGTTTCAGAATCCACTGAGATGGATTATATAACAGTGTGTAGACCAGGCATTGGCAAACTTGGGCCCTCCGGGTGTTTTGGACTTCAACTCCCACAATTTCACCGGCTGTTGGGAATTGTGGGAGTTGAAGTCCAAAACACCCGGAGGGCCCAAGTTTGGTGTAGACTCAGATACTCCAGTTCAATCTGCATTCTAAAACTGCATTATGTGGCAGTGGAGATCCAGCTGTACAAATACGGGGCTGGAAGAGACCCCAAGGGATACCCAGTCCAACCCCACAATGCCAGGCAGAAGGGCACAATCCAAGCCCTCCCGACAGATGACCATCCAGACTCTCCTTCCAAACCTCCACCAGACCTCGAGGCAGCATATCACAGGGTCTTACCGTCGGGAAGTTCCTTCTAGTATCTAAATAGGAGTCTGTTTTCAACAGTCGAGGTGGGATCTCTTGTCTTTCTTGGCTTCAGGGGCAAGGATCCCAAGGAGCGTCAGAAAAACCAGGAAAGGGAGAGAGAGGCTCCAATGCCCTCCCCGCCCGAGTTAGAGGAAAGTTGCCAGCTGCCGCCCCTTTGGACCTCTTCCAGTCCAGGCGCCTGAAGACAAATGCAAAGGGTGGCTGGGAGGGGGAGATGCCAGAGAGTGGCCAATGGACTCCCTCAAAAGCTATTGCAAAGTGCTTTCTGTCCTCCCCCCCCCCCCCCCCCGGTGCCTTTAGCTCCTCCCTTCGTTCATGGCCAGGGGTCATTTCAGGTGAAGGGCGAAAGCTGCATGGAAGGCAAGCCTGTAGCCAAGGGGGCGGTTTGGGGGTTCAAACCACGACAAAAAATTCAGGTCAAAAATAAAATAATCCTGGTTTACTCATAACTGGTTAACCAAATCCTCCTGCCAAGTATAAAGGTAAAAGTAAGATAAAGCTTGTCCCCTGACATTAAGTCCAGTCGTGTCCGACTCTGGGGTTGGTGCTCATCRCCATTTCTAAGCCAAAGAGCTGGTGTTGTCCATAGACACCTCCAAGGTCATGTGGCTGGCATGACTGCATGGAGCGCCGTTCCCTTCCCGCCAAAGCGGCACCTATTGATCTACTCACATTTGCATGCATTTGAACTGCTAGGTTGGCAGAAGTTGGGACTAACAGCTGGAGTTCACCCTGCTCCCCGGATTCGAACTGCCGACCTTTCGGTCAGCAATTTCAGCAGCTCAGCAGTTTAACCCGCAGCGCCACTGGGGGCTCCTGATCTGTTCACTAGACTTTTATTGATGCATCCTACAAGCAACTAAGCAATGAATACATTTKTGGCACTCAAATGCTTCAGCAGATTGTACCTATTGATCTACTCACATTTGCATGTTTTTGAACTGCTAGGTTGGCAGAAGCTGGGGCRAACAGCAGGAGCTCATGCTGCTCCCTGGATTCGAACCTACAACCTTTCAATCCACAAGTTCAGCAGCTCAGCGGTTTAACCCACTGCACCACTGGGGGCTCTATGAGAAGCAAATTTTAGAGACCCTCCAGAACTGAAAGCACAATTACAACCAAATTGCGATGATTCACACTATCATTACCTTCCTTTCTACCAATTTGCATTGCAATGGCAGCAATAGCTGACATACTGGAAGTGACCAAGTTTATTTTTTTTATTTTTTTTAATTTACTTTGCTTATATACCGCTGTAGCTCAAGCCCGAGGGCGACTCACAGCGGTTCACAAACAGTAAAGACAATAAAAACAGCAATAGTTCCATACAACAATGACTATTAATTTAACACATTCTCCATTAATAACTAATAAGCAATCCCAATACACAATGTTGGTGAGGTCTGTTGGAAACTAGGAAAATGGGGTTTATATATTTGTAGACTGTCCAGGGTGGGAGAAAGAACTCTTGTCTGTTGGAGTTAGGTGTGAACGTTTCAATTGGCCACCTTGATTAGCATTTAATGGCCTAGCAGTTTCAAGGTCTGGTTAATCAAGGTGGCCAATTGAAACATTCACACCTACCTCAAACAGACAAGAGTTCTTTCTCCCATCCTGGACAGTCTACAGATATATAAACCCCATTTTCCTAGTTTCCAACAGACCGCACAACGTCTGAGCATGCCTGCCACAGATGTGGGTGAAACTTCAGGAGAGAATGCTTCTGGAACATGGCCATACAGCCTGAAAAACTTACAGAAATCCAGTGATTCCGAATATGAAAGCCTTCAACAACACACTGATTCAGGACCTACTACTTATGAAGAACCTTTGCACAATTATGGTAATTTCTAGGTCTTGTTGAGATCTCATGCCACATCAGGAGACACAGACCTGAAAAGTCATCTCAGGGAAAAAAGTTTCAACCCCTTCCAGATTTTTTTTCTGGATATGGGCCTGCTGGGAGGCTATGAGACTTCTCTGCCAGGGAGAATGGCTTGGGGGAGAAAGGCCAGAAAAGTCTGTTTTCTCTTCATGGCACAGGACACTTTTACCCCTCTGTGCCAAGCTTTCATTCCCCTTTGGGCTTCACACAGGCCTCCTTTGTCCCCAAAGGGAAAAGAGAAGGGACAACCTGGTACTCCATCTTGCCTTGATTGCACAAAAGGCAGGCAAGAACACCCAGCAAGAGTCCTCTGGAACTGCCAGGACTTTGATCTCATAATGCCAGGCAGGGCAAGGCAAGCCACTCTTTCTTCCCTGTGTCCGAATCAGCATGCCACCTTGGGACTCCTTTCATTAGGACTGCAGAATGGATTCCTGAGGGCAAGAGGCATCCCCTTGTTTCCATGGATCCCCAAACTAAACGATACAGCTTCCCTTAAAATGGGGTTGTGCATGGTTCAACCCAGAATCATAGAAACACAGAGTTGGAAGAGACCAGCAAAGCCACCCAGTTCCCTCCAATCATACATTTTGGAATGGCATGACCTTTGAGAGACCATAACCTTTTGGGAAACCAGACTTCATTTGAGTGAATCTTCTTCCTAGTGATAAATATCTACTAGCATTCATGTAAGGCAAATTAGGCTTCTCAGTTGTTAGAAAGATATACCTGGTTATCTTTCTGAACTGTTAGGCACAAAGATATACCAATAGTAGATCATTAAAAGTATTATTTCAGTTGCCGAAATATATCTACTCTCCCATCAAATATATTGCTTTTAAATAATGCCCTCAAGAGACCAAAAGTAGGTAGTCTTCATTAAAAGTAACATAGTTGATTTACTTACAAACTTTGTGTATTTAGCATACAAGTACATTTCTTATTGGTTGAGAGTTTAAACAGTAAGTTCTCTAAAGCATTCTGTTTCAGTCTTTTCTCTGTTGCATGCAGACTAACATTCTCTTACGTCTAATACATTACTGAACATTGTTTCAATACAGTCTGACTACACACTGCAGCATACTTTACTGACACTGACTTTACTTCAAATTGGAACACAATGTTGTGGGGGACATACACTCCAAGACCCCCATGGATACCGAAATCTTAGTAATAACTAAGCCTATATCTTGTCCGTACTTGGGTCATAATCAAACCATAGAATCTCAGTGGAGTACTTAAAGAGGCTCATAAACATTTCTGGGCAGGAATATTTTATGGTATGTGGCTATGTAAAAGCGTGGCTGTCAAATCTGTGGATAGGGGATCATATTGGAAAGGCCCTTAGGGTTGAAATGATTGAAAATAAATGAAAGACTTTTTGAAGAAAGAGTTTCTTTCCAAAAGTAACTGTTCTTGCACCTTGTCATTTCTGAATCCAATAAAAGGCTGGTGCTGATAGTAGACTTGGCAATACTCAGGCTTCCTGACAGGCCCTCCAGTCACTCTCTAACCCAGCGGTTCTCAACCTTCTTAATGCCATGACCCCTTAATACAGTTCTTCATGTTATGGTGACCCCCAACCAGAACATTATTTTCATTACTACTTCATAAGTGCCATTTTGCTACTGTTGTGAATATCTAATATGCCGGGTGTATTTTCATTCACTGGACCAAATTTGGCACAAATATCCGATATGCCCAAATTTGAATACTGGTGGGGTTGGTGGGGGGATTGATTTTGTCATTTTGTAGTTGTAGTTGCTGGAATTTGTAGTTCACCTACAATCAAAGAGCATTCTGAACACCCCAACAATGGAATTGAACCAAACTTGGAACACAGAACTCCCAACAGAAAATAGTGGAAGAGTTTGGTAGATATTGACCTTGAGTTTGGGAGTTGGTGTTCACCTATATCTAGAGAGCACTGTGGACTCAAACAAGGATAGATCTGGACCAAACTTGGCATGAATAGTCAATATGCCCAAATGTGAACACTGGTGGAGTTTGCGGAAAATAGACCTTGCCATTTGGGAGTTGTAGTTGCTGGGATTTATAGTTCACCTACAATCAAAGAGCATTCTGAACTCCACCGATGGAATTGAACCAAACTCCCCACACACAACTCCCGTGGCCATCAGAAAATACTGGAAGAGTTTGGTGGGCATTGATCTTGAGTTTTGGAGTTGTAGTTCACAAACATCCAGAGAGCACAATGATGGTTCTGGACCAAACTTGGCACAGATACTCAATATGCCCAAATGTGAACACTGGTGGAGTTTGGGGAAAATAGACCTTGACATTTGGGATTTATAGCTCACCTACAATCAAAGAGTATTCTGAACCCCACCAGCAATAGAACTGGGCCAAACTTCCCACACAGAACCTCTATGACCAACAGAAAATAATGTGTTTTCTGATGGTCTTTAACCACCCCTCTGATGCCCCCTCGCGACCCCCTCAGGGGTCCCGACCCCCAGGTTGAGAAACACTGCTCTAACCTGTTGAGACTGTGGTGGTTGTGTGCCATTGTTGTCAAGCCACAGCACTTCCCACACAAAGATTTATAGATAAAGCGACTCTACACAATATATACATGATTTTTCCTTTATTTTAAAAACATTTTCCACGGCTCCAAAGTTGTGAAGTGTCCAGACAACTAGACGTTCCAAAACTGACCTAGCAGATGTACCCTAAACACTCTTATCATATCCAACCTTTTAATAAAATGTATCAACAATGATTTTTGTGTAACTTGTATCTTTTATGTACTGTGTCAATTCCTAAAAGTATAACATGTTTAAACTGTATCAAGTGAATGTATCAAAATGTATATAGAGGGCAGCTACCTTCCCATGCCCTCAGTTTGTACAATCCCTTGGGAAGGGAAATCACAGCAAGGACTCTTCCAGCTGTTTCCCAAGCCAAATAAATATCAAAACTTTTGTGTGTGTATGTGCAGGTAGATATCCTCTTTGTAACCAGGATAAACACAGGATGTCTGTTCATTCAACTGGAGGCTGAGAGTGTGCCCTCCTGTGGAAGAGGGGGCTCAGCAAATATGAATTCATTAATTCTCTATACAGGCAGCCAAGCCATTGATGGTTTGCCATCTTCACCTTTGTCTTTTGGGTCTTGCACCCTTTTGTTTCACATGAATTGGACACTTAATCCGGGACACATCAGCATATCCACGTCATCATTTCCTCCTAGACTGTGCCCTCCCAAGGGGTGTCTCTGCAACAGATTCGCTCTTTAAACTGTCCAACCACCAGCCATTGTCCTTCCTACCACAGGGATCTCCTCCTGCAGGTTGTGATGCCAAGGAACCCCCTGCCATGGATCATTCTTCCCTTTCAGGCTGTTTTGCGATGGAGGAGGCAGCATGAGTTAACAATGTTGTAAAGTTGTTCCCTTTAGTTTCAACAGATGTACACAATGCTGATGGAATACATATTGTAATGATAACAGATATGAATTACAGCAGCTGCTTATCTTGCTGAAATGATTCAGAGTGAAACATGAATTTTAAATAAATAACCTCAAGAGAGTTATCTTGGCATGAGGGTCATAAGGGAAAATGTTCTTCTGTGAGCAAGGAACAGCTTGCCATCTGATTCCAACTTTATCTGCAAGGAGAGGGAGGAAAGAAAATGGTTATATTCAGAGAATATTTCTACAATGCTCTTTATCCCAACTTCTCAATGTTACACTAGATGCTTCAGTCATAAGACTTTAGGAAAATACCATGGGAGGGGGCAGATTTGTAATGGGGGGTGGGCTATGGCTTTAAAGCTCAATTCCTAACGATGGCCACAGAACAATGAAACAATATTGAACTGACTTGCAATACCACTTACCGAGTTCAGTTTGGAAGCAATGGTAAGTATCTGGATTTCGGATTGTAAAAGCGATGTAGACTTCTGGGGCCTTTTTGCCATCAGGACCACTGGGAAGTTTCTGCAGAACTCTGATAACGGCGTGCATGAGCTCTGGATCATAGACCACATCTATTTGGGATGTTCAAGAGGGAAGAATTGGAGAAATAACAGAATTAAAAAGACAAGGAACCCTGGGCAACTTTGGTAATGTCAGATTCTGGAAGATCTTGGAGTTAAAATCAAGTTCACAACAATAAAACACTGGAGATAAGTGATTTAGTCCTTCTTTTCACAATCCTAAAAAGACAGTTCTAAAGTTTCCCCGCTCAAACCTCTTCTACATACCAGCCCCAACTCCCATCCGCCCCCTAGTGGCCAAACACTGTGCCGACAGCCTGTTAACTGCAGTTTCAATTTCCTCTCAAAACAGATGTCTTATCCACACTATCTTTCCCAACTGTATCCAGCCTCTCTCTCCCCCCCCTCCCAGCCCACTTCCCTTCTTTATGGCAGAAAAACAGCCAGTCAGGCTGATACAGTGATCCTGACAGGTTGACTTGGCCACGGTGGTCCACGCTTTGGTTACATCCCGTTTAGATTACTGCAACGCTCTCTACGTGGGGTTGCCTCTGAAGACTGCCCGGAAGCTTCAATTAGTCCAACATGCAGCAGCCAGGTTACTAATGGGAGCGGGGTACAGGGAGCATACTACTCCTCTGTTGCGCCAGCTCCACTGGCTGCCAGTCAGCTTCCGAGCACAATTCAAAGTGCTGGTCTTAACCTATAAAGCCCTAAACGACTCCGGCCCAATTTACCTGTCCAACGTATCATCCCCTATGAGCCATCAAGATTACTAAGATCATCTGGAGGGGCCCTGCTCTCGATCCCACCGGCCTCACAGGCGCGGCTGGTGGGGACGAGAGAGGGCCTTTTCGGTGGTGGCCCCTCGACTCTGGAACTCCCTTCCACTGGAGATCAGAACTGCCCCTTCGATCTTAACGTTCAGGAAACAGGTGAAAACCTGGCTTTGGGGATTGGCATTCAACGAATGAGCCATGATCCTGTGATATGGATGGATGACGACGAATAATGACTTTGATGACGACTGACCACTGTAATCATATGCCATTTTAATTGTTTCAATGTTTTAATGTTTTAGTGTGATTTAGAAATATGATGTTTTAATGACGATCTGTAATATTGATGTTGGAAACCGGGCCGAGTCCCTTGAATGGAGGTGAGAAGACCGGTATACAAAAATACCAAATAAATAAATAAATAAATAGACCTCAACTGCTATTATTGGTTGTACCGGCAACAGACATACAAAATGCATGTGCAAAGCAAAGGCAAGATACATGCTTCCAGTTGTGATTACTTAAAGGAGGGAACATCCCAATGAAAACCCTCCACTTCTGGGAAGAGAGCATGTGCAGTGGTTTGAGCACTGGATTTAAGTGCAGGCTTTGATTCTCTTTTGTGATATGGAAGCCCATTGGATGACATTGAGTAAGTCAAACTCTTTCAGCCCCGGAAAACCCACGACTCATCTTAGAGTTGCTATAAGTTAGAAACGACATGAGAGCATGCAACAATAAGAAGCAAAGCCCAAAACAATTTGAGACGTAAGTTGCCAACCTATCCAACAGCTACTGTTGGAAATAGCAACCTTCCAAGCTTTCACTATTTGTTTGTTAATGTATATATTTGCTACCCTGTACTGTATGTATATGTTGATTTGCCAGTTTGGCTGACCTCTTTGGTGAGGGAGGGGCTACAGAGATGTGATTGTACTGAGCACGTTCAGACTCAAGATTACATTTTGTTAACAGAAATGTTTTGGACTTCAGTGGAATAAGTATGTTTTTGGACTGCAATGGAAGCAGATGTCATTTGGACTTACGCAAGAACAGTTTACTGTATGTTTGCTTTGATTATGAGTGAGTGTAATTATACAGTGTGGACTTTCATAAAATGTATACTTATCTGGACTATGGACTATTGATTAAGAATGATACCCTTTGTTCTCAACATAGAGAGACTACATCCTATCTATAACTGAACATTGATAAGAGACGTGCCTGTATGCTGAATTAATACAGGATGTTTATGAGCAAACAAGATATGTAATTTTTCAAAGAAGACTTTGGGGTTTTTTTTTAACTCTTAGTGCATATTTTAAACTACAAATGCCGTAAATAAATAAATAATAAATAAATAAAGATGTTTATTTATTTATTATTTATTTATTTACGGCATTTGTAGTCCGCCTTTCTCAGCCTTATGGCGACTCAAGGCGGCTTACAGAATTAGCAGAATTTGATGCCATACATTCATAAAAGTACAGTTAAAAACATTCAACCTAATATTATAAAAACCATATAAAACCATTAGAATCATATTATCAAGGAAGAGTATATGTTTTGGGCAACTGCAACTGCAACTTCAACTTCAAATAAATATTTTCAAAACTCTGCTAGCCAAATATATGTTTTTTGTCCAGTGGCATGTCTTTGTCTCTGGCAGTTCAAAGACATGGTTCATCAGTTTGACAGCTGAGTTACCTGTGTGCCATTACATGAATGCTTGTGAATATCACTTGTTCAAAGGGTTGGCTTCTAACAAGGTCATGCTTTTTCATGAACACTTGACATTGTCTGGCCAGAGATGCTCCCGTTTTCATCTGTGAAATGTAAGAGGCATGTTACCACCAAAGGGGGCTGGAGGTTTAGCACAGCTGATAAATCACAAGCAACTAGAAGCAACTTTGAAGCCCCAGGTTGGCATGAGCGGTCGACTGTCAGCCCTGCTCACTGCTTACCTATGGACTACTGATTAAGAATGATACCCTTTGTTCTCAACTCCTAATGGACTATTCCATTAGGTAAACAGCTAATAGCTGTAATTAGAGAAATTAGGTACCGCTAAAAGTGGGGGATGTGTTTTATGATGCCATAAAGAAAGAAGATCAGAAAATGCTGCATGACTAAAAAGGAAGAAGCCCTGACAGCTCTGTCATAGAGAATGGAGCAACAGCACTCCCTGTGGCTAGACTCACCTGTCTTGGCACACACACACACACACAAACCCAGCTGGACACTAAGTTCTGTCTTTCTGTGTATTGTCTATAGAAAAGCGGCATTGAATGTTTGCCGTGTGTGCGTGCTGTGATCCGCCCTGAGTCCCCTTTGGGGTGAGAAGGGCAGAATATAAATAAAGTGTTGTTGTTGTTGTTGTTATTATTATTATTATTATTATTATTATTATTATTATTATTATTACCAGCGGCAATGACGACATTGGACGACAGCCCCGCAAGCTCTTCTTTCGTAACCAGGCTCCAGTCAAGTTCTGTTACAGAGACTTTGGGTCCCTTGAATCCTGCCAGCTCTGCCTTTTGAGTATCCCATTTTGCCGGACTGCAGCCGCAAACATCTGGGGCAAAACCATTCAAATTGATATTTTCCAAAAGCTGCTGAAGAACACAGGGGTGGTGATCGCTAAACGTGTACTTGCTCGGGTGGCAGGCTTTGCAAATGGCGAGCCCCGTCAGTCCTATCCCACTTCCTAGCTCCAAAACACTCCTAAAAATAAGTTAAAATAAAAAATAATAAAAATGAAAGAGAAAAACATGAACAAATGCACGAGGTTGGCTTTCCCATTGATCTTGTATTTCCAAGCTTTGGACAGAATGCAGCATGCACCTGTTAGTGAAAACGGCAGGATTCTCCAGTGCCCACTCCGCCAGGTAAAGGCCAGCATCCCACGTCACGAGGCCGGTGGTTCCCTGAGAAATAATGGCCATGCTCTCACCCAGTGTAATGGCTTCTCCTGAGGGCTACAAGAAACATGGGCAGATTAAGGTCCAACCTGCAACCATCCTGAATGACCACCAAAACACCCCCAACAGATGGCCATCCCGTCTCCTCATTTTCAGAAGTAATGTTTGTGGGTTTAATTAGTCACAGATTTGATTCAAACATTCTTTGAGAAAGCTCAACAAGTCCTTTGTCAACTTCCCCAGGAAAGTTTGGCAGGATGATTGCTGATATTTTCCTTTAGCTGGATGTGCTGCAAGGAGGTTGCCTGTTAGGATGTCCCAAGTAAATCCAGACATTTCACAGGGCACCCAGTAAAAGGAAAATAACTGTGGTTCTTCATGGAATCCCTCAATTTGGAAATAGTTATTTTGGGGGCATGAAACTCGAGTAATTTTTTTTTTTGGGAGGAGGGTGGGGGGCCTGCATTGAGAAGTGTAGCAGTGCAGACGTAGCAGTGTGAGATACAGACATCTCCCAACATCTATACTTGCATCTTTATTATGATTTTGTGGATGGCAGAAGAAAATGGTATGAAAAGACACATAGAGGATGTGCCCCCACTAGATTAAAAATTATATAGAAGGCCTTACCAGTAAGTAGCTTTTATAGAACTGGGCAGTTTCTTTGGCGTTTAAGACATCACCAAGGGATTCGTAGATTTGATCCAGCGGTTCAGCCCCTGTAGCTTCATGCTAAGGAAAAGAGGCAGAGTCAATTTATGGTCTATTTATCCACACTGTATGCTGACTATGCTGACGATTGTGCCATCACTGCTCAAGCAGGGAGCTTTGAAATGGTTGAACCGAAGTTCTCTGAAGCTTTAGGTGCTCTTATTGCCTATTACAGGGAAAATCAGGTGATTCCTAATCCATCTAAAACACAGACATATGCTTTTCATCTTAAGAACAGACAAGCATCTCGAGCTCTGAGGATTACCTGGGAAGGAGTCCCACTGGAGCATTTTTATTCTAATTTGCTAAGTTAGAATTTGTTTTTATATGCTGTGGAGTTTAATTTTTGTTATTACGTGTCTATTAGTTGTTATGTTCAGGCATTGAATGTTTGCCTTTTTGTGATTGGAATCCACCCTGAGTCCTTTCGGGGAGATATAAATAATAATAATAATAATAATAATAATAATAATAATAATAATAATAATAATAATAATAATTATTATTATTATTATTATTGCAGCACACCAAAATACCCAGGAGTTACTCTGGACCATGCTCTGATTTACAAAAAGCACTGCTTAACTATCAAGAAAAAATGGGTGCTAGAAATAATATCATACAAAAGCTGACTGGCACAACCTGGGGATCACAACCAGACACAGTGAAGACATCTGCCCTTGTGTTTTGCTTCTCTGCTGCAGAACATGAATGCCCAGTGTACAATACATCTTACCATGTTAAAACAGTGGATGTGGATCTTATGAGACATGTCACATTATCACAGGATGTTTACGCCCAACATCATTGGAGAAATTATACTGTTTAGCCAGTATTGCACCACCTGACATCCATCGGGAAATAGCAGCCAGTAATGAAAGGACCAAGGCATTGACATCACCAGCCCATCCTCTGTTCAGATTTCAGGTATCAAGCCAATGCCTTAAAACAAGAAATAGCTTTCTAATATCTACATATATACTTACAGGAACACCTCAGCAAGCGGGAGTCAAAAAGTGGTAGGCTAAAACCCAGAACCTCAATCAGTGGCTGATATCAGATGTAGAAAGACTCCTTCCTGGGCACATGGAAAACTAAGCAACTTGGAAGATGGTGAACAGACTTTGCTCCGACACCACGAGATGCAGAGCTAATCTTAAGAAATGGGGCCACAAAGTGGAATCCACGACATGCTACTGTGGAGATAAGCAAACCACAGACCTCTTACTACAATGCAGCCTAAGCCCGGCCACATGCACAAGGGAGGACCTCCTTACAACGACACCAGAGGCACTCCAAGTGGCCAGCTTCTGGTCAAAGGAAATTTAGTACAATATCAAATTTTTAACTTTGTTTGTGGTTTGTAAATACATTATAACTGTATTCTCTATTTGCTTCTGAAAGGTTAAATAAATAAACAAATAAATCCATGCTGTACAATTACAACAATTTTATGTCACTTTAATTGTAATGAAATTGTAATTGCAAGGACAGGAAAGATCCACTATAATCAGAGTAAGCCTTTTTATTCTGAAAGCTATCAAGAAAAGAGCACATTTCTTGAAAGAAGAACCAGGAAAATAAGATTCTGACTGTCAATAGAAGGTCAGCTGCTGTCCTCTCCTTTTTGCCTTGTCTTTTATAAGTGTCTTTTATTCATGTTGTATTTTGAAAGGGTCATATGACTGGTCAAATAAGTAAATAAATAAATAAATAAATAAAAGTATTATTGCAATGGAATCTGAGGAGTTGTTGTCCAGCAAATTGCTAAGAATCCACAGCTGAAGAATTCTAGTCTACTGCCTTGAAATAGCGCATAAGAGCACAATTGAATTTTTCTAAGTACCTCTCAAAACTACAAAACTTGGGATTTCATGGGGTGGAGCTATTCTGTGATCAAGTAACTGCATTCTGAATGAAGGGTAGATCCTGTATTGTTTTCAAGGGAGAGCCCTAGAAGAACACATTGCAGTAGTCTATTCTGGAGATGGTTGGACTACAAAGGGCTGAGCTAAGCACAATCCTACCTTTTTAATGAGCTCTGATAAGAAGCATCTTCTGTACTTGACCGACGGAGGGTACTTCAAGCAGAGAGGGTGAAGAACAGTCTGAAATTATTAAAGACGTTGGGACAAGAAATTAATATTGCAGAATGAGATCGCCAAGGAGAACATCAGCAACATCAAATCCAATTAAGCTCTAGGCCTGAGAGGGGATCATGTGGTCCTCTAGATTTCATTGGTCCCATCAGCCACTACCAGCGTGCACGACAGGACTAAAATGTGCAAATTTCACTGGCAAATTGGGCTTTCTTATGCAATGAGCTACTTCGGTCAAAAATCTTAATCCCCTCCAAATATTTTTTGTGTGGATTGTTGCAGACTAAGAATGAAATAATGCAAGAAATAACTTGCCTCCTGCAATATAGTCAGCAGCAGCGAGGAATCCTTTGAAGTCTTCAGCGTCTTTTCCAGATCCTAAAAGACAAGACGCACAATGATCTGAACAATACTCTTCAAACAATTTCAGCACCCAGATAGTTGCTTTAAGGGAATCCAATTCCTGGAGTGGATTTTCAGCCCCACTGGAATGGGACTTTAATTAGACTCCATGAAATTGGGCACCCTTGTGTCACAAAGGGCCATGGCTTGCCTTCAAGAGAAAGCCCAGGCATGGGCCAACTTGGGCTCTCTAAGTGTTTTGGATTTCAACTCCCACCATTCCTAACAGCCTCAGGCCCTTTCATTTCCCCCCTCAGCCACTTAAGTGGCTGAGGGGGAAAAAGAAGGGGCCTGAGGCTGTTAGGAATGGTGGAAGTTGGAGTCCAAAACACCTGAAGGGCCCAAGCTGGCCCATGCCTGGGATAGCCTCTATATTTTACCAATTCTGATATACTGCAACCCAGAACTTTTTAATATCCCAGCCATCTCTGAGGGCAAATCGTCCACGACCTTTCCTGGCACCTCTCCCAGAGCTAACACTGTCTGCAAGATACACCAGATAATCCCTTTTTCTGGAGTAAAGGCTTAATATGGAAACACTATCCTTAATCCATCATTAGGCCGTCTACCCATGGGCACAATGAACCTGGGCTTGAACCAGGGAAGAGGAGCTGGAACCAATTTGCATGCAAAAAATGCACAACTGTTTTGAACTGGCTCGTAGATGCTAAACTGGCAGCAGGAAACATTTCCATGTGTTTGTTAGGTACAGTAAGTTCCCTGTAACCACTAAGAACACATATGTGGTTATGCCAGGTATGAACAAACTTTGGCCCTCCAGATGTTTTGGACTTCAACTACCACAACCCAGAACTTTTTCTGGGAGTTGGAGTCCAAAACATCTGGAGGGCCAAAGTTTGCCCATGCCTGCGATATCACTACATTGAAGCTGTCACATTTTGGATAGCCAGAAAAGAGGAGGTCTAGTATACATCCCTGGAAGATTGGTCCTGGATTGCTGTGAGTTTTTCGGGCTATATGGCCATGTCCCTGCAGCATTCTCTCCTGATGTTTCACCTACATCTGTGGCTGGCATCTTTAGAGGTTTATCAGAGGTCTGTTGGAAATGAGGTAAGTGGGGTGTGTGTGTATATATATCTGTGGAATAATGTCCAGGGTGGGAGAAAGAACCCTTGTTGGGGTTGTTGTAGGTTTTTTGGGATATGGCCATGTTCCCACAGCATTCTCTCCTGGCGTTTCGCCTGCATCTCTGGTTGGCATCCATAGTTCAGAGGTCTGTTGGAAATGAGGTAAGTGGGGTGTGTGAGTGTGTGTGTATCTATCTGTGGAATAATGTCCAGGGTGGGAGAAAGAACTCTTGTTTGGGTCGTTGTAGGTTTTTCGGGCTATATGGCCATGTTCCCGCAGCATTCTCTCCTGATGTTGTGACCTCAAAACCTCTGAGGATGCCTGCTATAGATGCAGGCGAAATGTCAAGAGAGAATGCTTCTAGATCATGGCCATATAGCCCGAAAAACCTACAACGACCCAGTGATGCTGGCTGTGAAAGCCTTCGACAATACATTGAACTCGTGTCTGTTTGAAGCAAGTGTGAATCTTGCATTTAGCAAGTTTGATTAGCATTGAGTAGCCTGGCATCTGCAAAGCCTGGCTGTTGTTGCCTGGGGGCATTCTTTGTTTGGAACATGATCATAGGGCACTGAAAACTCACAGCAATTCCGGCCATGAAAACCTTGGACACTGGACAACACAAGATTGGCACTCTTTTGGGAAATACGACTAGGACAGGATTGGGAGACTTGACTGGCTTCTGTAGCTGGAAAGGGATGATGAGGACACCCCCCCCCCCCCCCAAGTCATACTTCTTCCCAAGCCCCGCCCTCCCCAGTGTCCCCAGCCCACTCCCCCTCTGTGCGTAAAAGCGCATGGCTGTGGCGCACTCACTGCCCAAGGGAAGTGGGGAAGGCGCTGGGCGGCGAGGAAGCCCCGCTGGAAACGGAGCGCCAGCTTCCCGATCCCAGCTTCCTCTTCCTCTTCCTCCTCCTCGTGTGGCTCGGGCCCCATGGGCTGCTCCTCCATCCGAGGTGCTTCCTGCCTCGCACCGCCTCCTTGCATTGCCCAGCCCAACGATTACGTTGCCGCCAAGCGGCGTGGCCAAACGCAAGGGCTCCTGCCCCTTTTGGCACCCAGTCCAAGGGGCTTCGGGGCATGTGCAGAACGCCCTGGGGTTTTCCTTTGACCCGGGCAAAAAAGCCAAGCCAATGGGAAGGGGGCTTCTCTTCACCATGTGGGTGGATTATTCCACCATAGAGAAAGGGATGCAGTTTTGGCACCAAAGCGAAAGCTGAGCTCCTGCTCCCTCTACCGTTCACATCCGTAGCCATGGATAATCCAACTCCATGGAGTTCAACAGGCATTAGATGAGTCTCTACTGACCATATAATGCAGTTCAATCTGCATTATAATGGCAGGGCAGATGGGGCTAAGGGTGGATCTACAGTGCCATATTATGCCCTTGCAAAATGCATTATATCAAGGTGATCAGCGGAAACATTCACAGCTAGCCCCAACAGACAAAAGTCCTTTGTCTCACCCTGGTCATTCCACAGATATATAAACCCATTTTTCCTACTTCCAACAGACCTCACTACCTCTGAGGATGCTTGCCATAGATGCAGGCGAAACTTCAGGAGAAAAATTGCCTCCAAAACATGGCCATATAGGCCGGAAAAACCTACAACAACCCATTATATCAGTGTTTCTCAACCTTCCTAATGAATTTGATCTAGCTCTTTGGTGTTCAGTCGTTCAGTCGTTTCAGACTCTTCGTGACCTCATGGACCAGCCCATGCCAGAGCTCCCTGTCGGCCATCACCACCCCCAGCTCCGTCAAGGTCAAGCCAGTCACTTCAAGGATGCCATCCATCCATTTTGCCCTTGGTCGGCCCCTCTTCCTTTTTCCTTCCATTTTCCCCAGCATAATTGTCTTCTCTAAGCTCTCCTTTCTTCTCATGATGTAGCCAAAGTACTTCATCCAACTCTGGACTTGCAGCTTCAAAGCCTGGCTGCTTCCTGCCTGGGGGAATCCTTTGTTGGGAGGTGAAAGGCCATTCAATGCATACAACTCCGTTGTTGTGTCAGCTCCACTGGCTGCCAATTTGCTACCGGGCACAATTCAAAGTGCTGGCTTTAGCCTATAAAGCCCTAAACAGTTCGGGCCTAGTTTATCTATTTGAACACATATCTCTCTATGAATCTTCCAGGAACTTGAGGTCTTCTGAGGAGGCCCTGCTCTCGATCCCCCTGCTTCACAAGCACGTCTGGCAGGGATGAGAGACAAGGCCTTCTCTGTGGTGGCCCCTCAGCTGTGGAACTCTCCTGCCTAGGGGTATTAGATTGCCCTCCCCTGACCTTCCAAAAAAGAGTGAAAACCTGGCTCTTTGAGCAAGCGTTTGGAACCACAGCATGACCAGAAAAACTCCAATCGGAAAATGAACTAGGAATGGCTAAGACGATGGAACGGTTGAGGATTTGAACAAGAAGACACAGTTTTTATAATTTTTATAATTTATTGTTTTATGGTTTTTAAATGTATTGTGATTTTTTTTGCTTTTTATCGATGTATGTATTTTTACATATGGCATCTAATTGTTGCTGACTTGTACGCCCTGAGTCGCCTTCAGGCTGTTATGGGTGGGATAAAAATGTTGTAAATAAATAAATAATCAAGGTGGCCAATTTCAACATTCACACTTGTCTCCTACAGACAAGAGCTCTTTCTCCCACTCTGGACATTATTCCACAGCTTATAAACACCACTTGCCTAGTTTCCAACAGACCTCACAAGCTCTGAGGATGTCTGCCATAGATATGGATGAAATGTCAGGAAAGAATGCTTTTGGAATGTGGAAAACTCACAGCACCCCAAACCTGTTTATGTTCTCCCAACTTCAGAGRAGGAGACCATGGGAGGTGGATCAGAAAACATTTTTGAGTTTACGTTGCACCTTGTAAACACTGAGTCAATCATTACATGCAGACAAAGTTGTTTGCTATTTACTGTTTATTTGCCCCCCCCCCCCCCGGATGTCCAACACTCAAATTAGAAAGTGGTCCACACATCCATCTATTGTGATGGTCGCCTTAGCAAGCATTCCTAGAAAGTGACACAGGAGCTGGGATTTGGTTGGAATTGTTAGCTGTASAAGGSACGGTCTTTCAAAAATTCACAAAAGGGCTCCCATCTCTCAATAGCCTGGAGGGACATCCATTCAGCCACTGCAGAGGACTCTTAACCTCCCAAAGCTTTTGAGGACTTTCTTCCAAGTTCAAGTTGTCTCCTTTGGACATGGAGATGTGGCATCACAAACTAACAGATGGCAGCTCCGTGTTTTTTACTTCTTCAGGCGGCTCATTCTTTCGTCTGCATGGAACAGAAGGATTTCAACATCAAACACAATTGAACTAGCATTTTGTATTCAATTGGCTGCTGTGAGTTTTCCAGGCTGTATGACCATGCTCCAGAAGCATTCTCTCCTGACATTTCACCCACATCTATGGCAGGCATCCTCAGAGACTGTGAGGAGAGAATGCTTCTGGAATATGCCCATACAGCCCGGAAAACTCACAGCAGCCCAGTGATTCTGGCCATGAAAGCCTTCAACAACACATTTTGTATTCAAACGCAACTTTAACATTACATTTGGGAGATGGAGGTGACGGCATTTAAATCTTGCTTGTGGCAAGACTTTCATATCAAAATGTTACGGGTGCATCTACGTTGTAGACTTAATGCAGCTTGACTCCATGGCCACAGAATCATAGAATCATAGAATCAAAGAGTTGGAAGAGACCTCATGGGCCATCCAGTCCGACCCCCTGCCAAGAAGCAGGAATATTGCATTCAAATCACCCCTGACAAATGGCCATCCAGCCTCTGCTTAAAAGCTTCCAAAGAAGGAGCCTCCACCACACTCCGGGGCAGAGAGTTCCACTGCTGAACGGCTCTCACAGTCAGGAAGTTCTTCCTCATGTTCAGATGGAATCTCCTCTCTTGTAGTTTGAAGCCAGCATGAGAGTTGTATTTTTGCAACATTTTTAGTATTCTTTGTCATAGAGTAGGTACTTCATCAAGATACGTTTCCCATGATTCTACAGCACTCCACAGTGATGTATCACTGCATCCATTCTATGGTGTAGATCAGGCATGGGCAAACTTTGGCCCTCCAGGAGTTTTGGACTCCAGCTCCCACAATTCCTAACAGCCTCAGGCCCCCTTCTTTTTCCTCTCAGCCCCTTAAGCCTGGTGTAGATATACCCTATGTCTCCATGTAGTTGAAGTACTTCCATCAAGCCTATATGGCTATGGATACAGCCCATCTCAAGCTTTGGGACCCATCTTTTTGTGATCTGAGATCTCTAACAGATCACTTTGCTAACTGCATTTATATAGGCCAAAAGTAGCACAAAAAACGAAAACCACTTTTTTTTTAAAAAAAGGAGATTTTATAGAACTCGTTCTGCTCAGGTTGTTTACGAAAAGCCTGCCTGCTTTCCTATTTCACAGCCCACAAAACAATGGAAACAAACAAGGAAAAAGCTACAAAACTGAACAAACATATGTGCAAACTTTGAAAACATGTTCTGAACAGCTGCATCTCATCACTGTTAGTACATTTCGGTGTGGCTTGCTAACAGATTGTTTGATTTGTTTCTAGGTTTTTTTTACCCCAAAACTAAAGATAGATGATTTGCTTATTAAAACATCTGCTACTCTATCTTTAATTAGTATTTCATTTTTTTTCTATAGAGACTGAAAGCTGGAAGAACCTACAATTGAATACTCAGACCTCAGATGGCTCTCAGTCTTGAATGTTTTTAGTTTTGTGAACAATTCTGGAGTTGAAATATTTATGCAAATATTCATAAATAAATACAACAAGTAATCGGAGTGCTTGGAGGCAAATGGTCCACAAAGGGGAGAAAAGGGGTCACAGTGGCACAATGGGTTAAACAGTTGAACTGTTGAATCTGCTGATCTAAAGGTTGGCAGTTCAATGCTGCAGGTTGAGGTGAGCTCCCACTGTCAGCCTTAGTTCCTGCCAACCTAGCAGTTTGAAAACATGCAAAAGTGAAGAGATCATAGGTATCGCTTCGATGGGAAGGTAATAAAGGTACCCATGCAGCCATGTTGGCAAGATGACCAGGAGGTGTCTATGGACAACAGGCTCCTCAGCTTGCAAATGGAACAAGGGCACCTCCCCATGGCCAGAGTTGAGCACCGCTTCCAGAAAGCCGGAGATGAAAGGGGAAGCCTTTACCTTTGTTCTGTGTATTTGTATGTCTTTGTTATACAAAGGCATTGAATATTTACCTATCTGTGTATGTTGTAATCTACTCTAAGTCCTCTCAGGGAAACAGGGCAGAATATTAGTAAAGTGTATTATTATTATTGTTAAAGGGGAACTTAAGTTGGGGATTTTATTGTGCTCCCATGGCATGGGTTGTGCATTTTGCAGTGTGGCAAATTTAAGACATTGTTTTGCCATTCCATCATATTCCATCATATTTGCAGTGTGGCAAATTTAAGACATTGTTTTGCCATTCCATCTTATTCAACGCCAAGAAGAATTGCATGAAATCTTCTAGAAAAAAAATATTTTTGTTAAATCGTGGCCCTCATAGCTGTTGAGTGATTGAATCCATGGGAACATTTTATACAGATACATGTTGCTTATACTAGGACATTTTGCCTAACAGCTTCATAACATTTGCATTGATATTTCTTTCTTGAATAATCAATGTGTGAATGAATCACAACTGAATTATGACTGGGAAATGAGAATTCCGGTGTTTTATTGACATTTTGGAGGGAGGTTGTGATTTGTGAAGATGCAGATATTTTCACAGAAAATGAAGGAACTTGGGTTTGCAGATTGAACAAAATGCCATTCACTGACCCATAACTTGGAAAGATACTTTTTAAAAAATCCCCAATTATTCCAAGACTAATTTATGGTAGGCAATTTATGATAGTTTTAGCTAGAGCTTTAAAAAGTGATTCTGTATTTTTCTGTTTACTTAAAAGTAATCAAAACAGTTATTTAAAAGAGACACCAGAATGCTACAAGCTGCAGCAGGCCCTCCACTTTTGCAGAGGTTTAGGGGGCAAAGGATTTCCCTGAAAGTGGAAAAATGCAAATTAACATTATTATTTTTTTAATTGAGAGGACACATATCTAGACTCTTTAGGTCTTCCAGCACAACTAGGTGGTCAGTTCCTTATGGATACTGATCATATATCATGTTCACACTATGCTCAACATGGGGATTTGCTCCGGAGTTCATAGAATCATAGAGTTGGAAGAGACCTTGTGAGCCATTCAGTCCAACCCCCTCAAGAAGCAGGAAAATTCTTGGCATTCCAAGCACACCCGACAGATAGCCATCCAGCTTCTGTTTAAAAGCCTCCAAAGAAGGAGGCTCCACCACAGTCCGGGGCAGAGAGTTCCACTGCTGAACAGCTCCCACAGCTAGAAAGTTCTTCCTAATGTTCTAGTAGAATCTCCTTTCCTATAGTTTGAAGGCATTGTTCCGTGTCCTAGTCTCCAGGGCAGCAGAAAACAAGTTGCTCCCTCCTCCCTATGACTTCCCCTCACATAGTTACCGTATATTCCGGCATATAAGGCGACTGGGAGTATAAGACGACCCCCAACTTTTCCAGTTAAAATATAGAGTTAAGACGGCTCCCATGCATAAGACTACACCTGTGTATAAGACGACCCCTGACTTTTGAGAAGATTTTCTTGGGTTAAAAAGTAGTCTTATACGCCAGAATATACTGTATATATGGCCTTCATCATGTCTACTCTCAGCTTTCTCTTTTGCAGGGTAAACATGCCCAGCTCTTTAAGCTGCTCATGATATGGCGTGTTCTCCAGACCTTTGATCCTTTTAGGCTCACTCCTTTGGACACATTCCAGCTTGTCAACATCGCCCTTCAATTGCAGCGTCCAGACCAAGGCAGAATAAAGGGGTAGCATGACTTCCCTGGATTTAGACACAACACTTCTATTTATGCAGGCCAAAATCCCATTGGCTATTTAAGCTGCTGCATGACATTGTTGGCTCATTTTTAACTTGTCTATGAGGACTCCTAGATCTTTCTAACCCAAACTCCAGAGTATCCCCCAACTTTCCTTAGGCTTTTGCCTGGTTTACTCTGCATATTGGACTAGAAGTCCCTGGATGTCATGTAGACATCCAGGAGTGACTTCTCACTCAATGATGGCTTTATATCCCATGCAGACAAGTCCTTGGCCTCTAGAAGCCAGAATAGTGCAATCCCAAGGTCCAATGAAATGGGCTCATGCCCATGTGCCCTCAAGGAACCAAACAGAGAAGGATAAACGTCTTACCTCTTCTTCTTCTGAATGCAGTTGTGTGTTATGATTGCAATGGGGATCAGAAGAAGCAGGCCACCCATTACGCTGCTTACAATGATGGGAAGGAGGTAGTTCCTTGGAACCTGGAGCATGTTTTGTGTGAATGCCAGAGAGCTGTTGCTGGGTTCTGGTTGAACTCGTAGAAGCTCACACATTAAGGAGTAGATGTGGATGCTATCAAAAGGTTCTGCTATGTAGCCTTTCTTGAAATCTGGACCAAAAGCTCTGAAGAAGATCTTCATGTCCATGTGTTGGTTGTCGAATCCGTGGTCTCCTTTGTAAACATAGATGATAAACCTCTGAAAGAGAAGAGAAGAAAGGGGAAGACAGGAAAAGGAATGGGCGAATCCATGGTTTCTTGCACTGAGAAGCTTTCTTAGGTTCCATCTACAGCCTACTTTTTTATCTGTCCAAACGTATCTCCCTCTATAAACTCCACTGTGGAGTTTGAGATAATCTGGGGAGGCCCTGCTCTCAGTCCCACCTCCCTCACAGGTGCGATTGGCAGAGACAAGAGACAGGGCCTTCTCAGTGATGGCCCCTTGGCTGTGGAACTCCCTCCCCAGTGATGTTAGATCAACTCCCTCCCTCCTGACCTTCCACAGGAGAGCGAAAACATGTCTTTGTGACCAAGTCTTTAGAGAACTTGTACAATAGATTGACTTGGAACAATGTGTAACGACCATTGGAACGTCCCGGATTATGCTCGTGGATTACGTGTTTAACTCTGAATGTATTGTTTTTTAAATTGTTTCAACTGTTTTTAATGCACTTTTAAATTCTATTTTAATATTTATTTAAGTGTACATTGTGTTTTAAGGCATTGGATCGTTACCTGTATGTAAAGCCACTTTGAGTCCCCTCTGGGGTGAGAAAGGTGGGGTAGAAATGCCATAAATAAATAAATAAATAAATAAATAAAGCTCAGTGCAAAATTAAGTAGATAAAGGTCAAGGTTGTCCTCTGACATTAAGTCCAGTCATGTACGACACTGGGGTGTGGTGCTCATCTCCATTTCTAAGCTGAAGAGCCAGCATTGTTTGTAGACACCTCCAAGGTCATGTGGCTAGCATGACTGCATGGAGCACTGTTATCTTCCTGCTGGAGCGGTACCTATTGATCTACTCACATTTGCATGTTTTCGAACTGCTGGGTTGGCAGAAGCTGAGGCTGACAGGGGAAGCTTAAGCCACTCCCTGAATTCGAACCTGTGACCCTTCGGTCAACAAGCTTAGCAGCTCAAGTAGTTTAACCCACTGAGCCACCGTAGGGTCCATTAACACATAATTAAATTATGGAATGGGCTACTGCCAAATGTGACCATGGATATCAATAGGTGTTGCAGTTCTCTTCCCCAGTCAGCAGAATGAAAAGGAGGAATCTCTGAGCAAGAGCACTGCATTGAAAGTATGCAATGATATATATCTATATACCCATATATAATATTACTTGTGGTTTTCTATTTGAATGGCATGGTCTGTGCAACTGTGGCCAATTCCTAATTTAGCATGTGGAATGCCACCTACTACATCACCCTTGTAACCCAAGGGCCACCTTCTGTGACATCCCTAGATCTCAGGCCTTGGCCCTTAATACTCAGGGCCTGGGAGAGTCCTAACAGGGGACCCTAGTTCGTAATATTAGGACAAGTCCAAATCAACAAAGACTATTTTAGCACTGGGGGCCCTTCCACACAGCCCAATATCTCAGAATATCAAGGCAGAAAATCCCACATTATCTGAGTGTGGACACAGACAACCCAGTTCAAAGCAGATATTGTGGGATTTTCTGCCTTGATATTCTGGGATATAGGGCTGTGTGGAAGGGCCCTGGGTGAAAACAGGCAGGATGCAGAATTGATTTAGAATACAGCTTTTAGACAACAAAACTTTATCTCCCTTTGCAGTTCAGTCTGCCAAATGCAAGAACCTTCTGTTTTGATCTGTCCACTATATGTCACTGTTGCTCCACCAGAAATCTGCAAAGCCAGCTCTGCACTCCCCAAGTAGTAAATCTGCACTTTAAAAAAATCCCACCCCACATTCTGTTTAATGCCCTCTCAGATCTTCGTTTTGGTGCAACCACCAAAAAAGGAAAAAGAAAAAAATGGATGTACATAGAATCTGCACATGACAATTCCTGAAAGCAGCATTTAGAAACAAAGGTTAAGTTTGGTACGTCTTTAGTATGATGCTGGATAGACACAAGGCATTGTTTGCTTGGTGGTCTCTTCCTCCTTTCCAAGTGTTTTCCATGCATTGAACCATTGAGCCTGCCATGTTATGTTGGCAACTAAAGACAAAAGCCCAGCAAGCAATTCCTTCTACTTCAGGATATAGAAATTTATCTAGGGTGCATCTAGAGTTTATAATTAATGTAGTTTGGCATCACTTCAATTTCCATGGATCAATAGTATGGAAACCTGGGAGTTGTCATTTTAAAAGATCCTTAGCTTTATTTGGACCTCGTATTCTTGGGATAGCTGTTTTACCTATCCTGTTAAAAGTGGCCCTTTATCCTACTTTGTAGATAACAGATCTCTTTGGGTGCATCTACAGTGTAGGATTAATGCACTTTGACTGCCATAATTCAGTGCTATGGATTCCCAGAAGTTGTCGTTTTAAAAACTCCTTAGCAATATCTGTGGAGCCCCCAGTGGTGCAGCGGGTTAAACTGCTGAGCTGCTGAACTTGCTGTCCAGTTCAAAGGTCGGAGGTTTGAATCCAGAGAGCGGGGTGAGCTACTGCTGTTAGCCCCAGCTTCTGCCAACCTAGCAGTTTGAAAACATGCAAATCTGAGTAGATCAATGGGTACTGTTTCGGCAGGATGGTAACATGCTCCATGCAATTATTCTGGCCACATGACCTTGGAGGCCTCTACGGACAACGGCGATGAGCACCACCCCACAGAGTCGGACACAGCTAGACTTAAAGTCAAGGGGAAACGTTTACCTTTACATTACAGCATTCTCTGCAAAAGAATTCTGGTGTCTCACCACACAACAACTTCCAAGATTGCATAAATTGAACCATAGCAGTTAAAGTGGTATCCAATTGCATTAATTCTACACTGTAGATGCACCCTAAGTTCAGCCGGTCATCCAAACAGCCTGCTCTCAAAACTTGCCTAGGTTTCACAGTCAATATCACTACAGTGTTTACAAAACTGAATATCCAGGTTAGTATATTTTTAACCAACCCTATTCACAGACTAACTCTGATACAATTGGATGCAACATGAATCATCTACATTTTTTTTTTTGCAGAGGGAGTATTTCCATAGGATCCTTGTGCTGCCCTAAGATGAAGTCTGCATTTTGTGTTTTGCGGATTTCTGCTTTCACGTTGGATATCTCCAGCCTGTATGACGGCTCGCCACATGGGGGCACATTGGGACGGAAAGATTGCAAAGAGAAAACACAATTGGATAAAGTGGCTACTTTCCTGCAATAAACTTGGATTTGTTTTTGATCAGTTTCCTGGGGCTTGTTCGCACAAGAAAATTATAGCACTACAATTCCACTTTAACTACCATGGTTACATCCAACTGAGAACTGAGCTTTGTAGTCTAGTGAAACAATGGACTCTACTAGGGATTCTCTCCAGAATGTTAAAAAAGAAAGACAGAGACATTTTTCAAGTGGCAGTGTGTCATAGTGGTTTGTGGTAAGACTTCAGCTGCTCAAATCCCAGCTCAGCACTGGTGACTTTTGGCAAGTCACAATCTGAGCCTTGAAGGGAAAGCAATAGCAAATGCCTTCTGATCTACCTCTGTATGTTGAATGTGCACAACCCCATCAGGGGTGCAGCAGGTGCAGCAGGTTAAACCATTGAGCTGCTGAACTTGCTAACCATGGGATTGGGTGAGCTCCCATTGTTAGCCCCAGCTCCTGCCATCCTAGCAGTTCACAAACATGCCAATGTGAGTAGATCAATAGGTACCACCTCGACAGGAAGGTAAACAGTGCACCATACAGTCATGCTGGTCAGATGACCTAGGAGGTGTCTGTGGACAACGTAGGCTCTTTGGAGAGGAGCACAACCCCCAGATCTGGAGATGAAGGGGAAGCCTTTACTTTTATCTGTGTATCTGTGTTTCATTGTTTTGAGGTAGGAGTCCCTGGTAGCACAATTGATTAAACCTTTGTGCCAGCAGGTCTGTTAACCATGAGGTCAGTGGTTCGAAGCCAGGGAGTGGGGTGAGCTCCCATCTGTCAGCTCCAGCTTCTCATGCAGGGATATGAGAGAAAACCCTATACGATTCCGGCCCAGCGTATCTGTCCGAACGCATCTCCCTTTACGTCCCATCTCGGAGTCTGAGATCCTCTGGGGAGGCCCTGCTCTCGACCCCGCCTCTGTCACAAGTGAGATTGGCGGGAACGAGGAGCAGGGCCTTCTCAGTGGTGGCCCCTCACCTATGGAATTCACTCCCCGGGGATATCAGATCAGCAACATCCCTCCTTTCATTCAGAAAGAAATTAAAGACGTGGATGTGGGACCAGGCGTTTGGGCACTCTGGCAGATGAATAAGGGACTGTGACGATGGATAGGAATTGGACAATGGTGGAACGAAATATGAACTCTGAGTTGGTGAACGCTGTGTCTGAGATTGGCTATCGATTGTGTGATATATTGTTTTTAAGTGTTTTAATTGTTGATCATTTAATTGCTGGTTTTATATGTTATTGTATTTGTGTAGGCACCAAGATGTGCCTTTTGTAAGCCGCCCTGAGTCCCCCCTCGGGGGTTGAGAAGGGCGGGGTATAAGTACACGAAATAAAATAAATAAATAAATAAGAAGCGACCCCTGGGCAACATCCTTGCAGATGGCTAATTCTCTCATAGCAGTCGCTTCTGACACAATATATATATATATATATTGAGGCACTGAATGTTTGTCTTGTGTCTGTATATGTCTGTATATGCTGGAATCTGCCCTGGGTCTCCTTGCGCAGATAGGGTGGAATACAAATAAAGTGTTATTATTATTATTTGCTGAAAAACCTAAGAATTCAAGAACCCTCACCAAGAGGCGAGTGCAGAGACTTGATCCCGGTGTGACACTTACCCCATTGACACTGTAACCAAGGTCTCCATAGAGCAGGATGGGTAAGACCCGTTTGTGTTTCGCATAATGGAAATAGTCAGGAAACTCTTCCTTTTTGTAGACCTTCAGGTGAGGGTGGGCATTTTTCAAGGCCTGGTAGATTTCCTCTTCTTTCCCCGGTTTGGGGAGAATCATCCCAAAGCCCCCATAGTCTACAATGTCAAACTTCAAGTCCGCAAATTTGATATAGTTGGCCAACATGATTTCTTCAACTTGAGGATTCTTTTGGACTGTGGTCATGCCGTGATCAGAGGTAATTATGACATTGAGGGTGTCTTTCAAGTTGTGCTTTTCAATGGCGCCTAGTAGGTAGCCGACGGTTCGGTCAATTTGCTGGATGATTTTCCTCCTTTCTTCTGTCTCTGGACCATATTTGTGCCCAACGTTGTCAGGTTCCCCATAATAAAGTGTGACAAAATCAAAGTCCTCTTGGGTGAACCAGTTCATGACAATGTCAATGTTCTCTCGCCATTCGGTCTCGTTGTCATCAGGGTGACCAAAGGCTTCAACCAGGCTCCGGGTCAGCGTCTGGCCACTGAAATTGCCTCCTCCTCCCGGATAGTGGAACGATGCTGTTTTTTTCCCCTGGCCGGAACAGAAAGTAGTTAAAAAGCAATAAACTTAGTGGGTTAAAAAAAAATCCATTAATATACTTACACCCTGCTGCATGTCCCAGGAACTCAGTGTGACATTTTGTAAATATTTTACAATCATTCAAAACAGTTATTTAAATAGACCGAGTTCCCATCTACACTACCAGATAATGCAGTTTGAAACTGAGAGGGCACTAGGGAAGAATAAGTATGATTGACCATATATGGGAGTGGGTATGTGACTGAGCAGAGAACAGCAACTGAACAGTTATGGTTGGCAATAGAGAAGTTATGGTTAGAAAGTTGGGTAAAAGACGCCAACGGCCAGCTAGCACCTGGTAAATGAGTGATTGCTGTGGTGCAGCTAGTTAGTAGCCAGCTGCATTAAATTACTACTGACCAAGGGGTCATGAGTTCAAAGCCAGCCCGGGTCGGAGTGAGCTCCCAACCATTAATAGTCTAGCTTGCTGTCGACCTATGCAGCCCGAAAGACAGTAAGAGCTGTTCAGCAATGGAACTCTCTGCCTTGGAGTCCAGTGAAGGCTCCTCCTTTGGAAGCTTTTAAGCGGAGGCTGGATGGCCACCTGTTGGGGGTGCTTTAATAGTGCTTTTCCTACCTAGCAGAGGGTTGGACTGGACGGACTTTGGAGGTCTCTTCTAAATCTATGATACTATAATCCCACTTGCACTGGCATGGCTCGATGCTATGGAATCCTGAGATATGTAGTTTGGGCAGGCCCCTGAACTCTTTAGCATAGCCTTACTGGTAACATCACTTCGACAGAGGCAACAACAAGGTGTCCAGCCATATGATCCCCAGATAGTGAAATGACTTTTTGATGTGTGAAAACATGGTCCCCTGGTTTGACTCCAAGAGATAACCCAGGCATGGGCAAACATCGGCCCTCCAGGTGTTTTGGACTTCAACTCCCACAAATCCTAAGATAAGAGCCACGTAAGTGGCTGAGGGGGAAAAGGAAAGGGCCTGAGGCTGTTAGGAATTGTGGGAGTTGAAGTCCAAAACACCTGGAGGGCAGAGGTTTGCCCATGCCTGCTGTAGACCATTCCTTGATTTTGTATTGAAACGGCCTATTAAAATGGGAACCATTGCTTTCTACAATAATTTATTGTGTGCCCACTTAAGTGAATTTCACAACAGCACAGCAGACCTTATGAAGATTAGCAATAATAGTATAAGTATATTTAATGACAGATCATTAACCCAAGGCTGCAAAGTCGTAATGCTCTGACTGACATTTGATGTGCCATTTCAGGATTGGGAAAAGGTCAATGTTGATATAAAATCCAACTTTCCAAAGAGGACAAAATTAAAAGAGCCCTCCAAGTTGGTAGGATTATAGAAAGGACAAGGTCTGTTTGCACCATTGTGAGGTTCTGCATATATAATAAGGAGCCCAGTTGAGGAATGATGGCTTAGGCTATATATCCCACCAAATGAAATATCCCAGGTTTCCATAGCATTGAGCTATGGCAGTCAAAATGGTGTCAAACTGTGTTAACTCTACAGTGTAGATCAGTGTTTCTCTACCTTCCTCATGCCGGAACTCCTTAATACAGTGCCTCATGTTGTGGTGACCCCCAACCATAACATTATTTTTGTTACTACTTCAAAACTGTAATTTTGGATTGTTATGAATCATAATGTAAATATCTGATATGCAGGATGCATTTTCCTTCACTGGACCAAATTTGGCACAAATACCCAATACGCCCTCATTTGAATGCTGGTGGGATGGGAGGGGGTTGATTTTGTCATTTGGGAGTTGTAGTTTTTGGGATGTATAGATCACCTACAAACAAAGAGCATTCTGAACTCCGCCAACAATGGAATTGAACCAAACTTGGCACACAAAACTCCCATGACCAACAGGAAATACTGGAATGGTTTGGTGGGCGTTGACCTTGTGTTTTGGAGTTGTAGTTCACCTACATCCAGAGAACACCGTGAACTCAAACAATGATGGATCAGGACAAAACTTGGCACGAATACTCAATATGCCCAAATGTGAACACTGGTGGGGTTTGGGGAAAATAGACCTTGACATTTGGGAGTTGTAGTTGCTGGGATTTATAGTTCACCTACAATCATTCTGAACTTTGCCATGATAGAATTGGGCCAAACTTCCCACACAGAACCCCCATGACCAGCAGAAAATACTGTGTTTTCTGATGGTCTTTGGTGACCCCTCTGACACCCTATCATGACTCCTCCAATGGTCCTGACATCCAGGTTGAGAAACACTGGTGTAGATGCATCCTTAGGCTTCCAGCAGATATCAGGGTAATTGCTGTGTATCTATGTTATATAATCCTAGGATTTGTAGTTTGGTGAGGCCCCAGTACTCTTTGGCAGGCTAAAACTCTTGTAAAACTGGGGCTGGACTTAGCACAGCAGGTTAACTGCTAGCTGCAGTAAATCTTGCCAATCCAAAGGTTGACAGTTCAGGATGAGCTCCTGGCCTTTAGCCCAGCTTCTGCCTACTTAGCAGTTCAAAAGCAAATGTGAGTAGATAAATAGGTACTGCTTTAAATCAGAGAGGTATTTAAAGCATCCACAAGGAAATGCCAAAAAATGTGGTGATTTGATCAAGAGGGAAGTTGACAAAGAAAGCTCTTCAGCAAGGAAGATGGAGTGACATTGCCTTCCTGTGGCCGGAATACAGCACAAGTCTCCAAGATGCCAAAAGATGGGAAAGCCTATATACCTCTATCTATGTACAGTTGTCTATCTTGTCAGTGTATAACAGCAATGAATATTTGCTGTATATGTGTTCTGTAATCTTTGGGCTTTTTTTCCATGTCAGGAGCGACTTGACAATCTGCAAGTCGCTTCTGGTGTGAGAGAATTGGCCGTCTGCAAGGACTTTGCCCAGGGGACGCCCGGGTGTTTTGATGTTTTACCATCTATGTGGGAGGCTTCTCTCATGACCCGCATGGGGAGCTGGAGCTGACAGAGGGAGCTCATCCATGCTTTCCCAGGATTCGAACCTGCAACCTGTTGATCTTCAGTCCTGCCGGCACAAGGGTGTAACCCACTGCACCACTGGGAGCCCTCATGTGGGTGAGAAGGACAGAATAAAAATACTGCAAATAATTAAAAAAAAATAAAACTACAACTCCTAGGATTCCATAACATTGATCCCTGGCGGTTAAAGCAATATGAAACTACATTTATTCCACAGTGTAGATGCACCCTTAGTTAACAATCTGCCCTTGCAGCTTAACAATAACACTTCTTCTTCTTCTCCTTCCTCTTCCCTCTCCACTTCCTCCTCCTTTCCTTATTTCTCTTAGCAAGAGGGAATGCATCCAAAGTTATCACACAGGGGTTACAGAGTGAAGCTTATGTGAAAGACACAAGGGAAAGGAGTTTTTAAAAGTTCACGCGGCTAGAGGTTAAACCGTGCTTCTGTCAAACAGTCCTTAGACTGAAAGGCAAGAGCTGGTTACAAAGGATTTAAGTCTGAGAAAGCACAAGGATATGATTTGGGGCATTAGGGGAGACAAAAAAGTCCCCATAGAGACAAAACTCCCAGCTATCTCTGTACTTCGCAGGAATACGGAGAATTGTTCTGAATGTTGCAATAAAAGGGAAAGAGATGTAACAGCCAGAAATAATGTCCCCAGTAAAGCTGGTAATATCGGGATTTTACGGCTGCTAGTAAAGTTGATTATGTTAATAAAGTGGGGAGGCAAGAACAGTAAATACCCTCTTGTTTCTACATAATTATATTTTTATAGAGTTTTATTAAATTGTTTGCTTTGGAATTAAAAACAGGAGGAATTCCCCAGCCAGGATTGGACTCAATGTGCATAGAGCTGCTCAGGTCAAGAGGAACAGGAGCTGGTCTAAGAAGAAGGTTTTCTGGATGAGATCGAGACTGGAATTCCCTTGATGACATTGGATTCCTTTGATGCCATTTGAATCTACATTATATGGCCAGTGGAGACCCATACAATGTTGTTCAACGCAGTTAGACTGCATTATATAGATCTACACTGATCATATAATGCAGATTCAAACTTTGCAAGCTGTGCAGCAAACAGAGTGAAAGAGATTCAGGCTGCATCTACACTACAGAATTATTGCAGTTTGGTAGCACTTCAACGGGGCTGGAGTGGTGCAACAGGTTAAACCATTGAACTGTTGAATCTGCTGGTCTAAAAGTTGGCAGTTCAAAGCAGTGGGTCGAGGTGAACACCTGTTGTTAGCCCTAGCTCCTGCCAACCTAGCATCTGCACTGCAGAATTATTGCAGTTTGATAGCACTTCAATGGGGCTGCAGTGGTGCAACAGGTTAAACCACTGAACTGTTGAATCTGCTGCCCTAAAGGTTGGCAGTTCAAAGCAGTGGGTCGGGGTGAATGCCTGTTGTTAGCCCTAGCTCCTGCCAACCTAGCATCTACACTGCAGAATAATTGCAGTTTGGTAGAACTTCAATGGGGCTGCGGTGGCGCAATGGGTTAAACTGTTGAACTGTTGAATCTGCTGGCCTAAAGTTTGGCAATTCAAAACAGTGGGTCAAGGTGAGCTCCTGCTGTTAGCCCTAGCTCCTGCCAACCTAGCAGTTCGAAAACATGCAAATGTGAGTAGATCAATAGGTATCGCTTTGGTGGGAAGGTAATAAAGGTGCTCATGCAGCCATGACCAGGAGGTATCTATAGACAACAGGCTCATTGGCTTGGAAATGGAAAAAGAGCACCTCCCCATGGTCAGAATTAAGCACCTCCTCCAGAAAGCCGGAGATGAAAGGGGGAAGCCCTTACCTTTGTCCTGTGTATTTGTATGTCATTGTTATTCCACTGTATTGAAAGCAATGAATGTTTGCCTATCTGTGTATGTTGTATTCTGCTCTGAGTCCCTTTGGGGAGAGAGAGTGGAATATAAAGTGTTGTTGTTGTTGTTATTATTATTATTAAACTGCTGTGACACAACTCTATGGAATCCTGTGTTTTAAAAAGATCCTTCTCTGCCAAAGGGTGCTGGTGCTTCACCAAACTGCAAATCACTGTGCCATGGTAGTCAAAGTGGTGTCAATCTGCATTCATTCTTCAGTGTAGATGCACCTGCAGTCCTGGTTCAATACCTGATTTTGAGCTGTGATCCACAGGGGTAGAACTCCATTGTCCCACCATTCTGTCTTGTTTTGTGTCTCTTTGTAGCTGTATTTCCTCAGCGTCTCGGTGTTAAACATCATATTATGGATGACTCCGTGGTCTTCCATCCAACGGCCTAGATTTTAAAAAGAAGGAACTTTACATAATAATAATAATAATAATAATAATAATAATAATAATAATAATAATATATTTATACCCTGTCCTCTCTCCCCAGAGGGACTCAGGGCAGTTTCCAAAGTATAGCAAAAATGACAAAGATTCAATGCCAAGAGCAAATAAACAGCAGTCATAACAAAACATGAAATAAAATAAACTAAATATAACTTATAAACAACGGAACTTACACCAAGGATAAGCTAAATACCAGTTTTTAAAAAAACACATTAATACATTCAAAGCCTAATAAATTATATCACAACAGCGGGCTGAGATGTCTAGGTGAGGAAGTGTGTTAAGAATATTAATCCTCCTCCTCTCCACAAACTAGATTGCACAAATAGGTCTTTAAAAGCTTTTGAAAGGAGAGAAGAGAAGGGAGGTAGTTGCAGAGGCAGGGAGCGACCACGGAGAAGGCCCTCTCTCTCATTCACATCAACCATGCCTGAGATGGGGGTGGGACCGAGAGCAGGGCCTCCTCCACTGACCGCAATGCTCACACTGGTTTGTACGTGGAGGTGTGTTTTTTCTAATAGTCTGGGCCTGAACTGTTTGGATCTTTATAGGTAATAACCAGCACTTTGTATTTAGCCCAGAAGCAGACCGATAGCCAATGGAGCTGCCATACCAGGGGAGTGGATCTCTCCCTGTACAATGCTCCAGTTAATAATCTGGCTGTCAGTCTCTGAACTAATTGCAACTTCTGAACTGTCTTCAAAGGCAGCCCCATGAGGAGAGCGCTGCAGTAGTTCTGGTGGGAAGTAACCAAGGCATGCCATGGCCAGATCTGGCATCTCAAGGAACAGGCGCAGCTGGCGCACAAGTTTTAGTTGTGCAAAAGTGTCCCAGACCACCGCTGACACCTGGAGTTTCAGGGTCAGTGATGAGTCCAGGATCATCCCCAGACTGCGAACCTGTGTCTTCAGGGGGAGTGGGACCCCATCCAGCACAGGCTGTAATCCCACACCTGGTCTGTATTGGGTGTCCTATTAAATGGTGGAGGAGGAATGTCACATGGTTCCTGTGCTGGCTCATGTAGCTGCTTCAAGATTTGTCATGGGTTTTGAGGAGAATATGTTTTGTATCACATGGAAGTTGGAAATAATAACCCTACTTCCTTTTGACAATCCTGCTTTCAAGGCAGTAGCAACCCTAGTTCGATCTACACGGAAACTACATTATGTGTTAAGTAGAGATTCATATAATGCAGTTCAATGCAGTTAAGTTGCATTATTTGAGTTTCAATCTGCATTATAGGGCAGTATGTAACACCTTCCCCCAAGTTTCACTACTCTCTGAAGTTATAAACCACTTCAAACTGTCAAACTACAACTCCTATGATCCTATGCAGTTAAAGTGGTGTCAAACCTCACTATTTGTACAGTATAGATGCCCTCCAAGACTTCACCTTTCCACTCCAATAGCACACTGTATATTGCATTTGAGAATTAATTTTGTAGCAAAGATAATGCTTTTTAACCAATCACATTCAGATACTAATTAAATCATTATCTGAGTAATATATTTGCTTTATGGGAAGTTCCTCTTAATGGGGAATATTAATTAAAACCTGTTGGGTGGCTTGTAAGCATATAAGCATATCTGCCTGTCTGCTTTAATTAATTCCCAGTAAATAATGAGGGCATATAAACATGTAATTACATTGCAGATTTTTCCCCCCCTTAGAGGAGTGTTGAACTTAGTCAGCCTTTTATGAAAAAAATGAACTGTTTTTCAGTTTGAAAACTCAAAGGGAAACTTAAGGAAATAGCTTTGTATTATAATCCAAAGTTTCTAAATGTATTGTGTGAATGCACTATAGGCGATGATAGTGGCAAAGGATGCAACTGCACCATAGAATTAATGCACTCTGACACCACTTTAACTGCTGAAGTCCAATGCTATGGAATCCTTAGAGGTAGTTTTGTAAAGCCTTTAGACTACTCTGCCAAAGACTACAAATCCCAGGACTCAGTAAACCGTGATATCAGGCAAACTCTTATCAAACTCATGCAATAAATTAGTATTATATGAAACACAATAAGATTAGTACACAGCAAACAAGATCATAATGCTGGCTGTTGTATTGGATCACATGTTGGACACTTCCCAAGTGTCTAGGACTGTGTGATGTATCAGCGAATAATGTGTGCAGATCCCAGTAGTGTGGCCTTTTGCAGCTGACAGATGGTAATTTTGCCAGTGCTGATTGTGTTTAAGTGCAGGCCAAGGTCTTTAGGSACTGTACCCAGTGTGCTGATCACCATTGGGACCACTTTGACTGACTTGTGCCAGAGTCTATTATTATTATTATTATTATTATTATTATTATTATTATTATTATTAGAAACACAACAAGATGAGTCCACAGCAGACACTCTGCTGGTTGTTGTATTGGATCACACTTTGGACACTTCCCAAGTGTCTAGGACTGTGTGTGATATATTGGCAAATAARGCATGCAGATCCCAGTWAGGTGGCCCTCTGCAGCTGGCAGATGGTAATTTTGTGTTTAAGTGCAGGCCAAGGTCCTTAGGCACTGTACCCAGTGTGCCGATCACCACTGGGACCACCTTGACTGGCTTGTGCCAGAGTTTTTGCAGTTCGATCTTTAAATCATATTATTATTATTATTATTATTATTATTATTATTATTATTATTATTATTATTTTAGCGTAGGGAAGAGTTAACAGTACACCCTTGTGGTGTTTATTTTGTTGTCTGTGCCCCTGTTCATCGAGTTCTTCGGGAGATGCTAGCGGGGTACAAATAAAGTTAATAATGTTCAGTATTTACAGTTCGATCTTTAAATCCCCATATCCTGTCAGCTTTTCCAGTTATTTTTCTTCAATCCTGCTGTCACCTGGGATTATTATTATTATTATTATTAGGAATGGGATTTTTTCATTTCGTAAGAGGTCTCCCTTGTCTATAACTTTGACTTTTTTTTTGCAAACCACAAAGAAAGGATCTTTGGCACTTCTGTGGCCTCTGAACCTGAAGATAAGATTTGATCATGGAATCTATAAAATTTATCTCTCACTTTGCGATAAGGTTGCAGATTGCAGTATCTCCCAAGATCGCTTTATCAATATATACATATTCCAGATGTCCCTGTTGAACCAGCGTTACAGCTGTCTAAGTGCGGACAATCCTATCCTTGACAAACATAAAGACAGATGCAAGGCCTTTAGCACTAAATATATTTTCTCCCCAGGAAGGCTAATGGGCCTAATACAATGGGGGAATGGGTTCAGGGCTAAATCCAAACTTGTATAGAATCTCCAAAGCAAAGTATGCCCCAATCCGGTGGCCCCTATTGTTAGTCTCAACTGTGCTGAGCTATTGAACCAGCTGGATTTACCAATGGGTTGAAACATTGCTCAATTTCCTTCTACGTTAGTTGGACTCAATCAATAGGCATCCTGTTGTGTGGTTGCACTTCCTTGAATGGTACATAACTGTTCACCAGTACCTTCAATGTACTACTGGATTCAGTGGATTTACAGAAATACACACAGTGTGTTTTCCATTGCAATCTGAAGGCACATTGGGAGGATGATGGTTTAGCAAAAGGTAAATTAGAACAACCACTGTTGGGTATTAGCCCTAATATATTTTCTCTAATCTATCAGCTGTAATATATTTTCCAAATAAAATACAGAGCGCTGGAATGAGCCCTGAAACTGAGCAGAAAGGTAAACACATAGTCAACAATTTTGGCCAAAGGACAACGTTTCTTCCAAGACCACTATTTATAGAACTACAGAGTTAAACAAACAACAAAGGCCCCTTCCTTTGTTGTATAAAATCCACACTGAACTGGATTACATGTCAGTGTGGACTCAGATAATCCAGTTCAAAGCAGATATTGTGGATTATCTGCCTTGACATTCTGGGTTATATGGCTGTGTGGAAGGGCCCTAAGTGTGCACTGGCAATATCTAATGCATGCATGACAATATTTATCTGAAACCTTTGTGACTAATACTGAACATAAACAGTAATCCCCGACCTTGACCAAACCCTGCATAAAATGCCCCCGGAAGCACCTTATCCTATCTTCTAGTGCAATAAAACCTCATTTCCCCTCCTCTGATCCTCTGTCTAGATGTCCTGCTCACCCATGTTTTTAAACTTTTAATCTTTGCAACTGGCCCTACACACTGCCGCTGTGATTTTTGTGTGTGATTCAATTACTGTGATCTTATATTGTTTGATGTGTTCATTTGTATTGTTTTCTGTATTTATTTTTATTTTCATTATATTTTGCCGTTTGTATTTTATGTTGTATATTTGCCCTGTTGTACTGTTGGGCTTGGCCTCATGTAAGCCGCCCTGAGTCCCCTTGGGGAGATGGTGGCGGGGGTGGCGGGGTATTATTATTAACAACAACAACAACAACAACAACAACAACAACAACAACAAACAGAGTGTATCCAGGAGCTTGTTAGTTATTTAAGAGGAAGCTCTCAGAATAATAACATCAGTTTGGTGGCCCTGGGCACATAATGTAATAGAGTCTATGCAAGCCCTATGTGGAGCGACTTAAAGAGCTGGCCATGTTTAGCCTGCAGAAGAGGCTGAGAGGGTGCATGATGGCTGTGTATAAATATGTGAGGGGAAGTCATAGGGAGGAGGGAGCAGGCTTGTTTTCTGCTTCCCTGGAGACTAGGATGCAGAACAATGACTTCAAACTCAAAAAAGGAAATTCCACCTGAACATTAGGAAGAACTTTCTAACTGTGAGAGCTGTTCATCTCCCTGCTCCAGAGTGTGGTGGGGGCTCATTCCTTGGAGGCTTTTAAACAGAGGCTGGATGGCCATCTGTTGGGGGTGCTTTGAATGCGATTTTCCTGCTTCTTGGCAAGGGGTTGGGCTGGATGGCCCACCAGGTCTCTTCCAATTCTATGATTCTATGACTCTCAGGTACCTTCCACACAGCCATATAATCCAGAATATTGAGGCATATAATCCCACAATATCTTCTTTGAATTGGGTTATCTGAGTTCACACTGCCATATATTCCAGTTCAAAGCAGAAAATGTGTGATTTTATTTAGTTGAGTGAAAGGGGCTTCTGTTAACCGGCACCCATCGGGAATGGTAGATACCAGATAAATGTAGTTTCTGGTTGCTTGAGAGTTACTATTAAATAATATAATCTTAACTAAAATTATACTTCATATTACTTCATACCATAAACTCTGTATTGACTTTCTATTGATATTGAAATATAGTAATTAAAAACAAAAAACTTAATATAAATCTGGTCCCATCTAAATTGCCATATAATGCAGTTTCATAATGCATTTGAACTGCATTATATGTCTACACTGGCATACCATGCAGTTCAATATGGTGAAACTGCATTGGATGGCAGTTTAGATGGACCCAGAGTTTTACAGTATTATAAAAACAACTTTTTAAAATTTAAAATATTTTTCTTTGATTTCTTTTTTGCTTGAGTTTCATTTAACTGAGGTTCAACTGTACTTCATTTATGACATTTATAGAAAAACACAAATGACAGTGCTCAGTGAACAATACAGGCTATTGTGAAGATGGAGCTGATCAGGAACACAGCCGAATCTTCCATTCTTATTTTACACTGTGTAGAAAGATGACTGTTAATGTACATGATGCAAGTACAGTCTCAACGGCTGTCTGTCACTGAGCACACAGGGATCACCGGGGCACATGGAAAGGTCTTACCTGTGATGGTTGTAAAATGGGACGGTGACGTCATGGTCACGAAAGGAGGAGTGACATATTTTGCTTTCACCCCTTCCTTGGCTAAGTTGTCCAAGTTGGGCGTCTCAACGTCTTGGTCATAATCCCATCGGAAGCCATCAAAGGAGATCAAGAGCAATTTGCGGCCCTTGGCTTGCCTCTCATTGCGGGCCAATGGATGGCCTCCAATCGTAGTCAAAAGGAGGGAGTTCAGAGTCAGGACTGCTTGCATCTTCATGTTGGCTTGTCTTGCCGTGAAAAGAAGATGTGTTTTAGCCCAATCTCTCTTTTTCTACTCTCTGGCACTTTTTAATCTAGAACCGAGCAGAGCAAAGCTCAATGTAGATAAGAGGATTCATGCCACGTTCCTGTTATCGCCAGTTTTTATGGAAGGAAAGTAATCCACATGTTGATATGATGAATGTTATCTCTTAAGATCTTATTCTGCAGAACAGTGGGAACAAAACAAATGAGGGAAGGAAAATAAATGACTCACTGGAAAACGTAAATGGGAGGGGACCTCAATATATTGGGCAGTATTATTTTAAATAGTTTTATTTAAAACTAGATTGGGTACCCGGCGTTGCCCAGGTTATTTGAAAAAAGTCAGTAGCGAAAATGTGGAGACAAAAGGAAATACCCTCTACAGACTTATGGATAGCCAAGATACTCAGTATTATGAGTATGGATAAACTCACCTTTTTAGTAGCAAAAACGCAAGGCAGATACTTGAAAACAACAGATTGGACATTAGTAATGGATTACATGAAAAAGATTAAAATTAATTTGAAGATATAAAGAATATCTGCTGGTAGATAGCAATAATAATAATAGGAAAAAAGTGACCACTCCAAGACATCAGGCAGAAAAGGAGCAAATGAAAAAACTAAAATAGAAGGAACAGAATACAACCACAAAGATGAAGATTGTGAAGATCAACACAATATATTTTTTATTTTTATTTTTTTCATTTTGTCCTTTCCTTCCTCTTATCTGAACATGAGGAAGAACTTCCTGTGAGAGCCGTTCAGCAGTGGAACTCTCTGCCCTGGAGTGTGGTGGAGGCTCCTTCTTTGGAGGTTTTAAAACAGAGGCTAGATGGCCATCTGTCAGGGGTGCTTTGAATGCAATATTCCTGCTTCTTGGCAGGGGGTTGGACTGGATGGCCCATGAGCTCTCTTCCAACTCTATGATTCTATGATACTTTTCCTTTTCCTTTCTATTTTCTGTTTCTTCCTTTTTCTTCCTTTTTTCTTTTTCTTTCTCTTAAAGTCTTTTTAAATTTATACTGTATAAAACCACAATAAAAATTATTGGAAAAAAAAGAAAAAAGTCAGTAGTACAAAATGCATAAATTTGTGGGTGAACTACAACTGACATCATGCCAAGTTAACTCTGAAAAACTCCACCAGTAATTAAAGTGTGTTATGTTGGGCAAATTTGCTCTAGATGCATCATTGGTGTGGTTCATTGTACTCTCTGGCTGTAGGGTAAACTGGTAAGTGTGCCAAGTTTGGTCCAGATCAATCGGAGTTTGAGTTCACAGTGCTCTCTGGATGTAGGTGACTTACAACTCCGCCAAATCAAGGTGAATTTTTCCAGACTGATTGATAACTGGCAAATAGAGGCTTGCTAGAGAATCAAACTGCTGCAGAGCACGGCTTCTGAGTTCTTATCCACTGTCCCATTGTATAAAACACCCGAGGAGGGATTACTATTGTGAAGAACTTGATGTCTCATATATCCACCTGAGGAAGACTCCAGTCAAAACTGGTCGTGGATGTGGATATCCAAAATTTTTCTAAAGCAAGGGATCCTATGCCCTGAAGAGAAGTTGGTTTTACACCAAGAAAGACTCTTTACAGTACGCTTACTCTAAAGCAAGGGATCTTATGCCCTGAAGACAAGTTGTCTTTACACCAAAAGACTCTTTATGTTATGTATGTGTAATCTTTGTAAACAACTGGTTGTTGTCCATTATATACTGGGTTATGCCTATACCATTTAATTTTGCCGTTTGTTGAATATTATAATATACAAACTGTTAGGCAATATCGACCATTGTGATTTATGTACCACAACTTTTAGTGGATTTGTGTTTTTTGTATTGGCAATAAAGATCGGCATAGTCAAAGCAATGGTATGCTCTGTAGTAACCTATGGATGGACCATAAGGAAGGCTGAGCGAAGGAAGAGAGACACTTTTGAACTGTGATGCTGGAGGAGGATTCTGAGAGTGCCTTGGACTGCAAGAAGATCCAACCAGTCCATACTCCAGGAAATAAAGTCCGACTGCTCATTGGATGGAAGGATATTAAAGGCAAAGATGAAATACTTTGGTCACATAATCAGAAGACAGGATAGCTCTGAGAAGACAATGATGCTGGGGAAAATGGAAGGAAAAAGGAAGAGGGGTTGATCAAGGGCAATATGGATGGTTGGTATCCTTGAAGTGACTGGCCTTACCTTGGAAGAGCTGGGGGTGGACAACAGGGAGCTCTGGCATGGATCATGAAGAGTTGGAAACAACTCAACGAATAAACAACAAATCTCTCAGTTCTTGTGGGTTTTTTCGGGCTATATGGCCATGTTCTAGAGGCATTTCTCCTGATGTTTCGCCTGCATCTATGGCAAGCATCCTCAGAGGTGAGGTCTGCTGAGGATGCTTGCCATAGATGCAGCGAAACGTCAGGAGAAATGCCTCTAGAACATGGCCATATAGCCCGAAAAACCCCACAAGAACTGAGTGATTCCAGCCATGAAAGCCTTCGACAATACATTAAACAACAAATCGTGTATCCATACTTTGAGCTGGGCTGGTGAACTGCAACCCTAGCAGTGGCAGGGAGTGTTGGGAGCTGGGGTCCAACTGCATTTGTATGGTGGCACATTCATCATGGTTACAGTTGAGCATATTGGTAGGGATTTTGTTTTAGTGATTTTCTGTAGTTTTGACTTCAAGCCTTTCAGCCTGGATTCTCAGTCCTCTACCAGCCGAGCTCCTCCTTTGCTGGCTGACTCTGTCATTTGCATGCCAGGCGAGGCTCCTGGGGAAAAGTGGGAAGGATCCACCATATTTGGAAGATGGGAAGGTCAATAATTAAGGGCCTGGCTTGTTCTAGGCAAGGAGAGAGGAGAAAATTAAACTGCCAACAATGAATAATGAGAAATCTTTGATGGAATTAGTGATGTTGAACAGGGGCTTAATGCTTCCTTATTTCCTCTCGAGCCTAAAGTTTTCAGAGAGAAAGAGGAGAGAGTCTGCAAAGAACGAGCATGTCGGGAATCCAACCAAGTTTGGGGAGAGAAAAGGTAGAGGTCAAGCAGGGAGTGACTTTTTTTCAGCATGGTGTCATGGTTTGAGTGTTTAGCTAGGTCAAACTCAAGGCCCATGGGCCAAATCCGGTCCTTTGTGTCATTTTATGTGACCCTCCAGATACTGGTCTAGAACTTCTGTATTCCTCATCATTTGATATCATGACTAGAGCTGATGGGAGCTGTGATACAGTAACATCTGGGAGGCTGCAGTTTGTATGTGTTTCCTTAGGAGAGTGGGATTTGAACTACTACACAAGGCTTGTGGATAGGATGCCTAACTTCAACATGTTCTTCAACCTTTCCCCAATCTCAGAGTATTGCAATTCCCAGTCTCCCCAGCCCACATGGTAGATAATCAGAAGTGATGGGAGTTGTCATTGAATAACATCTGGGGACACAAACTAAAGATATATTTATATATAGTTGGCTTTTTCTCTGTATCCATGTATTCTCCATCCATGGATTCAGTGGCCCTTTAAAGGCAAACATAAGGCTGATGTAGCCTTCGATGGAAATGTGTTTGACATCCCTGAGCTAGGATCTGAAGAGACTATGGCATTCAGTGGCTGGAGCCCCCAGTGGCGCAGTGGGTTAAACTGCTTCAGTCCTGTGCCAGCAGGACTGAAGACCGACAGGTCGCAGGTTTGAATTCGGGGAGAGGCGGATGAGCTCCCTCTATCAACTCCAGCTCCTCATGCGGGGACATGAGAGAAGCCTCCCACAAGGATGATAAAAACATCAAAAAATCATCTGGCGTCCCCTGGGCAATGTCCTTGCAGACAGCCAATTCTCTCACACCAGAAGCGACTTGCAGTTTCTCAAGTCGCTCCTGACACGACAAAAAAAAAAGTGGCTGGAAAGGAACTATATAAGGTGCTAGAGACACTTGAGGAATAGCATTCACCATCTTGGATAAGTCTGAATGTGTATCCGCTGTGGATTCTGTGGCTCTGCTGACAAGGGGACCCCTAGCCATTGTTACTGCCACTAAACAGTGCTGCTGATTGAGTTCTGTTGGATGAAGAGTTCAAAAAAGAATGGAGAGTTCGGGAAATTAGAGCCAAAGTATGGGGATAACCTTCAGTAATGCCTTTGGCATGGTGTACGAGGGTTGAATAAAAAGTAATGCCTCCACCATCGTAACTCCTCAACAGATAGCAGTACTGGTATGTGGCAGGTACTGGTTTGTTCAGTAGACTCTCCTCTATAGTTCCATTTTGATGGGAATCCTTAACATTGAATGGTTGTGTTGTTAAAGTGCGAAGTATGGAACTCTGCTCAGATGGTCGGTCAATGCGACTTAAGCAACGTGCAGTCATTGAATTCTTGAGAAGGTGTCACCCCAAAGGAGATTCATCAGAGAATGCAAGCTGTTCATGGTGATTGTGTACTGTGTGTTGTTGGGCGAGAAAGTTTAAAGATATTGAGGTGGGAACATCTGACTTGCGTGACAAACAAAGAGTTGGACGTCCTGTGACAGCAACCACCGAGTTTCACAAGCAAAAGGTTGACAGATTGATTCAGGACGATCATCATATCATTCAGAGAGAAATTTCAAGCATAATCAGCATTTCACAAGAATGTGTGGGTCACATTATTGCTTTGCTTGTCTATCGGAAGATCTGTGCACGATGACTCGCAGAAACAGAGTGTCGACTTCTTCTGTGACAGCTTCAGAAAACTTGTTCATCATTGGCAGAAATGTATCCAATTGTCTGGTGATTATGTGGAAAAGTGAATAGTGGTAGTTAAAGAGCACATTCTAAGGATTATTTCTGTGTTTGATTTATTAAAATATTCCCATCCAAACCCAAGTAACAAAGGTGGAGGCATTACTTTTCATTCAACCCTCATAGCATGGAGACCAAAGAGATCAAGGTTTGATCTCTTGTCCAACTGTGGAAAACGCCTCTTGGGCAA